CCGCCACAATGGTCAACCGATTTACGTTAGCCACGACCTAACTCCCTCTCAACAGGCACGAAGGAGACAGGTACTTCCCACATTTAAACAATTGCGAGGGCTTGGCACTGCTTGTTCCCTTCCCTACGACAAAATATTGGTACAAGGGAAACCACTGGATGACGCTGAATTGGCGAGGTTACTTCAGGACAAGCCTGCACAATGACGAGTCCCCGCACAACAGAATACTATTGTCGCCAACGCATGCAGCACTCCCCAGAGCATCTCTACCTCTACGCCACAGATAAGTATCACTCATTCAAATGCATGCAATACATTATTACTCTTTAATCTTACTATAGCACATATTAATATCTGCAGCCTATTGAATAAGCTTAGGGACATTCACTATCTTCTGCACAAACACAACATTGATATCCTTGCTGTTACGGAGACATGGCTGACAGCCACCTCGACAAACAGTGCCATCTTTCTACCAGGCTACGACGTCCACAGATTTGACAGGACAAGCAAAAAAGGAGGCGGCGTTTGCTTGTACATCAGAAATAAGTTTAAGTACCGTCAACTAAGAACAATATTTGACATTGAAACTGCAGCAATTCACCTGCGGTTGGATGGAAATCCACTGAATATCATCTGTACATATCGACCACCCTCAACACCAGTGTCGTTTTGGCAACAACTCACCAACACTGTTGATGACATCGCAGCACAGACACCAAAATCGTCCCACACCATTGTTCTTGGTGACTTCAATGTGAACACACGAGACACTCAGCATCCTCACCACAAGCACCTGCAGACATTCTGCCACACAACCAGTCTCCATAACATAGTGATATCGCCGACTAGACTTCCTACTGAATCCATCTTAGACCTAGTACTAGTACCCAAGACATTCGACAACACCCACCTATCTCAGGCCACACAAGGTAGACACTTCACCGTGAACAGCTGCAAAGTCGAGCCATGCGATGCATCGGACCACCAGCTTGTCCTAGTTGACATGACAGTAACCCTACGTTCCCTCCCAAAGGAGCAGTGGGTCCAGACAAGTAAGCCGCCCATTAGATCGATTGATATGAGTACCTTTAGAGACCAACTGGCATCCGCATTGCTCGACACATCCACTGACACCACAACTACTACATGCCAACGAATTCAACTATTCCAACACAACGTATCTGAGGTCCTGGACAAGCACTGTCCAATGACAACCGTCAAACTACGTGGCAAATACAAACCTGCCCCTTGGGTAGATGACGAGCTCCGGAAATTGTTGTTCAGGAGGAAGCGTTCGCACAGGAAAATGAGAAAGAACCCAGCTGACCCGCAACTAGTCCAGAACTTCCGGACACTGCGGCGGCAATGCAAACTTCTCACGCGTCGCAAGCAAGCCACATTCTTTCAGAACGAATTTATTTACAATAGGAAGAACCCCAGAGGCCAATGGAATGTTCTAAACACTCTGCTTGGTCGAATCAAGATCCACCGTGAACCAGGTGCAGAGGTCAAAGCCATCACAGCTACATTCTCCGAAATAGTATCACCGGGTTCACCAACTACACCAACCGCTACAACGCACACTACACTGCCACTAGGTCCGATGCCTGAACACAACTTTTGCACTTTCGACCGCATCCCGACAAGCCTCGTAGAATTCTACCTAAAGCGGTTGGACTGCCGTAAAGCGTGCGGCCCCGACAACGTACCCGCAGCAATCTACAAGTCTGCAGCTGACGGGATTGCCCCTGTTCTCGCTCCGCTATTTTCAGACTCACTACAATCTGGAACTTTCCCAACTCCGTACAAACAGGCTAACGTTCGGCCAATACATAAGCGAGGTGATCACAGCGATCCTACTAATTACAGGCCAATATCGCTCCTTCCGCAAATGTCAAAGCTGTTAGAACGCTGCGCCCTTGACCAGCTAATGGAATTCGTGCGTGACGCTCCACAAGCAAACCAAGCACTGCCGCCTGAACAGTTCGCCTACAGAAGACAACACTCCTGCGATGACTTGCTAGCCTTGGTGGCGAATGACTGGCAGCAAAGTCTGGATGCCGGTAAATTTGTGGTGGCAGCGTTTCTTGATATGTCGAAAGCATTTGACACGGTCAATCACAACATGCTCCTGCAGGAGCTTTTTGAGATCGGCGTCGGAGATAGCGCCCTGCAATGGTTTGCGAGCTACCTACGAGGCAGGCGGCAGCGAGTGGTAACACGTACGTCCAGAGGTGAACTGTACGAAGCTCACAGGGGAGTTCCTCAGGGATCCACCCTCGGACCTGTGCTCTTTAACCTATCTGTACGCAAATTGCCCTCGGCAGCATCTTCCAGCATGGTGCGCCAGTACGCTGACGATGTCGCCCTGTACCTAGCAGGCCGCAACCTACAACAAACTACCGAAGAACTGGCCCGAGATGTGTGTCGTATCAGGGACTTCCTCAGTGAACGAGGACTAATCCTGAATGCCAGCAAGACCCAGTTCATTGTGTTCCACTCCAGATCGAAAAAAGTATGCTCCTCCCTCCGACTAACCATTGACAATGTCTCAATTCCACCAGCGACCACCGTCAAGTACCTTGGTATGACCTTTGACCAGCACCTGACATTCGCTGACCACATCAGTGCCCTTGAGCGAAAGGTAGGCGACAAGCTAGCTGTGTTTCGTAGAATCCGTGACCGTCTAACAATTGATGCAAAGAGAACCTTCTACTGCGCGTTCATACAGGCTCAACTGGAGTACGGTTCCAATGCTTTTTATCACAGTCTGCAGGCTGGGCAACAAGATCGCTTGACTTGCCTCAGCAACCGTGCAGTTAGAACTGTTTTTGGTTATCCAAGGTTCTGTGACATTTCTACTATTCTAGCCAGATACCACCTAGCTTCTATCTCCTTACGTTTGAGATTCAAATTGTTCGTACTTATTTACAGATCATTACATAAGGTGTGCAGCCCGCTCTTAGCAGACTGTTTTGTGACTAGAGTCAATGCCACACACACAGCGTCAATCACCCGCTCGCAGGTTACTCTGTCTCTTGCTCTTCCCCCGGCTAATAACCGCTATGGCTTGTACGCATTAAGCTTCTTAGGTGCAGATCGCTGGAATTCGCTCCCTGCTTCTGTTCGTATTTGCTCCACGCTATCAGACTTCCGCTCATCTATACAAAAACATATAGGGTACCCCGTAAGAAGGCCTTAGGCCTGTGGGAATGCCCTATTAAAAATTTAATAAATAATAATAATAATATTAGGCACTTCAGTCACGTGACAGGACCTGTCAAAATTTGCTAAGGTGAGAGTGCGTACTTGCGTGGCACCAGTCAAGTGCATGCGCAAAACTGTACAGTTACGCGCTATGCTTCGTTGTACGGGCTGATAGTTGGGCGCATCGTGTTGCTCTGACGTTCAGCTTTCAGTAGATCCCGCATACGTCATAGTGCGTACATTTTTGCGAGTTGTAGATCACGTACACTACCAGCAAAGAGTTTTTTCACAAAGAACTGTTGTTTGCTCGCGTTTGAAACGCTGCTTATCGTCTTCAGCGTCGTCTTTCCATTCGGAAACAGTAGAGTTCTTGTTTGCCAGGGCTTGCGCATCGCTGCGCAAGGAGACATTATGTACGTAGGCACTGAGAAGTATGCGCTTTAGGCGGAGGAGAACGACGATGCGTCGTCCTACCTGGGCGAATTCTCAAAGCGTACTGAAAGCCAAGTTTTGACACGGTTGCGCTGGAAGGCCTACTGATGTTTACGAACAATCAAAAGGCACAGTGGCTGCTGGAGAAACCCTCTGATGAGGGGATGCTTTGATATACGCAGCCAGGCACGCTTCACCAAAATTTCAAAGCTCACCAGCAGGCAATTCATGACTGCTGCATGGAGCAGTTGAAGGAGAGGGTGGCAGATATCACACCAGGGAAAGAAGCTACCAACAGAGGTCCTGAGGAACTTCTTGCCAACTTGGAATCACTTGAGATGGCATGACTGTGGGCACGAATGTCCTGTGCAGTAATTCGCGCGCGCGCGCGTACTTACCCTCCACGTTGCGGTGTACGGCGTACAACGAGGAAGTTCTCTGTTGTTTTGGTGCCAGAAGAATGTCTTTATAGCTCTTACGCTTTAGTACCCGCAGGAGCTTGCCAGTATGTCGTTATCAGTTCATTTCACAGCAAACTGAAGCTGTTACTATGGGTTACTATGGCGTTGCTATGGGTTGCTATGGAGTTGCTATAGTGATTGCGGTCACAATTGCCGTATTCTTGCCTATTCTGAACTTTGATCTGTATTGTTTCGATCCATACAGGGTTGTTGGTGTAAGTGAGTGATGTGTGCTTGAAAAAAACACTCTGATGTTTTGTGACTATATCCACTGATGATACTTCGGAGATGCTGTTGGTGCCACAAATTGTATTGATTTCGCCTTATGCAACTGCCTATCTTCAACCCTTCATATCTGAGTGGTATCACTGTGGATTTCAATAAAATTTTCTGTGTGACCTTGTGATACCCACCACCATCGATTACCGATGATAAACCTGGAAAAAACGCGATTTCAAAAAATGGGGTGAAGTGCCTAATAATAATAATTTTTAATCATTCAACATCTACCCTGTAATAATGTAGTACAGTGCTACTAGTATTACTATTAGATAAACCTTGTTCACACATGTAACTGTTGTCGGTTTGACAGCATTTAGAAAAGCGATCCTGTCAGCTTTTCTATTATTGTGTTCACATGGCGCTACCTAACGACACCGCTATTCAGACACGTTGTCTACGTAGCTACGTAAGTTTCTACGTAAGATGCTCGGTACCTGGTCCTGGACAAGGGCCTAGGGAGCTACTCCACGGCTCCTACCATCGCGCGGCCGGCTGGCCGCATGCGTGTGCATTGCAGACTTTTTGTTGTTGCCTTTTCGGATGTACGTGTGCATGCACGAGGAACTAATTACTTCCTCCTTTGGAACTGCTTCTTGCATGAGCTGTTTCGGATATTTCGTCTCCTGGCCTGGCTTATTTCGTTTCGGCGCTGCTGAGACCTCCTTTCGCGGAATATTACTCAATGACAGGTGAGTTGACCAGTTCCCTTTGATTCATTTGCTTGTGTTGACTCTTTCATTTACGAAAAGTGTGCTGATTTTGGGCGGAATGCAATAAAATTAATAATGGAAAAGCTGACAGGACCTCCTTTCTAAATTTAGCTTTTCCGCTGCCGAGGCCTCCTGTTACGGAATACTCAATGACAGGTGATCTCTGAGTTGACCAGTTTCCTTCGATTCATTTGCTTATGCTCACCCTTTCATTTACGGAAACTTGTGCTGATTTTATTCGGATTTAGATCCATTTTTATCTCTTTGCCCTTGCCTACAGTGTGCGAAGAAGGCGAGTTCACCTTCTTGACGGTAAGGCTTATGTTAGATGTGTTGTCAAAATACTCATATTCATTGCACATTAGTACGTTACAAGTAAGGGCCTACTAAGGCACTGGTCAGTGGCATACTATCGTTGGCAGTTCCCAATCTGGAGGGAAAGGTTCAAGGACTCATTGACCGAGTTTGCCAAATAAATTCGCATATCAGTGAAAATCTACATTGTGGAGAGGTTCAGTAACTTGTTTGCTTCATACGAAACAAGCCAATGGGTGCAGTGTCGTCTCGTGAAAATCTCGTACTTGTATGATTGGACTTGTTTACTCGAGTCTGGGCTGTTTGATTTGTGAGTACCGTCGAGATGGCACTGCCCCAAATAAAGTTTCGTGCCGCCAAAGCAAGAATTACGATCTGCAATCTGTTTGTAGTACCTGCAAGAATGTGCAGAACATGTATCGTACTTTCTCTGTTGCTGTTTCAGTTGCCGTCATGTTGCTAAAGAAACGTTCAGTAGAGAGGTTCTGCAAAACGAAAATTCGAACGAAGTTTCGCGACAGTCCTTGCGAAAGTGTGTACGAATTTTTGCGCGAACTTTGCGTTCTGCACATTTTCGTAGTTTGCGCGGGCCAAGTGCACGTACGCCATGACCCGATCTCACGAAATTTCCTACGACAGTTCATTTCGCGTTCCCTGCAAGTTTCGCGTCCAAAGTTGCGAAAGTTCGTGCGAAGTTTCGCACTTCATGATGTAGAGCGAAAGTTTGTACGCATTTTCGTTTTGCAGAACCTCTCTAGTGACTCTTTTGTTTCATACCAGACGAGTCAATGAGTCGGTGTGGCTTAGAATCTTTCGCTGTAGAAGAATCTATTTGTATGTCTATTGGAGAAATAATTGTATTCACTGGTTATAAAATAGGTTTAGACAAACTCACATAATAAATACCATCGGTCCCTTGGTGTTCGTCCTAAAAAAGGTTCGACTGGATATCATTCATACTCACCAAAATATATGTAAGATTTTATTATCATGGAGTGCCTTGCTTATCTCTCAGTATCAGTACCTCCAACCATAGCCTTGACCCTTTTATCCTCAGGATCAGTGTAGTTGTTGGAATGAGGTGTCGGCCTCAGCAATGTATTTGTTTACATTTTAATACATGTTTATTGTTCCTCCTTTGCTGTGTTGTTTTAGAAAATCGTGGACTAACAGTTTGAAGTCATTGAACTACTTCCAAAAGTTGTATCGACATCAACAGGATTACGATTTCAGTGCAATATGATGCTGGATGACCTTATCACGATAACCCATGATTATAAACCATAATAAACACAGAATCAACAAAAACATCTGCGACACGCACCGCATGGCTACATTTCTCAAATAAATCTGATCGAGGGTGGGGAAATCTGAACTATCTGAAAGGCAAGACAAATTTATGAGTCATGAAATTCTGCAACAGCAACATGCACAGAATGACCTCCGTATAAAAAAAGTATCACCACCACTACTCACATGTTTCCCCGCAGAAGAACATGCATTATGCTAGTGCCATTTTCTGCAAAAAAAAGGCTAGCAAATCAATGCGTAATACGGTATTGATATGATCAAGATCTTAAGAGTACATAAACCTCTTGATATGATGTGAAGGCCATCATTTACATAATTATTGATATAGGGCATTCCAGATCCATTGATTGGTGACAGAAAAAACAAAAGAAATTATAGCAATAAAAACTGCTTTATGGCAGTTTTCTAAAAAAGGTTATTGTGTTCTAGTCCATGGACCCCGTCTAAAAAGTAAGAAATTAACGAAATGTGATAGCCGAAAATTAAAATTTCACACAAAACCTCACAATAATCACACACAGAATTAAAACCTACATGTAGAAGACCTTTTCCCCTCGTGATCCTCTTTCCTGTGCATGCATGTTGCCAATTGTTGGTGCAGTACAAGTTTAGTGTTGAAAGCAGCATTTCAAGTGTTGTGATTATTGTGAGGTTTTGTGTGAAATTTTAATTTTCGGCTGTCACATTTCGTTAATTTCTTACTTTTTAGACGGGGTCCATGGACTAGAACACAATAACCTTTTTTAGAAAACTGCCATAAAGCAGTTTTTATTGCTATAATGAACAAGGTGGAGGACACTGTTACGTACCTAAGGCTAAGTACTAGACTTCTTTCCCCGGCCTGACAAACAAAAGTTTTTTCGAAGAAGGACTGACATCCAGGAACGCGGGATGAATACGTGACTGAGTGACCTAATTAATTTTACTTCAATTTTCGCAAACCTACTATTAAACAGCCTTGCTCTTCTTTTTTGTGGTTCGCTAATACATTCGCCGACCGTGGTGGGCTGCTTCTTTGAGCACGCTAGTTGATCTTTTCATAGTCCACAGGCCACAGCTACCACGCATTGTTTCTACCTCATTCGCATAATCACGTAGTTTCCTTACTTCTGGGCCTAACATTGCTCAATAAAATAGTTACTTTGTCGACTGAACTGTGCTCATTCCTACTAAACTAGTTCTTTGTGAAGGGATAAGAAAATCTTTCTTCCGCAGAACCACATCTGTACGTCGTTCACCAGAGGCCAGGGTATAACAGCTCCGTATGACTCTAGTTGACCCCAGAGGTAAGACGTAAGTGGTAGTGGGGACAACTAGGCCTGGGCGGATAATGCTAGTTATTTTGCGGGATAATGCTAATGGCAATGCCAGAAAAACTGTATCATAATGCTACTTGTAATGCTGCTGTTCCCCTGTAATTCCAGCAATTCACCAGTAGTAAGTATGGAAAAATGGCTTGGTTTGGGCAGTATTGTGCACGTTTCGTAGTCTACGTAGACGGCATAGAAAATGCTAGAAAATCATGATCATAATGCTAATTTTATGTTGCTATTGCTCCATACAATCCCTTGCAGCTAGCTGTCCAGCGAGGAAAGTCTCGAGTGGAGGTCTCTCGATCTGCTCGCTCATTCGCCTGGCATTCAGTAGCACTTAATCGCCAAGGACTTCAATTCAAAACAGTTTTCACACTGCGCTTCAAGCCTTTTTCCTGGTGAACTTGCTGCAAACGTATGAGCTCTGCTGCGCGTGTTCCCTTTGTGTGAGGCCCAGAAACAGCTAGTATCTCCGTACTTCGATTGGCTGGATCGATGTCGTCCAGGTTCTCCTCGCTATCGCCATCACGACTCTAACTGGAGACGATTTCTTCACCATTTTCCGCAAGCAGCAGCTAGCGCAGAAATTTCGCCATCCCTGAGTGTAGGGGATGGAATCCGTTCGATCAGCTCAAATACTCTTCGATGTGACTAGAGGAGTAGCAGGGAATATAAGCCCTTTGACTTTCCTGACTGCTGAAACCCTTCCTGCCATGACTGCTACTTCTTCAAACAAGCGAGAGTCTCTTTGCCACTGCACTGCACTCGAGCGTCCACGCGACACAACCTTTTTCCAAAACATTATTTTTCTCATATAAATGATTTTCACCATAAGCCTGGCCAGCTGGTTTTCGGAGAAGTAAGGGCCATTTGAGTATAATGCCACTTTTGCGGAAATGTGTTATAATGCTTGCATAATGCTCGTCGCAAATCGCACACTATAATGCTACTTATAATGCTAGCATTATCCGCCCAGGCCTAGGGACAACCAACGTGTAGTTCGGGTGTTCCGACGTGGTGAAGGCCTACCCATGGCCGCGTCGGGACATCACCAACCTCGTCTACAGAGAGCACCTTCTCTGGTGGTGACAGTAACAGCGCTGCGTTCAGGAGACATCGTCAGGAAGCTGTACATTACGTATGTCCCCCCCCCCCCCCCCCACAGCAGAATACGCCGCCCCAGTATGGGAGTCCTCCCTCTCTGCTGCACAGCGGCTCACCCTTGAACGGCTGAAAGCCAGAGTAGCTCGCACAGTCATGCGGCTTGAGAGATGCCCTTGCCCATCAGACGAGCCCAAGTCATCATTGTTTAAACAGCTGGGGTGGCCAAGTCTATCCTGGCGCAGGAAGATCGCCTGCCTTATGGAATTCTTCCACTGGTCACCACCCAACCAGAACTTTTTGAAGCAGCGGGATACTGCCCCACGCGTAGTCGCCGCCGCCAACTCGCATTCACGCTGCCACGGGTTGGGAAACACGCCGGGAGGTCATTTCTCTTCCGCACCGCTACTGTCTGGAATGCCTTGCCCGCGGACCTGAGAGCCACAGCCTCGCAGTCCCTGTTTCACAGTCACATTTGCACGCACTTCTCTGACACCAAACACAATGCCACTCCTCACTGACATGCCTCTGTCCTCCTTTTTTTTTTTTTTTTTTTTTTTTTTTTTTATAGTATCATATGTTTTTTAATTTACTAGTGAGGAAAATGTTATTAACTCCAAAGCACGAAAAAGGCCAAAAACTAAACCAAGAACATATGCAATAACATGTTATTTATAAAGACAGGACAAGTGAATAATTAGTCAGTCCGTTGTTCATGATGATCTCCGACGGTTACGTCGGCAAGCGAGCCTCCGCCACTGCCAAAGCAGCGTGGGCTCCGCAGGAGGGTGCAAATTTCAAACCAAAATTTAAACGCCTACAACCGCGAATGCACATGATACAGGATTTCAGAAGGCTGAAGGAAATCCTGCTTCTAACAAATGCCATAACATGAGAGTAATGCTCACCCCTCTTCTCCGCCAACAGATGAGCGATTCGTTTATACAGTGCTGTTGATGCTGGACCCATTCCGCCACTGGCTGACATGACCGCCGGAACAAAGGAGGCTTGCTCAACCTGCCTCACCCGCTCCTCATAGTGCCTTCTCTTTTCTTTTTCATGTCGCTGATACACAATAGTATGTGGTGCAGATCGATTTGAGCGTGAGTCACGGAGGAACGAGCTGAGAGATGGACGCCATGGATATGGGCAGAAAATAGAAAAAAGGAGTTTTTTAAACACTCTTTTCCTATTCTACCTTTTTCTTTAAAAAAAGAAAAAAATTCAGGTTAGGATAGGAAAAGAGTGTGTTGCTCCCTACCAAGTACCAGGGAGTAGTACAATAATTATGGTATTGTACTACTCCCTAGCCTAGGCCCTGCTCCCTACATCATTACATCGGAGCTCGCGGTTTTCCTGCCGACTTGAATTCTCACTTGACTGACTCACGAATGCTATCCAGAGCACACGAAAGGTCCATCGAACCGTCCACTCGGCAAACCTGCAAGAAAGCACCAGTGACCACTCCCTGCTCACAGTGTTTCGGGGAATTCACCCCTCATCAGTTGAGCTTGAGTAGGCCGCGAGGAAGATTGTGCCTGAAAAGCACCACTTATAAGTTATATCACCGTGTACATAGTGCTCTCCAGGCACAAACATCACCAGGGATACAAACTTACAGCGACGCTCCGTTTCCAGCGACAAACACCTTGTGAACCCCAGATAGCAGCGTGAGTCAGTGTCGCTCATGGAGGTGCTGAACAAGCGCTGAGGACCGTTGGCTATTCACAACGTTGTTGCCTCCAAACCATCTAATTCGCAAGCCCACGCTGGGGACAACAATGTGAAGAAGAGGTTGGTGCGACTTCGGCGATAGCAGGGGAAGGGCATTTCGAACACTTTTAGCATTTCGAACACTGCGCTTCCCATGATAACTCGCAGAATGGCTGACAAGACTTGAGTTGAATTTTAACAAGATAAGGTCTGATGTCACTTATGATATTTTAAAAGGATAGTTCAGGAGCGTGACAGACGACCTGTAAGTCTGTTTTATCATTTCCTGGAGCTATTATTTGAATGGCACACCTTTCGAAGCTACTTTTTTGGTGTTCATGAAAAACTGGTATTGTGAACTTGATTCCGCTTCATTCAAGGAGAAATAATTGAGAAGAACTTCCAAAAAACAAGAAATTAGGTCCAAAAGTCACCTGCCCGGACCGTGCAGTACGCATGCCTTATGACTGGCGCCGTTCGCTGTTGAACGACGCAACGACTGCAGCATGTCGTACAGCTCGCCCCAGCTATCCCGACAGGCGCTATCTAGGCTAGGCCTAGGCCCTTACGTCCCGTACCGTCAGCGTTCCGTCGAATGTGAACTGGGAGGTTGCCTGTACGAGTACAGCCAATCAGCGTTCTCCACGGGCAGGCAGGTTTTTCGTGTATTGCCCTCCAACTCTTTCCCCCGTCCATACTTGGCAGTTGCCAAGCACCAAGACAGTACGCAATCATGTCAGCAACAAGGCCAAGTCGAATACAAATACAGCCTGGATTGCACTTCACCTTCTGGACTACACCAGGAATGGAGGAGGGTACATTGCATGTACATAATGTACCCAGTACATATAATTATGCTCAAACGGTAGTACGGATACCAAACAAAAGGCCAGGCAAGGCAACAACTTAAAATTAAATAACATTTTACTTGTACAATGTCAGACTAAAGGAGCGGTGTGTCAAAGGATGGCATCAGCGCACCGGCAACACACAGTACCATGAAATAAAAAAAATAAAACAAAGCAAACACGAACAAGCTCAATCAAAATTAGCAATGTACACAGCAAACCAAAGAACATCATCGCGACCCTGAACACAATGAATCATGTGTGTGAGGGGGTCTCCGAGACAGCAACTATATACAAGCAACAAAGGCTGAGGAAACACCGTGCCTGAGTTGAAAAGTGAAGAAAGATTTTCAAAAAAGACAAAAAAAAGAAAGAAGATAACATGACATCTTTCTATGTGACACGGTCGATAAGAGTGCCACGCTGTCTCTTTGCGGCACTGGCGTTCTTCATGATCGCCTCCTGCATAGCAACACAGGAATGGACGCATACACAGAGCCAGATGGGCCAGTCAGTTACAATACAACATAACACCTTAGCTGAATTAGACGGGTCAGCAGGTCGCAAGTAACAGCTAACGTATTTCAAGTACCAAATATGGCTTTGAGGACTTCTTCAGAGAAACAAGGATGAACAAAAGGTTTCATGTAATGGCTTGTTAAGACAGTTACAATTAACTGCAGAGTATCATTCCTGAAAACAGCAAATCACATTATTCTCCAACACACCGGCGTTGTGAATGAATGCAAGACCAGCTGATATATGAATTATTACTACAAGGCCAGAATGTCATGGCTCGATAATATTATTTCATGGACTGCACTTGACGTGCAGTCCCTGCTCGCTGCTGCACGCGATCGATTTTTATGGCGCTCGCTTGTTCATACTTGCTCTGTGACGCCCCGACGGCCTTAGGGCTATGGGCTTATGATGATGATGATGATGATGAAGACCAGTAATGTTAACGAACATTTAATTCTAGCGAGTTAATGAATTTGAAAGAATCGTTAACATTTGATGTCGTTATGTGCAAAACGATATGTATATGTACAGTCATTCGCCGGTTTTGAGACAGAATTCGTTAGAATTTTCACCTTGCTAACCCACAAAAATCCGGAGATCGTTAACTGTAATTGACGTTAAAATATCTGGTCTTACAGTAATACAAAACCAATACCGGAGAACTATTCAGTCAAGTCATCACATTCCAGAACTAAGATACCACAGCCCCCGATTATAAGCAAGCTTGGAACACATGCCCCCCCCCCCCCCCACATGCACATACACTCTATGCACATGCACATACACCCATTACCAAGAGCATACCAGGTCTCCTAATCTACTATGATGACAAACAACAACAACAACAACAACAACAACAACAACAACAACAACAACAACAACAACAACAACAACAACAACAATGTCTTATTGGCGATGGTGCCATCGTGAGAATATAGAATTCAAAAACACCAACACCAACACCACCACCACCACCACCACCACCACCACCACCACCAACAACACTCTTATTGGCGATGGTGCCATCGCGAGAATAAAGAATTCAAAACACTCTGTGCACGTCCGCGTAATCAAACAAGACCAAATTGCCATGGCCAGTGAGAATACAGGTGTGTGTGTGTGGGGGGGGGGGGGGGGGGGAGGGGGGATTAATTTACTGGTGGCATCGTTACCCCCCCCCCCCCCCCCACACACACACACAACACTCACCTGTTCAGCCAGCTGTGTCTTTCCAAGCTCTGTCTTCCTCCATAGCTGATCAACCACACGTGCGTGAGACTGGTACGACTGCTCGATAATTTTCTGAACAAGAAACAAGTCAAGAACAACACCAACAGGTCTTGTCTGGTGCAGAAGTAAGAGCAGCAGCAGAAAACATGCCATGGCAATGTCTCGCTCTGAGTCCTGGTCATCGAGAGGCCCACCAACCCTTTCCTACACTGTTTGACACAAGCTCTCCCGTGACACTGCCTCAGAGCCTACACTAGCTCGCAACCCATTGGACTCATGTCTGGTTCCTCAGCAAACACTGAATGATAGAAACAAGTCAGCTTTATCCTATCTACATATACCTTCCCACAACTGAAGCTATTCTAGCGAACGCAAAAAAAAAAAAACAATTCACGGTTCGCGTGAGACTCGGCCAAAGGCCCAGTTTTCCGCATCCGCAGGAACGCCACCACCCTCTTGGATCAAGGAACGCAAGGGCTGAAGAAATCTACCAGGTGGAATAGATTCTTGGGGACGGGGGTTTGCATGCCAGAGACTCGGTCTGCATGCCAGAGACTCGGTCTTGGAATATGGCATCGAGAGTGTGCTAGGATGCAGGTTTGATTACACTCATACCTCGGTTATCCGGACCCCGAAGTTACACGCACTTTAGTCTACTGGGCACCCTTTGGGCGAGTTTCAGTGGAAATATTACTAATCTTTTCAAGTCTTCTGTCACTGGTTGTGGAAATGGTGACGCCACATGCCATATCTATGGCCTTTCTCCATCACAATGTATGTGATTTGGAGGACATTTCAAAGTTACATTTCAAAGTTACGGGCGGTGCCCTGTCCCGGATAGCCCGGCTAAACGAGGTAGGAGTGTAATATTGTTTTGAAGACAAGTGCATCCAGTTTCATTTTCTTGACAAACCCAAACTCCCCCGATAATCGCAGGGGCCTCTCTTGTCACTTCGCTAGTCAATGCTTCAATCCAAGTCCAGCTGACATACTTGTCTGGGATATGACCTCGAAAACAACAACAACACCTGTCACGAACAAATCACATGCCTTGCTGAGCAGAAACTCGGGAGGCATTGGGTCACGAACCGGATTGCAATCCCTCGTAACTGTACGGAGCTCGGCTACTGGTCTGGACGATTACGCTCAGGCGCCCAAGTGGCCTTGGCTGAGTGTTTTACGGCATGCGCAGCCCAGGGTACAGAAACCATTCTTCAAAGCAAACACATGATAGTTCAGTAGATATTCAGTGGCTTACCTGGTCAGATTCCTCCTCTTCCTCCTCCATGGTGCTAACTGCCGTGCTTCCAACCGCTCTCTGCAAAGAGGCACAGAACAATACCACGTGTGCACAATGTTGGGGTTAGTAATTGCAAATTGTGTTTTTTTGCCCTTAAAAGAGGTTTTGAAAAATCATATTTAAAAAATAGTGGTTGCGACTTCAGCGATGATTTTTAGGAATGGGTTTGCTCCCACACTCAAGCTCAACTGATGAGGGGTGAGTTCCCTGAAACACTGTGTATTGAGCAGGGAGTGCTGCTTTCTTGCAGGTTTGCCGAGTCGAAGGTTCGATGGACTTCTCGTGTGCTCTGGATGGCAGTCGTGAGTCAGTCAAGTGTCAAGTCAAGTCGGCGGAATAGCGCGAGCAAACCCATTCCTATGTTTAAAAAAAAAAATAATAAAATGTTGGGATTAGTACTTGCATCCACAATGCCTCAGGCAAAATAGATGACTTGCACAAAGATCCGAGCCGCGAGTGAGACGGGGCAAGTGCACCCTGTGCACCCAGGCTACACTGCGGGTACCCTACACCGTCTGTAGACTAGTGTAGTGTACTCTTTTTGTCAGCATGAATGAACGGTGCACGGCATGTACATGTACATGATCAGTATCGTCACTGTCTTCAGCAGCTCATGAGTCATTGCACTTGTAGGGTTAGTGGAAGCAGGTATTGTACTACTCAATGAGTGGAAGTACATGACTGTATTATTATGTGAAGAGAAGCCAGGCGTCCAAACCAACCCAAAATACTCTTGCCTTATTCTTCGGTGAAATAGTTATAAAAAATTGTCTTAGGGCGCGTTCAGACTACCGTGAACCCCGTCAAACCGTGAATGCCGATAACCGTGAAGGACATTCACACTACCGATAACAAACTAACGTTTACCGTGAAGTTTTCAGCTCTCACCGCGGCACTGACAAGGGATTTTCCCTTTTTTCCCAGCGCGCATGCGGCCTGAGCACTTTTTTACTGCCGGTAAAAGTTTACTGCCGCAGCCGCCGCGGCAGTAAAACTTTCCCACCGGTAACGTGCCAGTAACGTCACGTGATCAAATCACCTTGGCGCCTTTCCCAATCGGTCACTTTTTATCGGTAGTCTGAACGCGCCCTTACTAAACAACAGTGAGCATAGAAGCAACCTCGATGCACCCAATAATATGGCATCCGGGAACAGCAAGTGTTGCACGAGGATCCCAAGAACATGTCAAGTTCCATGCTACCCGCCGCCATCAAAAGAACGAAGGATAACTGTGCTAGCCTAGTTCATATTCAATGTAACGCTAACGGTATGGGATATAGGAGCCTGTTGGGAAGGCGTGGGTGAGCTGTAAAATCTTGTACGGTTCGCACAGCACAACATACATGCAGCAGTTATTGCGACGGTTAACGTCGATGGACGAGAGTCATAAAGCACAGTCCATGGGGGTTGACGTTTCTGGGCTTCCTTTCCGAAAGGAAAGTTTTATTTCTTCTCAAAAAAAGCAGAATCATGCTGATTATACCAGTCTGTTATGAAGACAAGGAAGCAGCCATGGACATTGTGCCATACTAAAGGAACGACAGGTAAAAGATAAAGCACTTCATCTGAAAACTCAAGGACTATCCATAAATACAGCAAATGATAATCCTAGCCTGGTAATGTCCAACTCCGTCATGTAAGCCATTCGGTGAGTTATCAAGGGAAGCATAATGTTTGAAATGCTGAAATTTGAACAGTTGCAGTTGTGTTCGTCGCCACACAATGCCATCGCCAGTTCACATTTGAAATGTAGCCATTTTTACGCTTGTGTCCCTGCACACGGCATGGAAGGCTGAGCAGATTCAACTCTTCCATCGCTTCCTGATCTGTACAGTAGTGCGGTTGCGTTCCCGTTCCTGACACATCGGTCTCCGCTAACCAGCATCATGAGCACTCCAATGGTTCCCACCGCTCCTTCCGTATCGTCCCAGCGCGCCCCGTCAAAATGTGAATTACTGTAGGCAACGGAGCCAGTGTATGATGAAGGCGAATGCACTGTTTGATGATGCTCCAACAAATCCTTTCTGAGACTGAGATCCAGCCGGAGCCGCATCGTCGTCATTACCAGCTAATCATGGGGAGGTATAATGTGACTTTCCACCACTCCCTGATTCAATCATAGTTTGCGAGCCTGCGCCAAACTGCTTTCTTACTAGAGCCAGGCATTGGATACATATGGCTTCAGTAAGGTTTACAATGCTATGTCTCTGGCCTAAGTCCAAGTCTAGATACAGCTGCTCAGAGTCAGGGCTGATGAAGTGTTCATATCGGAACAAGTGAGACTTCAACAGTAGCTAGTACACATCAGGCCTGAGGACTTCGCAGCGTTTCTCCAGCACACTTGTTCTCTCCTTCAACTCAGATACTACTTTGAAGTACTACTAAAGGCCATCTGGCTCTCACACTCAGTCCTTCCACCCCTCATTTTCGTGGTTTGGGCTTCCACTCTTGACTCGGCAGGTTCCTGGCCTCTCCGAAGTCTGTCCTCAGGAGACTGGGGTCGCTCTGGAGCTAGTGCAGCCGAATCGAAGGGAATCGAGTTCTTTCTCAGACGTCCACAAACTTTCGTTGTGCTTGACTTCGCTTCCACTGCGGGAAAGTAGTCACACTTCAGGACCACGACGTGCTTGTTGCAGCCTACACCAATGATACTAAAATAATATTCCCTCATTTTTTCTGCCTCCCGGCCGGCCGGCTCGAAAAGGAACGTATGGAATGGGAGCCTCAGTTCCATCTCTCGTCTGCTAGTGCATTCAGGAGCGTAGCAGCACTTCGGCATGACGATACAAGCCGAATCAAAACAACTCTACTCTCTAGCTCAAAAAACTAGCTCAGTGTTCGTCAGGCAAAAAGCGAAACTTCGAAAGTCACGAACTCAAAAGGTGGGGAAGTCAGAGTCAGAAGGTCCACTTGCCCCGTCTCGAACCCAGACAATCTTTGTGCAAGTCATCTATTGACTAAGCATGCTGGAGTCGTGTCCACACTTCGGCCAGGTCCAGATCATAGCTACAGTACTGTAGGTGGCAGAAGAACTGGGCTCAGGCCCCGTAGCCTCGGCTGTTCCTATTGCTACGTACTACAACAGTCTACGCACGGTTGAGTCACCGTGTATACATTGGTATGCTGTGCTTGGTGAAATTCTACCCTGTTCGTTTCTCGCGGCCCGGCAGTATTGTAACTGTAGCAGGTGATGTGCACAAAGCAATCTAAGAAGGTTCATACAGCCTCTCCAGTGCCACGAGGGCTCAATTAGAATGAGCTGCTACCTATGGAATAGTACAAAGGGAAAACAGTGTACCCTGTCCACATTGTACGCACATGCACACAGTGATCATTTCAAAAACCTCAGGAGGGAGCATCAAACCTCAGGAGGGAGCATCAAACCTCAGGAGGGAGCATCAAACCTCAGGAGGGAGCATCAAACCGCTGGGTGGTACCACCTACCACTGCCACAGTACCCACACCCACACAGCAACACCATCTTCTGTTAGACGGACGAAAGGATCCACGAGGCCCAAATCTGAGCAAACAAGAAGACAAAGGGATGCCAATGACTATACCTTCTTGGCAGGGGGTTCACCATCACCACCGGATGCTCTTGACTTGCCACTGAACGAGGCAACACCTCCTTGTTCTGGACCAACGTTTACGTCACTGCTGGAGACATCACCGGTCAACGAAACGGCACCTGTGACCCAAAAACAACACAACATGTATCACACTGCAAGTCATGTTTTTGCCTAGCTCAGTATATGGTAGACACTGGCTTATCCGCTCCGTTTGGGTGGGAGGGAGTACACCAAAAAAATGAGTGGGTAAGTGAAAACAGGCAGATAAGTGAAATCTATACTTCAATACATACGGGTATCAATAACGTTATTCAGAAGCGGAACACGATCAGCTTTACTCGTGCATGGTGAATATCTCAACTGCAACTGTTGTATCAACAGCTAAGACTAGTAATAGAACCGTAGTCCATTGGGCAGGTGCTATCATACACTGCGCTAACGGACGTTCAGCCCAGCAAGCGCACAGGGGGTTCCCCTACTCTGATTCATCAAGTGTTCATGAGCGAACTGTGGACCACTGAAGCACGGATAAGCGAAGGTGCACTGTGCATGCTTCTATCCTGACCCGGCAAGGATGCGAGTTGGACCGGTACGGTGTGAGTCAGGCAGCTGGTTATGAAGCAAAAAGAATCTGATATTTTAAAGCGTACTTACCATCGAGAACGAAGAAGAAAGGTGCGGTCTCCGATGTCTTGTACAAAAGAGGTAGGCCACAGCTGCGGAAAAAGATAAGGAAAGGATATAAATCTTTACACTCTGATACGAGTAGCACAATGATTGGCTCTGAGGCAAGAGAGAAGGAGAGAGAGAGAGAGAGAGAGAGAGAGAGAGAGAGAGAGAGAGAGAGAGAGAGAGAGAGAGAGAGAGAGAGAGAGAGAGAGAGAGAGAGAGACTGCCTCAATGGATTGATATCAGTTCATCCATTGCGTTGGAAATTGGCAGTGGAGTTTGCTGTTCTTGATATACAGTCGTGGCAAGTGAAATCACTGTCATTATCAGGATTGCTGTGCACATTTACTACCGTGGACTGATTGGTATTACATGTACAGTAAAACTTCCCAGACCCGGGCAGGTTGGGACCGAGCACTGCCCGTAACTAGGAATTGCATGTAACTCAGAACATACATACTCACTGGATGCAAGAAAACATTTTGTGATGCCAATCAATAATTTTTGGGGCCGTTTTTCGTTGAAAAAGCCAATTTTGTGACTGAAGACGTGCCAGGATTAGGGGGGGGGGGGGGGGGGGGGGGGGATCCAGATCTTTTACTGTACAACGTGCACAGGTCCCAGACCGCGCAGCCTTCGGCTCTGCGAGTGCAGACCGGTCCAGAATTTACTAGCCGCGACTCTAGAGTGAAATGCCAGTGCACATTGCGGCAACGGTCAACCCTAGGCTTACGTACGTCTGACACTTTTCACGGATTTGCAATTCCAGCCCTTCCGTCCTGGATAAAGACCAAAAAAAGAAAGAAAAAAGGCATAGAGTACATCACATAACCATATGGAACAGCCATGTTGGTTCCAACTCCACTCAACTCCTCAACTTATGGGTGACGTCAAGAGTACATGAAAAAAACCCGGAGTGTGCAGCTTGTGACTATTTCTGCATGGGTGTCCGTACCAGCAAAATTTCGGGGTTTTATCATAGTTGGTGCAGATAAGCGGCAGGAAGTGGCGTAGTGCGTACAACTGAACTGCAGCTGCGCAGAAAGAGATCCGCTCGCATCCTGCTTGCATGCACTACATCACTAAACTGATGCAATCCCGGAAGTTCGCCGTGACATCAACCCATAGGCCATCCGAGCTGCGCACTCTGGGTTTCATGTACTCTTGGTGACATGATGCTGGACATGCTGGTTCCACTGTTAACATGCCATGATCGCTTCCTACACAAATTTAGTCACATGACCAAGGTGTGAACTTCACTGTGAAGCCACTCCATAGGAAGGCTGGACAAATCGAGACTGGCCTAAAAACACAGGGAAGCTACAATAGACAGGTTCCGCACAACGTAATTACGTTACTTCTAGTGAACACGTAGTCGATCTACGGAAAGGCATACGCACACTGAATGCGGATCCGTATTCCGCCATATGGAGTTTCCGAATCACGTAGCTGCCCTTGGCAACTCCTAACGCGACAGTGTACGACCTAGGGAGAGAGTCATAAATGTATACTCCAATCCACTTACGGAGCACCTTCGTTAGTAGAGCTCCGTTTACGTACCCTACGCAGACAACTTTCCGTAAGTGGAGTGCAAACTCGCGAATTCACGAGTTTTCCTCGTCCACGTACGTAAAGCTGCTAAACTTTATGTAGCGCGGAACCTCTCTAATATCATGAGTAAATACGCGAGTAAGTATGTACAAACTTCCCAAATTGGGGATCAACCCAAGACACTCTGCACCGCTACTGTTCCCGAGCTTTAGAGTGTTCTACAGCTGCATGGATCGCTACTGTTCCCGAGCTTTAGAGTGTTCTACAGCTGCATGGATCGGTACATCAGTGCGCGTACGTGGTTCTGCAAGCGACTTAATTCGACATAGGACATCGAGGATTCCCCAGGAGCACCACGATGTGAGGCGCCATCGATAGCATCCATGCATTCCTTGCGACTGATGGTTCCATTGGTCCATGTGTTCGGATGAGCGAGGTTCGAATAGCCAATATGCAATCCCAGCAAGCGTTGTCTGCTTGACAAGAGAACTAGTATTATTGGCAAGCTATACAATACGCACAACACGCACATCCATGCTACAGTAAAGCCTGTGACTAACGACCACCCCTTGGCGCCAGAGAAAGCGGTCTTTAGTGGCAGGTGGTCTTTAGTTAGAGGTTTACACCGCACAACCATAATGAATGTGAGACCGTCCATGCCTGGTGAAGTGGTCTGTAGTACCAGGCTGGTCGCTAGTCACGGCGGTCTTTAGTTACAGGTTTTACTGTACAATGTACGTGCTTTAAGCCACTGCACACCAAACACGGCCACTCCAGGGATATACAATGTGTATGTCTTAGTCACACAGGCATTGCTCAACCATTCCATTAGATTCAGGCCTGAGGCCTGATGATCGCACACAGGTGGAAACGAACACACACACACACACACACACACACACGCACACACACACACACAGTGACACACACACACACACACACACACACACACACACACACACACACACACACACACCTTGAACCTTGAACGCATTGCCGTAGCAATGATATGCCGTAGCAATGATATTACTATCACACGCTCACACACACACACACACACACACACACACACACACACACACACACACACACACACACACACACACACACACACACACACACACACACACACACACACACACACACACACACACACACACACACACACACACACACACACCTTTTCAAGTAGATTGTTTTGTCTGGAACACAACGACGTCTGCAGGTCCGCTTGCGAAGATCCACCACAAATGAGTTGTCCCTCGGTCGGCGGGGCAATTTCTCCAAAGTGGAGTCTACACAACAGATCAACCATTCATCCATAGCATTAGATGCTATCCTCGTGGTTGGGCTCAAGGAACTAACTCCTTACCTAGCACAAAGACCATCTGACCACAGATGCAGTAATAGACGGAAAGGGATACTTCGTTCACGCCATAGTCTCTCTTGCTGCGATTGTCATCCACAGCCACACTGTGGGAGACTATCTTCGGCATCTTGTCAAGACTCCACCATGTGCAGATAGGTCAGGTTCTGTACACGCTTGCACTAATGCTGTGGAAGAAAGAGAATAAATTGCTTTCCAGAATGAAAGCAAAATTTCAAACTGCTGAAATGAGGCGAGATTCGACTACAAAAATGCATCGTTCTTCTTCTCTTTTTTTTGCGAAGGTTGTAATTTTTCTACACTTTGCCTGATCAAAAGGTGCCATTTTGTTACGTAACGAATAATAATTGATTTGATTTTACATGTAAAATCAAATCAATTATCCAGTTCAAATTTTCTTTGGGTTGTTGCCCAAGCTCTGAGAGCGAGACCCCCAGTCTCCGTAGTGGATGTCCGTTTAGACGTCTAATCCCTCTGTACGATGCTGAACGTTGCAAAGAGACTTCAGAGCACAACAATTCATGGTCGCTGCTTCATGATGTCTGCGGATCACAAATCGTACCAGGTAATAGTAATTATTGTCAATTGTGTAGTTTCCAGTCAACATTTATAATTTTGATATCTGATTTAATACCCGTGGAGTAATTACAGCAAATTTATTCCCTGCTCCATACTGTGTACACGTGCGCTAGAAAGGCACCAGCCACCGCCTACTTATAAATAGTGAAACATTCCCAACACTTCAGTCTTATGTTTCGATTTCAACAAATCAGGGACATGTGTCCCTGAGTACAGTGTGTGCGACCACGTACGCGCGCGCGCGTGTGTGTGTGTGTGTAGTCTCTGCAATTTGGGGAGAAGCACCCCTTCGCATGTCTAACCCTATTAAGTTGCCCATACTCACATGCGTGAGCATTGCGAGCATGAAACATCGTGTGATGTTTATCATCTACATGATTGTATGTTTCTCAAATAACATTGATTCAATTTTGCTGCCAACCAACATTACAACTTGACTGGCTTGGCAGTTAACTTGTAATGAATGATGTGTACGTGTATTGTACATTGACCGAGGAGTAGGTAACTGTCAGACAGACAGACCGACAAACAGACCGACAAACAGACCGACAAATGGACGGGCAAACGGACAGACAGACAGACGGACAGACATCCAGACCGATCAGACAGAAAGACAAACAGACAGACCGACGAACAGACAACTGGTCAATAGAGACTTAAAAAAGACAAAGACAGGAAGTGAGGTGGGGAGACGAAGGCGCACACACAATGCATGGTACACACACCATGGGACGACCATTGGACGCCCATCGCCGGAGGCGATGATAGCGATGCTACAGCAGAAGCCATAACAGCTTGTGCTGGGATTCCACCATTCAACAGCTTGCAAGGCTGAAGAATTGACCGCCACTATTCAGCCTGGTCTACACCACACAGCTATGAAGTGGCTTTTTTTGGCCAGTGAATCCCTACTTTTTGGTCTTTTCATTTTTTTCACGCACACACATCACACCACATACTCCGCCATGCACTGGCTGTTGGTAACCACCCAGGAGAATGAAAGAAAAGTCAGGAGAAGTCTGAGAAAGAGAAGAAAGACGTGTGTGACCATAATCGTCGGGAATCGAACCCGCAACCTATCGATTGGAAATCGCTTCACATACCACTGCACCATATGGGACACACACACACACACACACACACACACACCTCGGACCTCGGACCTGCCCATCGCAGAAGCGATGATAGCGAACAGCTATGTTAGATATAGCAACTTTGTGCTGGAATTACACCATTCAACAGCTTGCAAGGCTGATGAATTGACCGCCACTATGTTTAGCCTGGTATCCACCACACAGCTGATTGAAGTGACTTTTTCTGGCAAGTGAATCCCTATTTTTCATTTTTCCATTTTTTTCTTTTTTTTCTTTTTCTACACACACCACATACTCCGGCATACACTGGCTGTTGGTAACCACCCAGGAGAATGAAAGAAAAGTCAGGAAGAGTCCGAGAAAGAGAAGAAAGACGTGTGCGACCATAATCGTTGAGAATTGAACCCGCAACCTCTCGATTGGAAATCGACTGCACATACCACTGCACCATATGGGACACACACACACACACACACACACACACACACACACACACACACACCACACATACACACACACACACACACACTCTCTCTCTCTCACACACACACACACGCACACTCTCTCTCTCTCTCACACACACACACACACACACACACTCTCTCTCTCTCTCTCTCTCTCTCTCTCTCTCTCTCTCTCTCTTTCACACACACACACACACATGCACATAGATGGGTTAAACATGCCTTGTTCACTACACGTCATTGCGATTGGTTCGACCAATAACTCTGGACATAGCTGTTTCAACCTTGCTGGGTCTCACCACTGCTGAGGACTTTGTCAAGTGTACTTAGCGTCAACATTATTGATGTTTTAGAACCTGTAGAATATTGTGAAGACTCTTATAATAGCATGATATTCTATCACTGTTGCAGGAGGCGGTGTTGGCACTCAACTCTCTTCAGAGCAACGCAGCAGATATCGAGAAGGCACGGCAGCATCCGGTTACCGACAAGAGAGCCGCGCTTGCAGACTTTGAACGTTACATGAACCGCACGGGCCTGACCGTAGGTACCAGTTGTATGTACAGTGTGTGTCTGTTTTCCTTGTACACCTTATCATGGCTCCTGTTACAAATAACAGGACTGTGCAGTGTCTGCTCTAGGATTTCAAACCAACCGGGTACACGTGTACCTGGCACAACTCTTCCAACCGGGTCAAAGGCGGGTACGTTCAAGTGCAGCTACTGCATGTACATGTACATCAGGAAGCTGTACATAATAGTACTCCCTGCTGTACATAATAGTACTCCCTGCTGTACATAATAGTACTCCCTGCTGTACATAATAGTACTCCCTGCTGTACATAATAGGACTCCCTGGTGTACATAATAGGACTCCCTGGTGTACATAATAGTACTCCCTGCTGTACATAATAGTACTCCCTGCTGTACATAATAGTACTCCCTGCTGTACATAATAGTACTCCCTGGTGTACATAATAGGACTCCCTGCTGTACATAATAGGACTCCCTGCTGTACATAATAGTACTCCCTGCTGTACATAATAGTACTCCCTGCTGTACCTAATTGTACTCCCTGCTGTACATAATAGTACTCCCTGCTGTACATAATAGGACTCCCTGCTGTACATAATAGGACTCCCTGCTGTACATAATAGGACTCCCTGCTGTACATAATAGTACTCCCTGCTGTACATAATAGTACTCCCTGCTGTACATAATAGTACTCCCTGCTGTACATAATAGGACTCCCTGGTGTGTATTCCCAACAGGGCCACTGATGACCCGGTGTTCTTTTTCCAAACGGATCCAAGTACCCTCCAACCAGGTGGCTGACCCGGCTCTGGAGCAGACACTGCTGTAAACTGCCTAATATTTTCGACGTGTTAATGTTTTAGTGACGCGGGTATTGGGCGGTTCACAGTACATTGCTATCAAACACTGAGCATGCCCAGGCAACAGGGTTCTTATCAGTCGCCAGTGAACACAGCTGTTATTTACCTTGATGCCTGTGGATTGCTAGCATAGTACTGTGCAATGCATGTACAGTGGTGGCATCTGAAATCCGACCCCTGATTTTTTTTCTCTCTCTCTCTAACACACATTCTGTTTGTTTATCTGTCTGCCCGTCTGTAGGTTAGTGATCTTAAACGTTTGTCAATCATCCACGTTTCAGGGACTAAGGGAAAGGTAAGACTATTGAGCATCAGGGTTCCATGTGTCAGCCGTGTGTGTGTGTGTGTGTGTGTGTGTTTGTGTGTGTTTCTGATTCTGAACGTAGCCTTGTCTGTAATGTTGTAATGTTGATATATGGACAGTCAGTGTTGTTACAGATTCCGACTTCTTCTCTGGCAAGGGACTGCACGCCATGGTCATGTGACTAAATTTGTGCAGAAAGTGATCAAATTTAGTCACTTGACCCATGATCAATTTCTGCACTAATTTAGACACATGACTAAGATAATAATTGAAGCCACTCCATGCTGAAATTTGACTATACACATCCATGTGTTTGTCCTTGTACCTCTACTTTCAGGGCTCAACGTGTGCAATGGTGGAGAGCATTCTTTGCAAGCATGGAGTGAAAACCGGTTTCTTCAGGTGAGTTGTGGACTGGTGGTAGCTGTATGGTTTTCTGCAGCCACCTCTGAGAGGAAGCAGAGCAAACAACCCGCGCCAAACACTCGAAAGACAGCCTCGCGTGCGAGCACAAGAGGGAGAGAAAGGGCGCTGACGTGAGCGCGCTCTGGCGTGCATGCGGCGAGTGTGTTTGGCGCATCTAGCTGCTCCCGGTTCAATGTCCGTACAAGTGGCTAATGACAGTCATACTAACGTAGAGATCTGCCACTTGATAACTAAATTTGGTACAGTGATGTGCATGTAGATTAAATTTTGTAGATTCGTTAACTCAGACTGCCCTTCCCATAAGTTTGCATGTGCAGTAGTTGCAGCTCTATACCTGGGAAGGGTGATGATGTGGTGCTGGTGTTTTAGGCGCCGTCCAGGGTTACCAATTACATCTTAAAACTGATTTAATATGAAACGGTTTGTTCGGGGGTGGGTGTGTTTGGGGTTTTCCATTCTGAAAATTTAAGCTAGAAATCAATATTTTGCTGGCTTTCGTTTAGTGTGCCAAACGATGTCCCGTCGGTAGTTGGCAGCTGAATAATACATGTACTATGAAGTAAAATTAATCTTCTTTCAAGTTCTTTGTTTTGAAAAGAAAAATCTGTAAACCCGGATGGTCCCTCTGAGTGAAATGTACCTGGTGTCCTTGTTGTGTTGCCCAGCTCTCCTCATCTGGTCGAGGTACGAGAGCGCATCCGTCTCAATGGACAGCCACTAAGCTATAGGCAGTTCAGCGACTACTTCTGGCTGTGTTACAACCGACTGCAGGAGTCAAAGGTAGGCAAGACAGCCCCTTCTAGGCACGTGTCTGGGAGGGGAGTGTGTGTGTTTGTGTGTTTGTATGTATGAGTGCATATATGATGGTCCCCTCTGTTTACTTGGTTGTGTATGACTACTGAAACTGCACTGTGTCACCTATTTGCAGTCGGGCCGTATGTACGAAAGAAATCCATTCGAACACCTTCATAACGAACCGCACGGGCTCAAGGTCCTGCATGGAGGGAGGTTACTGGTGCATTTGTCCAGCCGGTCATGTGTGTGTGCGTGCGTGCGTGTGTGTGTGTGTGTGTGTGTGCGTGTGTGTGTGTGTGTGTGTGCGTGCATTTGGTATGTTTGTGTTTGATGTGTGTGTGTGTGTGTGTGTGTGTGTGTGTGTGTGTGTGTGTGTGTGTGTGTGTGTGTGTGTGTGTGTGTGTGTATGTGTGTCCCATATGGTGCAGTGGTATGTGCAGCGATTTCCAATCGATAGGTTGCGGGTTCGATTCCCGACGATTATGGTCGCACGCGTCTTTCTTCTCTTTCTCAGACTCTTCCTGACTTTTCTTTCATTCTCCTGGGTGGTTACCAACAGCCAGTGTATGCCGGAGTATGTGGTGTGTGTAGAAAAAAAATGGAAAAATGAAAAATAGGGATTCACTGGCCAGAAAAAGTCACTTCAAACAGCTGTGTGGTGGATACCAGGCTAAAAATAGTGGCGGTCAATTCATCAGCCTTGCAAGCTGTTGAATGGTGTAATCCCAGCACAAGTTGCTATGTCTATGTCTAACATAGCTGTTCGCTATCATCGCTCCCGCGATGGGCATGTCTGAGGTCTGAGGTGTGTTCGTGGGGGGGGGGGGGGGGGGGGGGGGATTTGGATCCAACTATATCTTGATTGATAGACGAGCAAATTTGGATTTCAGTTATGTGTATTTTTATAGTCAACTGCTAATCCATCCAAACTTCTTCATGGCACGTCCGCGCATGTGTGTGCATGTGTGTGTGTGTGTGTGTGTGTGTGTGTGTGTGTGTGTGTGTGTGTATGTGTGCTATGTTTGATTGTGTGGCTACACAGAGTGAAATGGACAGCTCGATTCCGCCGTACTTTCGCTTTCTGAACCTAATGTCGTTTCACGTCTTTCTACAAGAAAAGGTGCGTTGTCAGGGATGGTGTGTGTGCGTGCCCACTCTTTGTGCACTAATGTTCCTGAATGGTCTTCGAATCATGCATGACCCATTGCTTCTGTTGGTGCTCCCCATGATAAGTAATACCTTCTGCCAGTGGTGCCCATACTATTCTGGATCTATCTCTCTCTCTCTCTCTCTCTCTCTCTCTCTCTCTCTCTCTCTCTCTCTCTCTCTCTCTCTCTCTCTCTCTCTCTCTCTATCTATCTATCTATCTCTCTATCTCTATCTCTCTATCTCTCTATCTCTTTCTCTCTATCTCTTTCTCTCTCTCTCTCTCTCTGTCTCTCTCTCTCTCTCTCTCTCTCTCTCTCTCTCTCTCTCTCTCTCTCTCTCTCTCTCTCTCTCTCTCTCTCTCTCTCTCTCTCTCTCTGTCTATCTCTATCTCTCTCTCTCTCCCTCCCTCTCTCTCTCTCTCTCCCTCTCCTTCTGTCTTGTACTACTTTGCTTTGGAAATATCCATTGCTTGCACTCTATCCTAGATCTCTTCTTGTCTTTTCTCTTCGTGTACATATCATAGGTGGACGTAGCCATCATGGAAGTTGGTATTGGCGGCCGGTTCGACACAACGAACGTTGTACCGTAAGATCTGGCCTGGCTTTGAGGTAGTGACAGCTGCATGCACGCAGGCATCACATGTGATCACACAGGCACACTCTGAGGCGCAACAAAATGCACTACGGGACTGCTGGGTGCCGAAGAACTGGAGGGGGGGGGGGGGGGGGGGGGGATCAGCCTCCTAGCCTACAAGGGCATTCTAATTTTCATGTTCTACCATCTATGCACAGTTGAGTAACAGTGTATACATTGGTATGCTGTGCTTGGTGAAATCCTAGCCTGTTCATTCTTCGGCACTCCATTCTTACTGTAATGTTGTTTGGGTGGTGTGCGTGGGGGTGCTATGCACATTCGATCATAATGTAGCAGATAATTGTTGACAAGAGCACGAGATGTTAGCGCTGTTTGGAAATATATCCCATCTGTCATGTGATAGCACCGTCCGCACAGATATGCCCCTTCTCACGATGCCAGCGCTGCTCATGCCTCATGGCTTCGAATAGACCAGATGCACAATGATGATTGAAGTGCATAGAGATTATTATACAAACCTGTGGGACTAAAACAGGTGATGCATTGTGTTTTACATCTGAAGAGCACCCATTTCATCCTGAGAATGTGTACGGATGACATCACAATAACATTAAACTGTAGCCTATCGCAGTGCCCATTGCTTGGCTGTGTGGCTTCATGGTTGCATGGGCTTATCCAAGCCTCTCTCTCTCTCTCTCTCTCTCTCTCTCTCTCTCTCTCTCTCTCTCTCTCTCTCTCTCTCTCTCTCTCTCTCTCTCTCTCTCTCTCTCTCTCTCTCTCTCTCTCTCTCTCTCTCTCTCTCTCTTTTCCATGGCTCTTTCTCTGCCTGTTCAGGCCCCCAGTTGTGTGCGGTATCTCCTCGCTTGGTTACGACCATGTTGCTTTGCTGGGCAAGACGCTAAAAGAGATTGCATGGCACAAGGCGGGTATCATGAAGGTAGGAGTGCGGAGTACGTGCGGAGTGTAGTGCACTGTGAGCCAGTCTCAAGTCTAAACTTGCTTATGATAAGTGACCGCTGCATGTGAAGACCGAACATGGACGGCACCAGGCAGACCACTTGCCTGGATAGAACGTGCCACCTGGCACTAGGGATTGGTTGCTGGGAACAGATATTACTATAGTTTTTTATGCGTCACTGGCAACCACTGTCAGGCAGGATACCAGTCATCTTGGTTCACGGCGTTTCAAGGATCTATATTGTCTTTAAATGACTTTTGATCCGTGCTGTTTTTGTAGTTTAACATTAGTGTGTAACAATCATAGTGTTGACAGTTAATGGCCTTGTGTTTGTCCCAGCTATTGTGTATTTATGTTGGACGGGGTTGCGGTGACTCCGGTTCCTTGGAATAATCACACTTGAAATAACTATATGTTTCATGTCTATTTCACCCACTGTTGTGCAGACTGGGACGGTGGCCTTCACTTCACCACAGGCTGATGAAGGCATGGCTAGTCTAGTGACTGAGGCCAAGGCAGTGGAAGTAAGCTATGGCCGTGTTGTTTTCAACCTAGATTTATAGTAAAGAAAAGGACCAAGGAAGAGCTGAGCTGATTGTCAATTAACTGCTGATGTTAGTGGACATAATAGTGTAACTTGTAGTGCCTTGGTCCTTTTCTTCACTATAAATTAATCATTGGCTTTCTATCCGAGTCTATTCAACCTAGATGCTTGTCTTGTCCTATTTCTATAACTCACTGCGCTGTGTTCGTGGTGATTGTTTGGCCTGAATATGACTTTCTTGTGGCTCTCTGTTTTTCTGGGCCGAGTGGCTATGGCTTTCTTGTGGCTCTCTGTTTTTCTGGGCTGAGTGGCTATGGCTTTCTTGTGGCTCTCTGTTTTTCTGGGCTGAGTGGCTATGGCTTTCTTGTTGCTCTTTGTTTTCTGGGCTGAAGGCCATAGAGAGCTGTGGTGCATTGTGTTGATGATTCTCTTTTTTTTTAGAAACGGAATTGTTTTACATTGTTTTGCCTTCGTGCACTGGATTTGACTTGACACACAGGTGCCGCTACACGTGTGTCCACCCATGGCTGACTACCCTCCACCGCTACCAGGTAAGAGTATGCGCAGCTTAGGTGACAGCGGTGCATTCTAGCTTGGATGTATTTGCACACGGATGCGTGTGCATTATATTTGGTTGGCTCGAAGCAGGCATCTTTTTATTTCATAAGTGACACGGGTAATCTTTACCTGTGCTGTGTTTCAGATTTTATTGGCGAAGGGGTATGTGTACATGTACCATATATTTGGTTGACTCGAAGCAGGCATCTATTATTTCACAAGTGATGTGGATATTCTATACCTGTGCTGTGTTTCAGATGTGGGCCTTGCAGGTGAACACCAGCAGAACAACGCGTCTCTGGCACTTCAGCTTTGCAAAACCTGGCTGCAGAGAACGGGACGTGAAGGTACGAGGTTGAACGGTGACATTAACTTCTCGCCCGAAGTGGCCGTTTGCATGACGCATCTGCACTCCATGGTGGTGTGATTCTCACTGTATTGTAGAGTACATAAAGGGTGCTACTCTCCCAGACACAACGGACAACGGGAACGGGTAGGTGGGAAGACATTTATTATAGACGAAGAGACAGGGACAAAGATGAACGAAACGACTACATTATGGAAGAGAGCAAGAGCGAGTCAGGGCGGCAAGATAAAGGGCCTGGGTAGCTATGGCAAATATGGGCGCTCAAGTACTAGTAGCTACCCAGGCCAACGGAACAAAAGGTGAGTACGAGGGTGCTAGCAGGCCAGCTTGGAAAAGGTTGTAGAACGTACGGGAGGAGGTACCTAACTGTATTGTAATTTGACTGGATGTAGCTCTGTGTTGAATGCCTGCTTCTGTACTTCGTTTTAGCACTCTTAGAACCGGATGGTGCATCGTCTTCGCCTGAAGGCCGCGTCCAGACCGCCAGCGTAGGGCAACCAACGGAGTCGGTGTCGATCGATGTCTCCGGGGATGCCAGCTACGCAGCGGAGCGCCTCACAGTACCGGTGGCGCAGTCCTTTGCCATCACTCCCAGCATGCGGCAAGGTAAGGTTGTCTGAGCTGGTCTCTACTGGTTCACTTGCTTTCCCCGGAAACAACTTTGTGAAGGTGCTTCACATTGTAAGAAGTTACTGTGGTTAATAAATTCAGTTCAGTGGACTAAAATACTTCCCAATCAATGAGGGTCCTTTTTTCTTTTCCTTTTTTTTTAAGTACGTGCCCTATTTTACAAAGAAACTGGCACAGGTTGTGTCTCACTCAGGGTCGCCATGGCTCAGAGCTATAATCACCCGAACTGAGAGGTCTAATCAACGTGACCAAGTTTTCGTTTCCGGAGGAAGTAGCTAGTTATCAGTCTACCCAGAGAGTGGGGCCTACCACGGGTTATCGTGTCTATCTCTAGAGCACATCAGTACTAGAATTGTCACGACCATAACACGCCTAGTCCGGTCTGTTGAGAATTTTAATATCTGGGTCCGGAACGTGTCGAGCTCGTCCAATATGTTGGCATCACAGTGTGGATGTCAGGGCGATTTGGCATGTCAGAACACTCTTCCAAAACAGCTGAGAATTGTTCAGATACCAGGGTAGGACGATGCAACAAAGGATGACATAACTGACTCCAGTGCACTCTTGTCACATCCATATTGAAGTACATGTACACCTCCTTTCTTGTTCTTGCCTACACCAATCAGAAACTGGCCCTACATTTCATCACTCTACAATGTGATTCTATATTAGTATCAAGTGGCTATCTCCTGCAGCTTCTCTCTGCTTCAGGGAGGCTGTGAAAACATCCTTGTGCTCCTTTGAAGGTTGGTTTGTAGTTTCAAAAGCGATCTCCAAGTGTGTGTTTTCTTGTTGGTGTAATTTCTTTGTCTTTTTCTTCAGGTCTTGCTAGTGTTCGCTGGCCAGGAAGATGTGATGTTGTCAAGCTGCCAAAGGTTACAATCTATCTTGATGGAGCACATACGGTTCGCAGTGCACTGGTATGTTGGCAGATGGTCTAATGTTCATGTTCCTTTCTTTGTGGGTGGGTGTCTATCTGTGTGTGTGTGTGTGTCTGTGTGTCTGTGTGTCTGTGTGTGTCTGTGTCCCATATGGTGCAGTGGTATGTGCAGCGATTTCCAATCGATAGGTTGCGGGTTCGATTCCCGACGATTATGGTCACACACGTCTTTCTTCTCTTTCTCAGACTCCTCCTGACTTTTCTTTCATTCTCCTGGGTGGTTACCAATAGCCAGTGCATGCCGGAGTATGTGGTGTGATGTGTGTGTGTGAAAAAAATGAAAAAGACCAAAAAGTAGGGATTCACTGGCCAGAAAAAGCCACTTTATAGCCGTGTGGTGTAGACCAGGCTGAATAGTGGCGGTCAATTCTTCAGCCTTGCAAGCTGTTGAATGGTGCAATCCCAGCACAAGCTGCTATGGCTTCTGCTGTAGCATCGCTATCATCGCCTCCGGCGATGGGCGTCCAATGGTCCAATGGTGTGTGTCTGTGTGTGTGTCTGTGTGTGTGTGTATGACTGTCTGTGTGACTGTCTGTGTGTCTGCGTGTGGGTCAGTCCAGTCGCCACACCAGAAAATAGCCGTCATGGGTACTGCATAATTGAGATAGGCGAAATGGCGGCTACGAGGTTGCCGGTGGTACATGGTCACCACGCCACGGACATGCTCTGGCACATTGTCACCAGACATCCCCTATGTTTTGTCCTTTTCCTCGTTTCTTTTTGTTCTCCGCCTGTTTTCCAGTAGGGCTGTGTCAATAAGACCACAGATGTTCGAGCTATGGCCCTGAACCTGCTGCTGTGTGCCTTTGTTCCACTTGAAATTGTTGATCTACTTGTAATCTGTTGCCAGGCGTGTTCGCAGTGGTTCAAGAGAGCAGCTGCCGAGGAGATGACGGAAAAGTAAGTCTGGAAAACACCCTATCCGGTGCCCTTGCTGTTGTTTTCTTCTGGTAAGAACGCATTCAGACCCGCTGTTGTCACTTCATCCTTAGATAGCTACATGTACATGTAGACTAATCCAGACATCTCCTCGGCCCAGAGCAATGGGTATCTGTGTAGACCTCGGTAGAACAAGGGCGCCATGGCCGGTCATGTAATACGAGGCCATTACTACTCTCATTTGCATCATTTCTACACTTGTCGTATCCTTTCCTTGCCCCCTTGTCCTCCATGAAGAGCTCTGCATTCCGAAACCAAATACTAGGAGTCAAACGGGTGTACCTTTAACTAACGAACGGGTAATTTTCTTAACGGGCGGGTTAACGGGTACCCTTTAGCAGCCGTGTTTAATTTTTTGCGCATTTTTCACATAAATCAAGATATAATATATCTGTTCTCGGGTTGTATTTTGATATCACAATGTGATTCGCAAATTGATTGGTGTCTGATAGTCGCAGAGGTAGATCTACTAGGTGCGAAAATGCAACAACAATGCAGACATCCAGAGTGGAGTTGTAAATAATTGACTCCCACCTGGAATACACGATCTCTGCCGTGTTGCTCCATACTGACTGGATCACCGAAATCCAAACGGGTACCCTTTTACTAACGGTACCTGAGATTATCGGGCGGGTACCCGGGTACCCGGTACACCCCTTTGACCCCTACCAAATACAGTAAAAACCTGTCCACTCTGGTAACCACTCTGATAATGTGGCCACCTATCCCAGAAGAGTACTACAGTAAACTCCCCGGATCCGGACGTCCCTAATCCGGGCACTTCCGTGTACCGGGCACCTTTCTGATCCATCTAGAGTCATACAAATTGGCATTTCAACGGGGGAAAGGGCCCCAAAAACTAATTAATTGGCATAAAAGATGTTTTCTTGCATGCCAGTAAGTACATATGTTCTGAGTTATGGGCAATTCCTAGCTACGGACAGTGCTCGGTCGCAACCTGCCCGGATCTGGGGAGTTTTACAGTACAACCAGGACGGAAGGATGGTATTTTCAGTTAAACAACCCCGGATAAGAAGACAAACTGTACACAGGGACCGCATATGTAAGGTCCCTTGAGCGGTGGACTTAGACAGGTTTTCACTGTACAGTGAAAACCTGTCTAAGACGACCGCTCAAGGGACCATCAAAATCTGGTCTCTATCACCAGGTGATCTCCTTATCCAGGGTCATGTGACTGGAAATAGCATCCCTTGGTCCTGGTGCCAGTGGTCTTCTGGGACAGGCGGTCGCCATATCCGAGTGGTCGCCTTGACAGGTTGCACTGTACTAGCATTACTGTGCTGGTTTGTCTCACCAGCTGCACCTAGTACCTTTGATCCTTGAGTGTGGTGGCGTTCCTATGGATCCGGAGACCTCAGTCTAGCTGAGTATAGCACCAACCATGATTTGTTTGTGTCTCACCAGTACAAGAAATAGAGGATGAGAAATTTGTTATAGCTCTGAGTTTCACGGACCAGGCGATCATCAGACACCCGCCAGTGTGTTTTGTTGGCTATGGTCAGATAATCCTGTGCAATGTGGCTCTGCATTGTGCTGTTGCAGGGGCGGCTCCGTGTGTCGGGTAATGTTATTCAACGCTACCGGAGGCCGTGATCCCAAATCTCTGCTCGCACCGCTCAGGGTAAGTGACTTCCAAGCTCCACAGTACACCGTCTACTTGCTTTTCCTCAGTCGGTGAAGCTCATCTGTGCATTTCTGGCAATGGTGGCGACCAGATAAGGTTTGAGCTGCTGGTGGGTAGCTGGAACAGCCGTGTGTATTGATGAGTTTAACGTGTGTTGCTATGCATCAGCATTGCCATTCAAGTTTACTGTGCGGGTTGTGGGTTGCATGAGTTGTGTGAGCTGACCAACGCTGTCTTCGTGGGACATGTACGAGTATGTGCAGAACCAGCAGAACGATATGCTCTGTAGCTGACCTGGGGCTGTACCACCCCTCCGGAGCCCGACCTGGGGCTTTACCGCCCCTCAGGAGCCCGGCCTGGGGACAAACCATACCTCGGGAGCTCGACCTGGGGCCGTACCACCCATCAGAAGCTGCCTCCGATCCTAAACCTGTTATGCAAGACGTTTATCAGTTGACCAACCTACTACTTGTATAAGAACACCGAATAATAATGGTTCCCGGCACGGTCGTATTCCTGAATTGGTCGGTTAAGTGTCATTTGAGATTTGACTATTCCCACGCTGCTGACTTGTGTTGTAATCTGCTCACTGCAGCGTGGGATTTGACTATTCCCACGCTGCTGACTTGTGTTGTAATCTGCTCACTGCAGCGTGGGATTTGACTATTCCCACGCTGCTGACTTGTGTTGTAATCTGCTCACTGTGCTTTGTGCCGTGCTGCAGGATGCGGGCATTCAGGCGGCGGCGTTCTGTCCCAACCTTACTGTCACCGGGCCGAGCACACCAATAGGTAAGCAGCCCAGCGTTAGCAGGTCTAGGGCTGCACAACGCGCGGCACGTATTTTGTTCTCATCTCACGTGTGTACAGTAAAACCTGTCAAAGAGACCACTCGGATAAGGCGACCACCTGTCCTAGAAGACCACTGAAACCAAGACCAAGGGACACTAGTTCCAGTCAAATGACCCTGGATAAGGAGACCACATTTTGAAGGTCCCATGAGCGGTCGTCTTAGACAGGTTCCACTGTATCTCCAGCCATGATTTGCAGGTTTGAAGGTTCTAACGTGTACTACCGTACTGCTCAATGAAATCCAGTCGAGTCACTCAAGTACGTGCCGGGCGTTGTGCAGCCCTAGACCTGCTAATGGGCCATTCACACTACGCCCAGAACGTGGCGTACGTGACGTTTTCGTCCGGATAGCCATGACAACATGGAACGTGGCGGGAAAATCATACCCCTGATACGAAAACATAGACGACATATCCAGACCCCTGTACCGAGTTTCGTTCTGTCGTTCCCAGCAGTTTGTGTCCAAAAGAAGCTGTACACACAGTTGTACGAGCAGCGTGTGCGTGCCTGTGTGAATGCACTTGCATGAAAACGACGTCTGCCAGTACGTCGTATTCCAAAACGTGACGCATATTGTAACGTAGTATGAATAGCCTATAACGCTGTGCTGCTATATGGTGCAAGGTGCAAACTTGAGTGATGCGACTGGATTTCATTGGGCAGGACTGTGCATGCACAATTGTGGCCAAAGAAATCTGACCCATGAGCCGACAGCAGCACTATTGCTTTCCTGGCTGCATTGTCCAGTCATTTCAGACCTTTTTGTTTTTCTCCAGCACAAACTGGCAGCCTAACGTGCAAAGTACCGTAAAAGTCCGTAAATAAGTACCTGCCCGAAAGAAATACCCCCTTTATTCTTTTAGCTCTGTCTGTTGAAGTCAAGTCAAGCCCGATAAACATACTGCCCGAAATAAGTACCGGTACGGTGCGCACATGCAGCACGTAGCATGTACATCGACATGAAAGTGACTTCTCCACTACACACAAGTCAGGTCCGAAAGTTAGTTCGTGCCCGAAAGTCAGTACCTGCCCGAAAGTTACTACGGTTGTGGTCACTAAATTCGAAAGTAAAATACGGACTTATTTACGGACTTTTACGGTAGTGACAGTACCAATCGTTGTCAGTGCAGTGATAACTGGAATGTTGCGGCCTGCCTTGCGCTAATGCTAGCGATAGCAACTACCTGCACATGCCATGCTATGGCTTGTTGTGTACCGCATTACCGGAGAATAAGCCGCGCCCTGATTTTTTTGTCACAAAAGCTACCCTGTATTTCACGGTTCGTTTGACTATCGTAATACCGGTAAGCCACACTGATCTTTCGGGTGAATTATGAGTGATTAAACTGTGGCGTATACTCCGGAAACGGGTTCTGTGTTTTCTCGATGCTCCGCAGACATGACAAATCGAATGGTGACATCGGACGGCGTGATGGCATTGTGCCGTAAGAACCAGTCCGCATGGAATACCTTGCATGAGCAGGCGACGCCTGCACCGCCGGAGGACAGCACCGACCCTGGATGTCGGCCCGTGACCGCCGTTCTGCCGTGCGTGCAGGATGCGCTGTTCTGGCTGTGCCGGCACCAGAACGACGCGTTCCAGTTGACGGGGCCGCAGCCGGACACTCGGCTGCCCGCAGCGCTGCAGTCGGCGGATCACGTACAGGTCCTGGTCGTGGGCAGCCTGCATCTGGTCGGTACTGCGCTAGCCGTTCTGCGTGACTGCTGTAATATTGACCCCAGCGAACGTTGATGTCATCGTGTGACTGTCTATGCTGATAGTGTCATCCATTTTCGTTGGTTGATATCAGGAGCTCTCTGCTCTTAGAGTGTCAAATTCTTTCCATCAATTTTCTGCTGGCCTGGTCTTGTGGATATTGCTCTGCTTTAATAAATAAATCATTTGCCCATCTTTTTTTATCTAATTATCCCTTATACGAGAAAAATTTGATTGATACTAGAAGTTCCCGGCTTGGAAAGAAGAGTTCTATTATTTTATGAGTTGACCTTTTTTCCGTCTTTGCTCCTTGTGTCTTCCTGAAGGGAAATAACCTGCACTTTGTGCTTTCCCAACTGCGTCCTGGCTGGCCAGGCACCCGTTTAGCTTGCTGTCCTGTGGATAGTTCTTTGTGCTTTTTTGTGTTCGACTTTTGGGAGTCATGGCATCATGTAACAATTAATATTTGAAGGCTAAAATCCTTGTTTGCTCTGGCAGCATCCCTGTCCTCTTCCATCCACATGTCTTACCTTGATTTGTCTTCCTTTGACGTTTCCATCCTATTAGACTTGACAGGTAGATACGAAATTACTCCACTTTGTTCTGAGTTCCGTGCTCTGTGTAACCAGGTAACTGTGTTGCAGTGGTTCATTGTGCTGCGGTGTTCTTCTGATCAGTGTTACCAGCATAGCACGCACAATACTGCTGGGTGCAGAAGAACCAGCATGGGTTTAAATCTTTACGGCTACAGTTGTACTATTGTCCGTTATTTTGTTGCCGCTACTGCTGCTGCTGCTGTTTCTTCTTGTTGTTGTTGTTATTGTTGTTGTTGTTGGTGGTGGTGACTCGTGCCAATAAGACAAGTCGGTGGATTGGTGGTGATGTCGTCGTTGTTGCTGCTGCGACTGTATACCCCTACAGACCGATAGTCATTTTTGCAGAGAGCCCCAAGGAGATTTAGGATGGCTATTTGCAGGCAATCATTTAACGATAATAATCGCACAGGTCACATTGTAGAGTGCAGATCGCCTAGTGCTTTCAACAATAATAACGTACTTCCACATTATGGGAATTTGGTATAACCCCACACCCGTCATTGTTGAATATTCGATAATAGCGTGGATTTCCCCAACAATATATTTTCATTTTTTGTTATCCTCTCCCATGCCGTTGTACATAAGCGGCTTGCCGCGGATATGTCAATACTACTACTATTTGCAGAGCAGGAGAGAGCATGATTGTACGGCATCGCATGACCATTGGCGATTGACGTCCTCAGGCTTCCACTACTCTACTCCTATCATTATTAACAAGAGTACATAAACTAACGGTTTATGTACTCTTGTTATATTATTCTGTATGACTGCAGGATGACACAGCTAAAACTGGTCACGTTGATTGTGACTGCAGCACTACTCTACAAAAATTTTGTGGCTGGAGTGGCAATACATGATTCTTTTCTTTTATTTTCTGATCGGATTTTCCTATTAATAAATTATTTTATTTTATTTGATGTAGGCTATTTACTTGACTGGATTTGCCACTCACCATTGCCTTCTTTGCTTGCGCTTTTCGGTTTCTTCATTCCGACACCGGGTTTGTTTTCAAATAGAGGCGAAGTTCGGGAATACATGCACATGATCATCAGATGCTTTGAGAACAAGCATTTTCATACCTCTATTGGATAAACCACTAGCACCATTGACGGAGGTCGTGATAAAGGTTTCCAAACGATCGATGCTGCATGATAGCAAAACGGTACCGTGAACAACAAGGGCAATCAAGGCTTGTTTGCTGCTACTTTTAACCCTTTAAGAGCCACAGGAAAATTTCAAAATTCTGCATTTTTTCGTGTTCCTTGGACCATAGCTTCAGTTCTACTCACTCAATCCTCACAATCTAGGGCTTCCTGGAAAGGTCTCCGCGAGAGGAAGAGAATGAGGTTGATCATGATAGCCAGCACACCGTCTATCCAGCGCTAGATCGCAGCGACAGTACGAAAAATGCCCCAAATGCGTCTAATTGCGTCCCGCTCCAGATATTTCATTTTACTCGATCGTGGAGTTCCCATTTTTTCGCTGTGTGATCACTTTCCGCTGGGGAGTCTCCTGGTGTGCTGGGACTGGATGACATTTCAGGTGACTACACTGTCCGGGAGATACTGGAAGCGAAGCATCCCCCACCTGCACCCGCGTCCATGGAGGCGTTGCTAGATGGTGACGCTCCACCTACACCGCATCCAACAAGATTCTCTGGGTTAGACCGAGAAACGGTTCAGGCGGAGAGCTGCCCTTAACCTTTTGAGCACGACGCTACCTGAATGCCGCCCCACGTCAACACCTGCAAAAATCGCGTTTTTCCTATGAAAGTAGTAGCTGTTCAAGGATCGATAACTAACTTTACCTTTCTTTGGACGAATTCCACGATCTTGAGCTTCCTGCAAAGGTCTTGAGACGAGGAACAAAATAGTTCCAAGCTCAGCTCGGAGCGACACCAAAAGCCCATGCTACAGTCTGGCAAACTTGACGCACGCGCTCGACAGACTTGAGCACGGCCAGGAGATCAAATCCTCAGCTGCCATTTCACTCTCCTTGCTCGTATCGAGCTCAAATTTTTTTGAGGGCTCGCCAGATCCGCTGCCATCATTTGAATCTAGTTTCCATGGCAGCAGATAGCGCGAAAATGATCGAAAATGGAAAATACGCGTTCTGCAGAGTTCGCAGAAAAATCGATTTGAATTTGCCGTGTCGAGTCGCATATCTCAACAACCCGGGGTCGTATCGCTTCGGCGATTGTTTCTATCGCAAGCTGAGAGTTTTCTCTTGCAGATACATATTTCGATCGTGAGAATCGGCCAAGAATTGACCGAGTTACGATAGTTTGAACTCACGCGGTTCATGCAAATCGCGTTTGTACGCTATGTACACTCACGACGTAATAATACGTCATGCGTGGGTGCAGTGACACTGTACGTGACGTATTAATACGTCATGCGTGCTCAAAGGGTTTTTAACACTCATGGAGCAGCAGGTCCATCTGGCATTGATGCAGACGCGTGGAGATGGATGTGTACGGCATTCTCGGAAGCATCAGACTTGCTATGTGATGCACTGGCTGCCTCTGCTCGACGGCTTGCAACAGAGCATGTTGACCCAGTCACCTTGGAGGCGTACGTAGCATCCAAGCTTATCCCGCTTGACAAGGACCCAGGAGTTCGCCCAATCGGCATAGGCGAAGTGGTGAGACGAATCATTGGCAAAGCCATCCTTGCCCTCATCAGAAGCGACATCCAGGAAGCGGCAGGAAGTCTCCAATTGTGTGCTGGACAGGAATGCGGCATTGAGGCCGCAATCCATGCAATGCAGCAGATGTTTGACCAAGACGACACCGAAGCAGTGTTGATGGCGGATGCCACAAATGCTTTCAATCAGCTTAACCGGGAAGTCTGTCTACACAACCTGCGCCACCTCTGCCCATCCCTAGCCACAGTAGTTATCAACACGTATCGCTGCTCAGCCAAGCTGTTTGTTGGAGGTAGTTTTATCATGTCGGCTGAAGGAACAACCCAGGGTGATCCTTTAGCCATGCCCATGTACGCCGTTGCCATTCTTCCACTGATCCGTTCCCTGTCAGCAGCGAAGGCCACTCAGCTCTGGTATGTGGACGACTCGTCAGCTGCGGGGAGGATCATCCGCCTGCGAGCATGGTGGGACCTTCTCTGCCAGCGGGGTCCGTTGTACGGATACAAGCCGAATCCATCAAAGTCTGTGCTGGTCGTCAAGCCACCGCACCTCGAAGAAGCCAGCAGAATCTTCGAGAGTACTGGTGTCACCATCACCGACGACGGTCACCGCTTTCTTGGAGCAGCTATTGGCACCTCTGGCTTTGTGGATGGCTACCTCAGCCAAAAAGCAGAGTCCTGGAGGAAGGAGGTCCTAACCCTCGCTGAGATCGCCGACTCCCAGCCGCAAGCTGCCTTCTCTGCCTTTACGCATGGCCTGAAGCACCGTTGGTCGTTTCTGTGCCGTGTGATGGAGAGGGCCGCTTCAGCTTTAGGCACGCTGGAGGAAGCAATTGCCTCCCGCCTCATCCCCTCGCTTTGTGGTCGCTCGGTGGGCACCGTTGAACGGAAGTTGCTAAGCTTCCCTTGCAGAAATGGTGGCCTTGGACTCCTCGATCCCACTGCACTCTCTGGTCAGTACAAGGCGTCATGCACCATCACTGCTGCGCTGGTGTCAAAGATCAGCTGCCAGGACCCAGCCCTAGGTGACACCCTCGACACTGTCCGCCAGACCAAGCGGAAACTGGCTAGTGACACCAGACGGGCCACAGGAAGAGCTGCCACTGAATTTCTGCTGTCACTCCCGTCGGGTCTTCAGCATTGCATGAGGCTAGCCAGCGAGAAAGGTGCCTCCTCCTGGCTCACATGTCGCCCCCTGAAGGCGCACGCATTCGCTCTGTCGAAGGGCGAATTTCGGGACGGCCTGGCACTTCGGTATGGTTGGACTCCATCTCATCTTCCAACACATTGTGCCTGTGGTGAATCCTTCACCATTTGCCATGCTCTGTCGTGCTCTCGAGGAGGATTTCCCTCGCTCCGGCATAATGAGGTTCGTGATGTGACGGCGTCTCTCCTCAAGCGTGTTGCCCACAGTGTCGTGCTCGAGCCACACCTGCAACCTATCACTGGCGAATCCTTCAGGCATCGTTCTGCCATCACCAACCCTCAAGCGCGGCTGGATATAGCTGCGAGTGGTGTCTGGGGTGGACGGTTTGATCGCACCTTTTTTGATGTAAGGGTTTTTAACCCGTTTGCGAGCTCAAACCGTACCACTTCAGTCCCCTCCAGCTACCAGCGTCACGAGCGAGAGAAACGGCGTTGCTATGAGGAGCGAGTCTGTGAAGTCGAGCATGGCTCCTTCTGCCCCGTCGTTCTCTCCACATCTGGAGGCATGGGGAAGTCAGCGACATCGCTATACAAGCGCATTGCTGACATGCTATCGGAAAAGTGCCAGGACCCCTACTCCAGGGTAATGGCATGGATCCGCTGCCGGGTAAGCTTTGCGCTTCTTCGTGCCTGCATTGCCTGCCTACGTGGAGCTCGTCGTCCGATCTTCACTCCCTCCGTCACAGCTGCTTCGGTAGATCTCGTGGTTGCCGAGGCTAGGCTCCGATAACTGAATGATCCTCCTTGAACAGACTCCTGCAATCGATGTTATGAGAGTTCTCCCATTAATATTATTACTCTTTTTTCGTATTATTAGTTTGTTTCTTTTGTTATGTATACAATAAATGAGGAGGCCGAGGGTTTATGACCAATAAAAACTATTATAAAAACCGAGGTCCCCCGAGGTTTTTATAATTAGTTTTTATTGGTCATAAACCCAAGGCCGGAGCATTTATTGTATTTAGAATCAACCAGTAAAAACTCCTACTCAATCTCCAACAACAAAATTAGCGGACAGCTGTTATTTGTGTTGCTATGACAACCCGTGTGCTGGACGAGTATTTGTTGTCATTGGTTCAATTTCTTTTAGTCTTCATAGGCTATCAGATCATTTTCCTTATTCGGTCTATTTATAACCAGTATCTATAATGAGAGTGTGGTCTGTCTCCATGGTTACCGGTGTTCATTTCATAACTATAGCCACTGCTCCTTGTTAGACCTTATCTGGAAGGCCCATTCTTGCATTTTCCAACAGCAGCCAAGGGAGCTAGCTCTCTTGGTTATGCGGATTGGGTCCGATCCTAAAAAGCTGTTTTTATGAACTGTTTTTATGAACTGTTTTTATTGGATAGGATATGATTATGTTCAATAAACGAGGTTTGTGTCAATGGGAGATTGACTTGGAGTTTTTACGAGTTGATTCTAAGATTTCTTGTGTTTTTCACTCGGCTTTATTATCATTTAACTTATTATTTGGTGCACAAATCCTGCCTTGCCCATGCATGACTCTCATGAAATGCCCGTACTAAATAGTCTATAGAACAAGAATATTGTATATCATACTTCTCTCATCAACTATGATAATACCCATTTCATACCCCCCCCCCCCTTCATAAAATTAATACCTACTGTTTTCTTTCCTTTCATTTCATCTTCTTTTCCGTTCCTTTCTTCTTCATACACATTTTAAACATTTTCATCATATTGTGAGAGCCGTGGGCAAACAGCCCCGGTGAGAAGGCAGTCTTGCCTGTTCATATGGTGAAGTAAAATAAAGAAACAACAACAACAACACATTAGGCTGTCATCACACCATGGTACAAAGCGCTGCGTCTACGTCCACGTAAGGAGTTTTTGGTCGGTTGTCATGATGATCCGTATACGGGGTGAAAACGGGAGCAGAGGAAACGGGAGACGTGGACGTGGTATGGACAGGGGGGGGGTATACGACTTTTTGTATGAACGTGCGTATCTCCCCCAGCCTTTTTCCGAGCGACCCTGTACTTCGATGTACGTGGGTTCAAATTTCTCCAAAAACCTGACTGCGTGTACGCGCCAAGAACTGTGCCTGTCTGATGACACGACCACCCGTTTTGGTTTTTTCACCATAGACGTAGACGTAAACGGGAGTCGGAGTCGTGCAAATTCGAGTAGACCAGCGTGACGAAAGGTCTCAAAATTCTCAATACTAAAGTCGCACTGCGCGCTTTTGAAATTGCCGCGATCGCGGCTCAACTTACGAGTAATTTATCTCAGGAACCGTTGCTCGCAGCGCTTCGCGGATTGTTTCTCCCGACAGGTGAGAGTTTTCTCTTCGCCCTGGATATTTCGATCACTGAATTTGAGCAAGATTGGACTGAGTTACGATCTTTTGAAGTTTTGCATTTGAATGCGTCGTTTACGACGCATTCAAGTATGGGGCGGCTCTTAAAGGGTTAAGACGTTTTATGCCGCAGTTTCGCAATCATCAGGCAACAGTAAGCAACAGTAAGTAGCAGCAAACAAGCCTTGGTTGCGGCCCTTGTTGCCCTGTATTACTATACGCTCTGCCTCCGTGGTGTTGAGCACTGTAAGTCACTAAGTGTAAGTGTAAGCACATTCATGAGTGCGTTCGATTATGCACGCGAATCGACTCATGCGGAATCGATTCAAGCGCATAATCGAACGCAGCCACTGGGTGCATCCTCCGCTGATAGCAAAAGTAAAATACTTCTGATGATAGCATAATCGGACTACCGGAACTGTGCTTGACCATACCGTTGAAGTTTCGTCACGCTTGTTCTTCCCATGATCCCATGATTTTGTCTGACCAGCTCACGCCGCCTTTCTCTTGCAGCAGCATATTACTATTAGACCTTCGGTAGTGACTACACCCAATTTCCAAAACTTGCTCCGATCGCTTCGATTTTGGTCTCATTCGATTCTCCCAGGCGTAGTACATAGGAAATCTGTAAGTATTATTCGAATCGGCCCAGCCATTCTTGAGTTATAGTGAGTTGAAGTGCGCCAAGTTTAGTTGGACTTTTGCTGGAAACAGAAATGAATGGGAGCATGGGAGAATCGAGAACGACCGCACAGTCCGTGCATGCAGTACAGTGTACAGTGCATACGCCTCGTCACTCGAACTGCGCGTATGAAATTGCATACTTAGGTATGCTGGCGCAGAACAAATTCGCTCGTAGAGGAAGACGAAAGCGTCTCACCGCCTTGTAATTTCACATGGCCAGTAGTTTTTCGACGCTGAAGACGATGGAATAGTCCGCGACGCTGCGACCCGACCAGAACAACCCGAAATTCATACCCTGAAAAAGCGCTGAGCGCAGAGCTCCTAAATTTTGTCGTATGGAAACGGGACTTCGGGTCTCAAGGGCACGAACATCTCCTCTCTCAGATAAAGCAATTCACTCGATGCGATATTCTACAATTTGACCTGGCCACGCCGAAATACACTGCCATGTCGGATTCTCCCATCGGAAGTATAGAAACTTGTTTCCAAAAAATCAGCGTCTGGGTGCGAGGGAGTAAAGTCACTACCTTCGGAGACCCCGAGTAAAACGCACTCCCAACCTCAAAGACGCCCTCGTGAAGTCTGCGCTGAATCCAAAGAAGTGCAGCGTGACACAAGAACGAGAGAGGCGCCGAGAGCAGCGGAGGCGAGGAAGACTGCTCAACCCCTGCATCTCGTGCTCGTCTGGTTTGCCGAGCTGCATGTGTGACCCCCCCCCCCCCCTTATCTATGATGAAGTGTGCACTGTGTCGGAAGCGGTATGTCGGTGAGACCTTCGGGGCAGTTTTGAGGAACACCACTACAAAGCACGTCACAGGATGCTCGACAAACCGTGGGGTAAACACATGGCTACTGAATCACCAGCACTGAGCAGCACGGAACCAAGAGCACCGTGAGATGTGATTTTCATTGAGGCACAAGTACTGGCCGTGAAGACACGGATGACCAGAAGAAAAAATCAGAGAGTCCATCTAGATTCGAGAGTGTCATCCAGAGATCAATATCTCCTTCGGATGGCCATTGAAGGTACCTCGGCGTGACCCTTGTCCTTGATGCCGCTGTGAAGTGGGATCCCATGTCGACGCGATTGCGAAGAAAGTAATTAGTTGTGCAGAAGATTGGAGCACTATGGCGGTCCCGCAGATCCCTCTGCCTCGGTAGTCGCATATTATTATGTGAGGTGAGTCGTCATGCCTGACCTCCCATGCGCATCTAACGCCTTCTCCTCCTCCCCCAAGGCTTCGGAGGTTGACTCGCCTTCAGGTCCTGCAGATTCAGCAGAACCGAGCGGCGAGAGCGGTATACGGGTTTGCCGCCTCACACCTCTGCCCAGCCTCTGCTCGAACGGATGTCCTCGTACCGAATTCGCGAGTGTTACGCCCAGAAGCGACTCGTCCTGGTGTGGCGGTGTGTCAATGGGAAAGCCAGCAGTGTCCTCCAGGATCTATTCTCGCGCCATTAGCTGGTATCACCACCCGGCACCAGGTTTCCAGGGGCCTCGCTGTCCCCTCGGCACAATCAGAAGTCGGCAGATGGATTGATTGATTTTATTTGGATTCGCGAGACCAAACGAGCAGGAGTGCTCAATAACAGGGTAGCGAATGGTTGAGTTGTACATTATGACAATGTAGTGTGTGCGTGGAGTGGTGGTGGTGTGGGGGGGGGGGGGGGGGGAGCTGCGGAGGCCCAATGCAATGTAAGGGGATGGGAGGAGAGAAGGCCAGCGGAAAAGGGAGGAGAGAATAGCTGAAGTACACAGTTACTGTGCGAATTCAAATAAACCAGACAGATCTCGCCTGGCCTTTCAGGCAGCCTTGGCCTGGAATGCACTACCAAGGAGTGTAAGGGAGATCAAGGCTGCCTAGCAATTTACGCTTGCCTCCATCCCCTACACCTTGCAATGAATGCTCTGTCTGACTTTGCCCGTCCACACACTCCGTCACGTATTCTTCTCTGCGTGTTTGTGCACCTATGAACTATTTGTGTGTGTGTGTGTCTCTCTCTCTCTCTCTCTCTCTCTCTCTCTCTCTCTCTCTCTCTCTCTCTCTCTCTCTCTCTCTCTCTCTCTCTCTCTCTCTCTCTCTCTCTCTCTCTCTCTCTCTCTCTCTCTCTCTCTCTCTCTCTCTCTTCTCTCTCTCTCTCTCTCTCTCTCTCTCTCTCTCTCTCTCTCTCTCTCTCTCTCTCTCTCTCTCTCTCTCTCTCTCTCTCTCTCTCTCTCTCTCTCTGTCTCTCTCTGTCTCTCTCTCTCTCTCTCTCTCTCTCTTCTCTCTCTCTCTCTCTCTCTCTCTCTCTCTCTCTCTCTCTCTCTCTCTCTCTCTCTCTCTCTCTCTCTCTCTCTCTCTCTCTCTCTCTCTCTCTCTCTCTCTCTCTCTCTCTCTCTCTCTATCTATCTCTCTCTCTCTCTCGCTCTCCTCGCTCTCTCCCGCGTCCATAGAATTGGGCACCGTTGCTCGTTTCACCAACGACAACAACAACAACAACGACGACGACGACGACAACAACAACAACAACGACGACAACAACGACAACGACGACAACAACAACAACAACAACAACAACAGCAGCAGCAGCAGCAGCAACAACAACAACAACAACAACAACAACAACAACAACAACAACAACAACAACAACAACAACAACAACAACAACAACAACAACAACAACAACAACAACAACAACAACAACAACAACAACAACAACAACAACAACAACAACAACAACAACAACAACAACAACAACAACAACAACGACAACAACAACAACAACAACAACAACAACAACAACATCAACAACACAGTGAAACTGCTAAATCTTGCTGTGTCGGTACAGGGTTGTACACACAGTGATTGTTATACACCTTTCCCTCACATTTCCTTTTCGCTTTATCTGCTAGCTGCTGAGCCTTTGCATACCCACTCTTTCAGCTCACTTAGCTTCTCCTTGTGTGTTGTACATGCGAATTCATACACTCAATTTCATACGGCGTGTTTCGTTTGTTTATACATGGACATACATACGCTCTCGCTTGCTTGCGCTATAAAAGACCAAGTTCGCCCCTTATAAATTGTACTGATGAGTTATGGTGGGTGCTCGGACTGGCCCGAAACGTCATAAAAGAGGTCCAAGTGGGAATAGCAACTGAATAGAGCGGTTGTCAGTTTCTTCAGAGCAAACTGTTACATTTTTTCTACAAAGAACACACACCCGGCTCGAGACGAAAATAAGAACAAGAAAGATTACAAAGTTGCATGCAGGGAGAACGAAGAAACGACTAGAACACAGAAGTTGTGGGTTGACAGAACAAACAGCTATTGAGTCGGGACATGTAGTTCTAGACGCGGTGGATGCAGTCTTTTACGTCTACATAACAGGATGAGTTCCACCTAGACTCAGTTGCCAAGAATACACAAGCTAAGCTGCTTCGTTATGACTGCAAGGCCGGTATACTGCTGCCTAGACCGGCCTTGTTGGTTGCACCCTGACCCATACACTGTCTTCACATCAAATAACGTTAGTTTAGATCGTTTACGTCATTGGATACATGTACATGACATTGGACAGGTACGTAGTCTACACGTTGTGAGCTACCGGAAATGCCCCCCGGTGCGCGGTGGCGTGAACAGCTGCTTCGTCTCTAATGTTTGGTCGGGTCTTTTTTTGGCTTCAACCCTTCAACCGTCAGTCGCCCACTCTTCGCTTAGGAGTGAATGCCCGGGGATAAGAGGTGAATCGATTCTTCTCAGTCAGTGTTTGGTCTGGGGCGGGGGGCGGGGGGGGGGGGGGGGGGGCGAGTATGCCTGTGCGACTGTGTGACCATTCTCTAGACTTCCGGTCGCTTGTGACTGTATGGTCATGAAGAACAGACGATGATCATTCTGATCGAAGCAGCCTGCCATGCATGCAGTCGGCGCCGCATCAGTGCCCACTGTGTTGTATTCAAAGTGCTAGGGCCATACAGCCCCGGGCGCACACCGGAGTAATGCACCACCAGTATAGCCAGGTCTACCATGTACCAGTGCAGTACTGGCAGTAGACTACCGGGCTACTGAGGGCTTGTTGCTGAACAATGCACTGCCACTAGTACATGTACTGACTATGATAATCCAAAACTGGGAAACCAGTATTAGAAAAACCTTGTTGTAGTTCACGCAATTGTTAGATTGACAGCATGAAACAAGGTGGAGGACACTGTGTTCGAAAACAGTGACCTTACTACAACCTTCCGCGGTTGGCAGAGCCCCGGTCCCTGCGGACCATTTGAACCATATGGGTATCGCACCCGGTTCTGACCCTCGTTATGCTAGGGGGTTAGGAGACTACTCCTGAGTTTTTATACAAGTTAAAAAGAGCGAAGACAACAAGACGACATCAGGAGTAGTCTCCTAACCCACTACTGGCCCTAGCATAACGAGGGTCAGAACCGGGTGCGATACCCATATGGTTCAAATGGTCCGCAGGGACCGGGGCTCTGCCAACCGCGGAAGGTTGTAGTAAGGTCACTGTTTTCGAACACAGTGTCCTCCACCTTGTTTCATGCTGTCAATCTAACAATTTAGTACTGACTAGTACTGGCTCTGTACAACGGCACTAGGCCTAGGGAAATCAGACATCATAATTATACGGCTGATTCAGCTAGATCAGACAGTCATGGAAACCACGATCGACTCCTGGGCCCTGGCTCAGTGATTGCCATCGACCATCATGCACATCCGACCGACACCGACCTACTGAGGACTTATGTAGCCTGTCCGTGCACTACTCATGCAGGGACGTAGGCGACCACCATTGGCAGAATGCACAACGACCGCGTAGCTGTCCACGATAATTATTATTTCCAGTTTAGAGGTACGTCCGTGGATAACGCAAGAAAAAAACGTGCGACACAGCAACTTATTCCGTTGTGTTTTTGCAGTTCTGTCTTTTTAGTGTATGCGTTGACGGTTTGGAAAAGAAAAGAGGTTTCGTTCATGCGCCCCAAGTGCACTCACATAATAGCAGAGTCAGAGAGGTACATGTAAAAGTTGAAACGCAGTTCGCGTTTCTTTAGGAAAGGTAGTATTAAAGTTTGATCAACGAGTCAAGTTTGCTGCACTATCCAAGAAGGCGGAGACAAAAGGAGTCATGAAATTTGACTTTGAGATCAAAGGAGAGTGTGGAAATTCCAGCGAAAGCAGCATCTGGGTGGCTCAACACTAGTTGGAAGCTTGCAAGAGTGACCTTCAATGCCAACCGTGGTGGTTGCTTCTGCTTCCAAAGATTCTACTTCGAATGTACATGTACATGATTGTGCATGTACATGTAGTAGCATGTCATGGTGTGTGCATGAAGAAGAGGCAGAAGACATGATTGCAAAATCATGGCGTACATTGTAGATCTACTGTTGTGGGGAAATTATTTGTGGCACACTCATTGATCATGATCGGATCAGATCCTGGCGACGCCCCTAGCCGGTACCCTGGCCTGGGCTCAGTATACAATGTTAGACATCTATGCAGTATCCAACCAACCAGGTACATACCGGTAACCATGCATGTTATTGGTGGATCGGGGAGATCCTAAAGGCTAAACCTCCGAGACTTCAGTCTTCCATCTTTTGCCATACAATTAGTAAATGAATTACATGAAATAATACCTGCCTTGACTTGAAATATTCACGGAGTGTTCTTTCGCCTCAAGTCGACGTAGATCTACGGCATGTTTGCCCTGTGGGGAAATCGGAAGCCCACATCCGAAAGTCAGCGTGTTTACGTTGCGCTTTGTGACAGCATGCAATGTCATTCACGCTCACGTCACCAGTCACAGGAAAACAGTAACAGCTTTGCTTTGTGGCAGGACGCAACAACGCAGCAGCAGCGGCTTCTTCCTTCCTTTACTTGTCTGAAAGGCGATCAACGACAGAGCTACAGCCTGAGGCTCAAGATTGCGCGGCCGATGTCCGCCAACCTAGCGTTGCAGCTGTGGGGTCTTTAAAAAAAATCTTTCTGCTTCATGCCGACCGTCTATAAAGAGCTGAACAGGAATGGAGAGGTGGATTTATTCTCTTTTCTGGGAATACCATTCTTCCTTCAACGCGCAAAGCCACTACTACAAGTAGTATATGAAGAAAAACGAGCGGCACAGTCGATAGCAGCCCAGGGCCCCTGACACATCACGTTCAGGCTAGTCCATTTTCTCCAAAGATTATTGTCGCCGGTCTACGGCTAGCTTCACCTATCATCCGACTCCTCAGATGCTCTTGGTCGCGGCCCCATACTGGTTACGAGACGGAAAGTAATTAGTTCTCGAAACCCGGCATTTGCCTCCACTCGGTGCAACTGCAAGTGATAGTCGGACGTCCATGCACAGCACAGCGGAATGTTGCTGGAGGCGTCAAAGGCACTAGTCGGTCGGGAGGACATCCTCAAGCGTCTTCACGGCAACTTCTTCCTTCCGGCGTCGCAGGGCAAGCTGCGACCCGGAGAGAGCCGCAAGACGGTCGGCTATGGAGGCCATCGTCGACGATGTGTGCCAATAACCGCCGTTACGCAGGTATGTGCAAAGACTATCGGCAAAAGATCACTTACCGTGTAATTCCATGCCAAATAAATAACTCCGGTATATTTAGGGTCGGAAGTACATTCTGTTGTATTGTGACATTTACGCATGCACGTAGACCTACGCAGCAGAACCGTGCAGCAGGGCAATTAGACCAGCTTCAATCATTGTTGTACACTCATATCAAGAAAGGTAATGGTTCATGAATCCGCCCAGTCCACATTCCTTCTCCGTTTCTCTCTAGTAATGGTTCATGAATCCGCCCAGTCCACATTCCTTCTCCGTTTCTCTCAGTTTTCCTTTCCTTTCAGTTGCATCTTCCTCTCTGCTCTGTTTTATTTTCTCTTTTCGTTCGTCCCTCTTGATATTTGTACTTTGTACTGTTGAGGCAACGAACTGAAATAATAAAAAACAAACAAAACAAACAAACAAAGGAAAAGGACATAATTATGGATCCATCCCTGTAACTAGATACTATTATACAGTCAGACAGTGCAACAACGAGGCGCAAAAATGACAGAATACTGAGACATTCGACGGCGAGTAACAATCGACATTCTTTGTTCCGTTGGGACTGTAGCTTGTGCTCGTTTTCGTTGCGCTTTCCTTCCCCTCTTTGGTCTCCATAACCTTGAACCTTCCCAGTTGGAAGGCTGTTGGTTAGCGCTACGGAGATGTGTTGAAGCTACAAAATGTAGGTGTCAGGACGTCGAATGTCTCAGTGCACTGTGGTGATCACAGTGGCGACCAAAGTCACTCTGCAACACACCATGGAAAGTATATGCTCTGACTGCAAACAAGTATTGTGCATGATTGCTAGATTACGCTTCTCTACAACAGCAACAGTACATGTATTAACAAAGACTCATATGCACACCAACACACACATACACACACGCACACATTTCCGCCCCCCCCCCCCCCCCCACACACACACACGCACACACACGTACACCCCCCCCCCCCCCCACCGGCACACACACACACTTTACTAGCGTTTTTTCTGGACTGATGTGACTTCCATATAGGTTCTCTGCGGCCTCAGTGGCATTGGCAAATCCTCAATCGTACAGGAATACGTACACCGGCACCTGCAGAGCAGCGCACATCGAAAGATCGCCGCTCACCACTATCAGCCTACTGGCGAGAGCAAGCCGCGTAGCGAGCCGCGCAGGCACAATCGCCGTCGGTCGGCCTCGCACTGCTACACGGGTGGCGTGGTGCAGCTGAATCTGGCCAGTCCGCAAGCACTCAGCTCCAGTATACAGCATGCCACGGTGAGACAGGAAACGTCACAGTCAAACGAATGAAAAGTTTTTACTCCGATATTGAGCCGGTAGTAAAATGTTTAGTTTGTTTATTTACGGATTCTCCAGAGGTAAATGGATACCTATCATGGGAGTCTCACCAAACCAATAAAATAATGAAAATAAAATGTAGAAATATAATGGACACACAAGGGGGAACTTACAGTTCAGGGTTCTAGCCAAAGGGGGGGGGGTTAGGGGAGGCGCAGCGCCCCCTACTCTGTTTGCGCCCCCTACTCTGTTTGCCCCCCTCCCCCCTGTGATAAAGCGCCCCTACTCATTTTCCGATTTTCATGTTTTTCATGTAATTCAACGAAAATGCAGTCGAAAGTCACTATTAGATTCAGTGTTCATAAAGGCACATTTGTCTGGGGTGGAGTCGGGGATTTGCCCCATACGTTGCATTTAGCGTGGCAAGACAATAATGGGAAAGTGGAAAAATGGGACACGGGGTAACTGTTTCCCGTGCCTGGCCCCCTACTATTTTGTCCTGGCTAGAATCCTGCAGTTCAACTTCATTGCCGAAGGATGCACATACTTGTAGTGTGCTGAGTGTGATCGATACCGCCGAGGCGGAGTGCATTGCACACTACAATATACAGTGGAACCTGTCTAAGACGACCGCTCGTGGAACCTTCAAAACTTGGTCCCTGTTACCAGGTGGTCTCCTTATCCAGGGTGATTTGACTGGAAATAGCATCCCTTGGTCTTGGTTTCAGTGGTCTTCTAGGACAGGTGGTCGCCTTATCCGAGTGGTCTCCTTGACAGGTTTTACTGTACAAGCACATGTAGTGTATGGGTATAGCTTCATATCATAGCGTATCACCAGGGACACAAAAATGACATCACCAGGGACACAAAATGACATCACCAGGGACACAAAAATGACATCACCAGGGACACAAAACTGACTTCACAAAGTGCTCTTGGCCGAAACATTCCACTTTCACATTCAAAAAAAGGCTCACTTCGAGTTTGCAGTTCTAATCTTTTTTTCTTTCAATCACATTCCCAGCTCAAACCTCCGATTATACTTTTCGGCAGGGCATAGCATTCTTGGGTGGTAGGGTCGACCAGGCCGCACGTATAATTACCTCGTGTGTGTGTGTGGGGGGGGGGGGGGGGGTGATGGTTGCTCCACTGAAAATATTCGAACTATAGAGCCCAAACCAGTGCATCATTAAATTTTATTCAATTAATTGGTTCACTGGGTGCCTGGGTAAACAGTGCTCTGGTCAATACCGTAGTGACCATAGCGTGTCTGACGCCACTGATCCCAGGCCGGGACGTTCGTGGACTCCACATGCTTGTACAGTAAAACCTGTCAATGTGACCACCTGGATAAGGTGACCACCTGTCCTAGAAGACCACTGAAACCAGGACCAAGGAATGCTATTTCCAGTCAAATCATCGGACCCTGGGTAAGGAGACCACCTGGTAACAGAGACCAGGTTTTGAAGGTCCCTTGAGCGGTCGTCTTAGACTCACTGTACATGTATGCCTGCCCGGAGGCCAGGTACTTCACAGGATGTCCACAGTTAGGAAAGTATTTGCGCTCGCGACAACAGGTCCTAACACCAAATTCTATGAGCGCGCCATACATGAATGTACTTCGATGGATTTTGCATCCATCTTCACAACTTCTCGGGCGACCGCTGGTGTATTCTTGGAAATTAATCACATGTTATTGCTATAAGTACTTCAGTAATTCTATGCGCATGCTACAGATTACCGTATTTTTCCGGTTGTAAGTCGACCTTTTACGACTTAAAATAGAAGGAGAACGGGTGGGGTCGACTTACAACCGGGATTCGACTTATAACCGGGAACTATCAGTATCTTACACAAAATGACCTGCACTGCATGCACGAGTGCACCATGTTTACACATTTTTGCCAGTTTATTGGCCTTTTTCAAGGATTGGGACGTTATATCCTCCAATGAGGAATGTTTACATGATTTGTTGATGTGTTAGTAGCAGGAGGTGGTTAGTAGTGCTGCTATTTTGGGTGAAAACTTTAAAACGCAGAATTGAGACCTTCAGATCGACTTATAACCGGGGTCGACTTACAACCGGTAAAATACGGTAGTATCTTCAAGAGTGCATAATCAAGAGGCAAGAGTGTGCAACTCGACGATCCCCCAGCTCACGGCAGAATTTAGTTACAGTCAAACCTCTTTAGGACGAACACCAAGGGACCGATGACATTTGTTCGCAATAACGGGAGTTCTCCTTATCCGTATGTTATACCCAGTGAATACACAGTGGTGTATCCAATGGAGTTACGAATACTAGTTCATTTGTCAACATTTGTCTTATCAGTCAGTTCTTCCTAACCAGGTTTTACTTTATGTCATCACTCTGTCGTGCCCATTTGGCTCACAGTGCAAAGAACTTGTACATCGCATCTAGGGTAGTCGAAGCAAAGCAGTGGATCGGCGGTTGATCCATTCGCCCAGAACCTGAATGAACTGTCACCGTATCTACAAAACAGGCGCGGGAAAGCTTGCACACGTGATCAGACTTCGGCCAACAGGTAGCACTGCGTGAATAGAGGTTCTTTCTTTTTTTTACTATCGAACACTCCCTGCATGATGAACTAAAATGAGGAGGAGAGCTCGACACAATGGTACATGTCCTGCAGGACGGAGTGGGTGGGACCTGTGAAGCTCAGCCGACCAAGGGTCTCGGCATCACAGCTGCACATGTGCACCAAAGGAAACAAAATTTTGCTGTGGTTGAGCCCATCGCAGACAAAGATAGGAGTTGCACACTCCCAGTTATAACACTAGTCTTGGTATCTTCTATCTCTCTTTCCTCCACACTGCTCCAGGTCACGACATCATCGGGGAGTTCCGCATCCTGCTGTGACAGGCTCGGCTGGTGCGGAGAACGGGACATGATTGACTGGTGTCGCCGATCGAAGAACTGGCTGCTGATCCTGGAGAATGTTGATGGCGCATCTATGCTTATGGAAGCTGGCAGCGCTGTTTGGGAACATCTCCTGCCAGCAGTTGCAGACAGAGGCCACTGCCTCATTGTAACACAGTCCAGCATCCTGCCGTGCTGGCTGCAACCTCATGTAGCGTGCAAGATAGATGTCCCGCCATTGTCCGCCGAGATAGCGCTGTCTCTCTTCCGAACAGTGCTCGGCCAAGCAACTGATTCGCGTTGCACCGGAGTCATCACGCAAGACCAGACTAGCGTCTGCCGCAGTTCAGCATCCACAGTGAAGTCGCGGCTCGGAAGAATGGCGCCTGCCGTGGAGGCAGAAGTAAGAAGGCTGGTGTCTAGCGAGGGCAACCTATCCGGTGTCCCAGCAGCTATTGAAATGGCAGCGGCGTATTTTGTGCAGCACTCCTTTGACAATGCTGACCAGGAAAATCCTGGCCTGGAAGCGGTTTCTGCTTTGTCGCATGCACTACAAAGTGACCGGTCAAAGTTTGATGAACTGAAACACGTGGACAAAGTCCACCATGGCTCAGGCGTTCAAGTACCGGCCACGCAAACAGCACCGGGACAAGAAGGACATGCTGCCATGCGGGGGCTTCTACAGGCTGCACTGTGCCACCTATCAAGTGCAGCACGGCAGCTGTGCCTTCTCCTGGCCTTCCTGAGTCCTGACCACATCGGCCTGGACATGTTTGTTCTGGGCAAGGAGGCACTGCCTTCGGAGCTTCGCAGCGTGGTGGATGACCGTGGTGAGCATGGTCTGCTGGACCTGCTGTGTGAGCTCCGACTATACACATTAGTACAACTATGTACAGCTAGATACCCCAGACTTGGCAACGTTAGCAGCCCCAGCAGCAGAGCACTGTACCGTTCTCATGCGACTTCACAAACTAGGTACAGTGCAGTGAGCATCCATCGACTCGTTCAGAGTGCAATACGATCACACGTCGTGGGGCTGTGTAATGCCACTACCGACCTGGAGTCTGGCCCGCCGCACCGGACTCCAGAGTACCAGTGGGTGGTGAGCTGCACGCTGAACATGCTGTGCTTGAGTGCAAATCGCCACACTCGCCTGCACAACGAGGTCTATCTCCTGCCGCACATGCTGTCGTTCTATGAGCACGTCTACCGGTATGTGCCAGGTAACCAACGGGCTGACGGCATGCAGAAAGCAACTGCCGGGGACACCACACCAAAGCCCCGACCTTTCCCGGACAGTCACTCGCCGGTGCAAGCGGTTTCTGGCGGTGCTGAGAGCAAGTCTGATCGAGGGGCCGAACAGCTCCAGTGGTGTTTCTTCCTGGAAGAGATCTATCAACTAAGCCGCATCAAACATTGCTTACTTGTGCCGCCAGATGGCTACAGTATCGGGCAAGAAGCTGGTCTCCTCCTGGCGCGCAGTGGCTTGCTGCAAGGCCTGGTTTCGGTGCCTGTCGACGAAGAGTTCCTTCTCAAATTGGCGCATGAGCAACAGACGGAAGACTGGAGGTCATGTATCGCCTCCAAACTCCAGCTCATCACTCGAGTCCTGGAGCAATGCCCACGCCAGCATCTACGACTTGTCCTCCAAGCAGCGCTACATAGCATGCCCTGGCTCGGTGCGACGGGCCATGGGCCGGATGGCGACCAACCGTGGACGGGTGTAGCCGTGGAGAGGTGGATGAATGTAAGCGGGATGGTGAACAGTATCCAGCAGCCAGCTGGCGAGGGCCAGAAAGGAATGGAAAGTGCGTTTCTTGCACTTGTGTTTGCTGTCTACACCATAAACAGACAACTGTACGAGATTGTCGTAGCGTTTGCTTTCGGGGCTAGTCCCTCCCCGGCGTGTGCGGAAGTTGTCGTCCTGACTGCAGCCAAGATGCCTGCGCATATACACAACGCGCTAGGTATGCACAACTCGCTTCCAACACCCCGGCGAAAGGCATTCGACTCGCCGGCGAGCGACCAAGATAGCGCCTTGCCACGGAGCAGCAGCAAGGTCGGCTTCTGGCTTGTTTCTGCCATCGAGGCCGTTGTTCGCCAACTGCTGCTCGCCAGGTACAACGCCTTTTTCCATTCTCCCCTGTCATCACCGGTAGTAGTTAGCGTTCCGGTTGTCATTGCAGCGTTCGTGTGCTTCATGCTGCTCTGCTGCCAGCAGGACGCCGCTGGCGATTCGCGAACTGCAATGGCCAAACGTCAGATGTCTGAGCGCCTTCGCACTATACTGCAGAGTTTCGAGGATGAGGTGTTCCACTACCATGGCGCCAGGATAGTCGGCATGCTGTATTCGCTGGCAGCGAACGAATCGCCCGCCGAAGTCCTCGGCCGAGGCTTGCGACAGATTGACCGACTGGATTGACCCATCATTGAGTGGTTCCACACCTCTGTCATGCACATTACCAAAATTTAATTCAAAGTGGTGTGAACAGTGATCGTGGCATGTGGGCAGCGGAGACAGCATGGCCGGAATCATGTCACTGTAGCTCTGATAGATGCAGGAGTCGAGTGGAGCTGGAACCAACACGGCTGTCCTGTACGGTCATGTGATAGATGTGCATCAGCTGCATAGGCATGGCGCAGAGTCCCCGTGTTTGCAGTATGGGCCGCCTTGCGGGATCAGTCTCCTGCTGGCTGGCCCACGAGCATGCAGCTTGCGTGGTGGTACAACACGGATATCAGTTCTGTCACGCATGGGCGGTTGTGAGCGCGAAGCGCAACATACCGTACTTGCGCGATTTGAGCCCTCTCTTGAATAATGCCCCGGTCTCTGAAAGCCAGTGAAAAATAAAGCCCTCTCTTGAATAGTGCCCCCCCCCCCCCCCCCCCAGCTTGTAACCAAGTACCAAGTACATGTGCAAGTTTGGCGTTGCTTTCCTATGGTGGTTTCAGGATCGAAATTGCAGCTCTTGTTGCCATTTCTGTTGAGTCGTGATAGTTGCCAGCAAACAGTGGCCTCTGTGCTTTCTTCGCCTTCTTTGTTTTACGCTGGATGACGCAAATGTACCAGCATTGAAAAAAGAGTGCCAAAACTGTGATGAACTTGAAATAGTACCCCAGCATGGGCACTAATCACATGAGTACGGTGACCATCTTGTCACCTTCCGCGAACTAATATTGCCCAACAATGATTCCGTTTTGTATGAAATTCACATCCGAGTAGCCAGGCTTGCAACGATTTTTGTTGGACGTGGAATTCTGCATGACAATGCTCCGTGACTTCTGACACATACACAAAGCCTAAACCCCAAATCTCAACTTCACAGACTTGATGCTTAGTGCATTTTTGCCTCTTATAGGCGATTCAGACTACGGCCAAAATCACGTGTGAACTTGAATTTCCATGGTGATACAGTCGTGTTTCAAAATGTTATGCACAATCCCTGGTCAGATGAGTCGTAGAAACGTGGTCACAGTTGGCCGTAGGCAGAATCGCCTATTTATAGACGTATTTTTTACAAAGCACATTGTATTGCACTGTTCATCACCAGCAAGTGCACTCTATTCTTGACTGTTGTGCCTTGTTTTGATATCACTATCAGCAAGAGGGGGTTATGAACTCTTGCTATCAGGATGTGCACATTTTCTGCTGTTTCTACACCGTTAATCTTTTCTCGATACTCTCCAGCACGTGCTCAAAGTCTCCTCAGTGAAGTCCTCACAACAGGTAGTGAGATTTGAATTACTTTTCAGAAGTTTCCCTTTTTCCAATCCTTCAACCTAATCCTTACAAATTTCAATGTTTTTCTTTCTAATTCTTTCTATAAATACCCGAGTTGTTGAGTTTCATGACAGACTTGCTGCAGACACACTACAGAATTCACTGCACATGACCGTGGTGAAGCAACGCTAGAACTTGAACTAGCATTGTCGCTGAGGAATCCGCATGCAGACTGTACAGAGAAAATCTGAGCAGAGGGCCACATTTGGCATTAATTTGGTGAACACTGTATGTATGTATGTATTCTTTATTATATTATTTTTACTTCGCAAAGTCAAACGGGATCGTTGCCCAATAACATGATAACGAAGTAATGGGAAGTCTTGCAGGGCATGGACAGTCCAAATCGTATACGCGCATACTCGAGCCAGGAGCACTTACGTCGTGTCGCGCGCGCCTGCTGTGTAAAGAGTGATGTGCATCGCTCGTCGCAGAAGTATTAGTTTAACTTGGCTCAATTTCCCCGCGACATGACCCTCGATGCAAAATGTCGCTGAAAAAACTCTCGATCGCAGAAGTGATATTGTTCACGGACTGTGCTTCACTGGTTTACTCTCTGCTGTTTCTTGGAGAGCTCTGAAGCCTTTCCCTAGAAAGCCGAAGAGACGGGCAGCAGCAGCCATGTAACTTGGTATAATAACACTATAGTATCCACGTAACACACATGTCGCCAGAGCAGCTGCAGCTTCGGTGGATTCAAGGTATTTATTGTACTGCTCTGCAACAGCCCGTGAATGGAGCCAACAAAAGAAAAGAAAAATACAATGTACAAGTAGCCAGAATGCGAGAGACACAAACTATACACAGACATGCAGGCGTGCTAAGCATCACAGGCCTGCACTCCGAAACCAGCAGGGACAGCATACACACAGCTATAATACAGCACCCCCAGATATAAATATAAAAGACTAGCGGACGCAGGAGGCAGAGCGCGGATGGAGATAGACCGAAACCAAAGCAAGGAGGCATGCTCCCCAAACAGACGGCATGTCGTGCCGAACGCACAGTCGCATCAAATTCCGTTAAGAAATCGATTGAAGCGTGCACGTGCCTGGCCGATTGCACGCTTGGACCCGCGAGAGCATCAGCGGTCGCTACATTAAATAGACATACAGGAAAAGTCTGAAGTCATCTCAACACAAGTACGTCGCGGGGGTAGGTGGCTCGCATACAGCAGCAATTTGAGTCCAGGCTCAGGCCACGCATCTGCGCACATAAAACGGTGAGCGAAAATATACGGCAAAAACAGTCCGAAGCTCGTTCCTAAATCCGAAAAATAAAATATAACCTAGCCGCATGTCAAGCGGTGGATACGCACATGTCCCATCTGTCATTACCGACCGCCCTAGAAGAAACGCTTGCGTGCTTTCTCTTGCTGCTTCTTGTAGTAGAAAACACCGCCACCGATCAAGCCAAGAGCAAGGATGCCACCGAGTACCAGAAAGTACATGGCCATGGATGACTTGCGGGTGGGCTTGGTAGATTCAACATGCTCTGCAGGAATAAGAATATTAGAACAGCAAAAATGAGACTCATGAGGAATATTCAAAGTGAGGCAGCGTCTGTCTCAGTTGTCTGTACACACTGCACAACCAGGGAGAAAATCATTATGTAAGTTTGTGTTCAGATTAGGCAATGATTTGCAAAAAATAAAAATAAATGAAGGCACAAACCATGAAGAAACCCTTCACCCACCTCTCGGAGCTTCCTGGTGCGCGGCAGCTGGGACAATATTCTCCAGATCCTGTTGCACAAGCGACAAGAATAGCAAACAACAGTCCTCATTGTTACGCACACACACACCTGTAAGCATGCAGTAACATGGAACAAGCACCAAGCGCTCACCCCTAAACAAATTCATGGTTCGCGTGAGACTCGAATGGGGGCAACGTTCTCCGCATCCGTAGGAACGCCACCGCTCCCAAGAATCAGATCACACAGTATGGAAAGTATGACCGGGCTTACGATCAAACACGTAGACCGGAAAAATGACACAAATCCAAGAACAATGCAGGCTAAAATTTCACATCCAAAGAACACGAATGTACAACGTACAAACATATTACTGTTTTCTACATGTTTCCAAGTGGCGTGATCGCATCGTATAATGCTCTCCATGACCGTGGAATAAGAACAAAATGACTACCGTTGGAGCATTTCGAACAATACTAGGCTGCGCCTCAAGCACCCGCGCTCTTCGGCGTCTGATCTTCCTATACATGATGGCACATGTGGCAGCATAACAGAATCGGCTGGCATACCTTAGGCACTTCTGCGTCCTTGTCTGACTCCCCGGATGGGAATAATTCATACGTCTTGACCATGACAATGTCGTGGTTGTCTGAAAGAGCAGCATGTACAAAAAAGAGAGTACACAACAATTCCAGCAGCGGCCAGATAAGTGTGTGGCAAATCCCTCCAGACAGACTAGCAACTTGAAACGGGAAATTTTAGCAGGGGAAGTCTTAAAGGGGAAGTTGAGGCAAAAATTAAAATTTCACCAGTTGTAGTCTTCGGGGTGCTGAGTCGAATGGTCTTGGTCCGAGAAAGCTGAGACGCTCCCTTCCTACTTGAATCCCAATCGAACTCGCGCACTTCCACCGAAACTGGGTGACTGCGCCCTACTAGATGGGGATTTGTATGCAAAATGTCACTAAAAGCGCCATTTCGTTCTTATGAAAGCACGGATGACCGCGATTGGCCCATATGTTGTAGTCTTTTGGACGCTGAGTCGACTGGTTTTGGTCCGAAAAGGCTGCGATGCAGCGTTCCTCCTTTATTCCCAATCGAACATGGTTGAACAAGTGGTCACGTGCTCCTGGGTGCCCAAATCACCTGGTCACCACGCCAGCAGGCGACAACTTTCACACCAAGGTTCAACTCGAGTTCAACTTGAGTGACAGGACTGCACCCAAAAAAGGTCAAACAGGCTAGTAAGTTGTACCCTGCAGGCACGGTGACCAGCTGACTGGTGTACGCAGGAGCACGTGACCACTTGTTCAACCATGTTCGATTGAGAATAAAGGAGGAACGCTGCATCGCAGCCTTTTCGGACCAAAACCAGTCGACTCAGTCACCCAGTTTCGGTGGAAGTGCGCGAGTTCGATTGGGATTCAAGTAGGAAGGGAGCGTCTCAGCTTCCTCGGACCAAGACCATTCGACTCAGCACCCCGAAGACTACAACTGGTGAAATTTTAATTTTTGCCTTAACTTCCCCTTTAAGCGATATTCAAACCGGCCCGACCTTGCGACAACACATTTTAGTGAATGGAATCTCAAGTCAGACAAGAACAGCACAAGAGAACAACAAGAACAGCAACAGCAACAACAAGAACAACATTTTGCATTCTACGCATTCCAGTTTGTGGGCCGCTTTCAAAGGGTTAATAGACAGTACTAGATGCAAATACTACTATGGAAATAAAGTACACGCATCGCTATGTCTTGATGGAAAGCAACACCAACAGGAGCACAGTAAACACACGCACAAACATGGACGTACCGGCCAAGTCACCAGTGGTTGCGGTAAAACCAAAATAGTAACCGGTGGGCAGCGAAATGCCGGCAACATTCAGGCAGCTTTTCCAGTCGGTTTCTGTACCCACACGCGTGTAAACCTGTTGAACACATCAGAATGAAGAAAACAAAGAACCACTGGACTCAGCTGAGAATATCGTAAATCAAGAAATTTTCGTACGTGATTTTTCCCGCCTAAAAGTAAAACCTATTCACCAGTGAAATGGAATTCCTATTTCTTTCCATATGGGGGGAGGACACAGCCCAATGGTGCGTGAAACATCGTGCTGTAGAGAAAAAAAGCGAAAAGTAGTTCTGGGTAGGTAAGGGCGCGTTCAGACTACCGCGAATGGCGATAAACCATGATTGAAGGACATTCGCAATACCGATAAACTAACACTACCGCTTATACGTAAGTTTTGCAGCTCCCACCGCGGCACGGAGAAGGGATTTTCCCTTTTTCCCAGCCTGAGCACTTTTTTACTGCCGCAATGCAGTTACCGCCGCAGCAAAACTTTCCCGCCGGTAACGTCACGTGATCAAATCACATTGGAAACTTTCCCAATTGGTCACTTTTTATCGGTAGTCTGAACACGCCCTAAGCAGGCAAGTGGATATGTGAGATTCTGCACATGTGTAGAATATGCATTGGGTCTACTGTTATGCACAGGCAGGAGAAACTTACCGACAACGTGCCCTGGAAATAGGAAATGGAGATGTGAGACTGGTAGTCGGCATTACGGAACGCAACCTGCACATGAAGGATCCAAACAAAGCAAATGTACATACACACACAGCACAACATGTTGAAGGAATAACCGACGCTTTCTGAGCCGGTACACGCACTACCATAATATCAAGAGACCATAACCCCAAGAGTGTGCAACTGGGGTCTGGCTGCTGTAGGCCCGGTGCGCGGCGGAATTCCAACATTACGTCATGCCGCTGAGGCACAGCTGTACAAAACTCTGCACTCCGCGGTGCTTGGAACCAGGGAGTAGTACAAGCGCAACGAACGCGTACGTCATTTTCGACGTAATGTTGCAATTAAGCCGCGCGGATCCCCATGTACAGAGTTGCACACTCTTGGGGTTATGGACTCTTGATAATATCAACAATGCATCTCGCAGGATCACACACATGTACATTCGTACCAACCCATGCTCTCACACACTTATCACCAATAGCTTTACAACAGCGTTCCACCAGTACCCTGCTACAACTGGGAACAGACAGTGCCAGACGAGAAAGAGAAAATACAGGTGGAATCCTGATAATTCGAACCTCAAAATGCCAGGAAAAAACTTCTAATTATCCGGACATTCTAATTATCCAAACATGAACCCACAACACAACATGTATGTCAAAATGCTCTCATGGTCACGCAGAGTTGCGCTATGGACCTTAGACACAGATTTCGCGGATACTGAACTGACCGGCACCGTCTGCTCATGCAAACTGAACTGACCAGTACAATGTACAGTGAACTTCGAAATACACTTTGCTAACTTCGAATTATCAGCACAATTCCCACACATTTTCTATGTAAGTGGAATCTATGGGACTTTGAATTAACCGGACATATCCAGTTTGCGGTTCGAATTATCAGAAATTTTTATGCGGGACTCGTATTGATAGAAATCGGTCCTGGAAAAACTTCAAATAAGCGGTATGTTCGAATTAAGCCATATTCGAATTATCAGGACTCCACCTGTACATCGATACCACCCCCATACTGTGCGTATAGCGAACGATAAACCGTCTAAAGTGCAGCTGCTGCAAAAGTAACACGGCCAGCAGGTTGCTGAGCAATGTGCTCGGCAGAAACTTATTGCATCAGCATTCAGCATCTTTCTGAGAACACGGTTTCTAATAAAATAGATGAAGATGAGGTAGGACTTCAAACAACTCCCGGCCACACGCACTCTCCGGACTTCCTGTACGAAGATAACCCATAGTTGCTGTACTGTATATAATATGTCAGTTGTCTGATGATTGCCGTGCGACATGAAACTCGGAGTTACAACAAACCTGCTGAGTCTGCTACGTTCTAAGCGCCGTCTATGACACAGAGCACTCTCTGCAGCTCGGGGATCAACGGTTTAGTAGTTCCTGTACCGTATTTCCAAAACATTACTTACAGAGCAGCCGTCAAGTTGTCCATGAGTACCATCATGGTCATGGTCGTAGTTCAATGATCCATTGTTCACCATGGCAGAGATGTAGGGGTGAAGATGCTGCATTGTACAGACAACCATAACACATGCATTCGCGTAGCACACGTCACGACAGAACAGGCAACACGATCATCACTGCGTCGCCATCCGAAAGTGATAAGATCCTTACAGCCAGTCCAGCTCGTGCAAAAGCTGCCATGAAAACTGATAGAGCGATAATGATCGCTTTGGACAAAATTAACACATTCGGACAGTAAGGGAAGAGAAGTATCCAGTGGCTTGCCCATCCATACGTGTGCAATGCACACTGCATCCTACAGGGAATACACGCACAATTCTAACGATTTAACGAATATAATTTGAAGTCGTTGGGTACAAAACGATATGTACACGATTGTACAGTCATTTGCCGGTTTTGAGACGGACTTCGTTAGAATTTCACACCGCTAACCCACAAAAACCCGGAGATTGTTAACTTAAATTGACGTTAAAATATCTGGTCTTACAGTATTCTAGAAAGGAGTGCAAGCATTGACAATAATGATAGACCAGGGAAGGGTAGTCAGGCCTGGCAACTCGCAGAACGAGTCCACTTGGGAACAACTCGTCGGACATATCTGAGTTGCCAGTCACCCATGACGCAGCAAAGCGAGACAGTGATTCCATCTAGACTCGCTGCTAAACCTCTCCATTGCGTTCACCACCGACAGCCCAGCAAGGAGCAGTGACATGAATCGCAGATTGCACCCAGAAAGCAACTGACTTACAGCATGGTCGCCGTCAAAGTTGCTATAGGTGTCGAGGAACACTCCAAGACCACTGAATTTATCCTGGTTGCCAAACACGTTGCCTGGAACAGAAATGCACCGAAGCAAAACAGTTCAAATACGCCACTAAGAATAAACTTACAGGGGTGAAGCAATTATTTTACAAGCAGCGCACCACAATTGGGGTCTCCGGCCGACCTTCACGCTCCTGCTGCTTACCCTTCTTGGCGAAGCAATGGGAGGTATGCATCGAAGACGGCCGTCACCTTTTTTGCGGGGCAAATTGCCCCATTTTCGGCAGGTACAACCCATTCTAGTACATTTATGAGTATGGCCGTACAGAGTTCATGACCTTTTGTGGAGAGCTGGTATCACAGTGTGTACAGTTGTAGTGGACTAGCCCTGGAAAACCTACACGTAACGACGGGACATGGATGCATACGTCCCATTATAATTATCGAATAGTCTAGCACTTGTTCAGTTTCGGTCGTTGAAATAATCGTACTCGGAGTAAATTAGGGTACTCCTTCACGCATTGTGCATGCATTTACTGCAGATATCAGCAAGCAGCAGATGTTGCTGTGCAGGCTGTGTGGTGCATATTGATATAGAAGGAGAGGGAGAGTTCAAATGGTCCACCAGACAATACACTTCAGAAAGTGGTCACCAACCTGTACAATCTGGGTTTGTGTCATATGATTTCAGGCTTTGTATGCGATTTGTAGTAGGTGAATAATACTCGAAAATTCGACCGGGGAAATCAGAGTACTCAAACTCGAGATCTCGATATATAAAGAGGGAGAGAGGTAGATGTAGAGAGAGAGAGAGAGAGAGAGAGAGAGAGAGAGAGAGAGAGAGAGAGAGAGAGAGAGAGAGAGAGAGAGAGAGGGGGAGGGAGAGAGAGGGAGAGAGAGAGAGAGAGAGAGAGAGAGAGAGAGAGAGAGGGAGAGAGAGAGAGAGACCAAGCTCAGACCTATGCTTACCAAACTGCATCCTGTCCTTGGCATACCAGATGCCAAAACCGTCCCCGTACAGTGAGCGACCAGCGCCGTGTACCATGAAGGACACTCTAATCTCCCAATGTCGCATGTGGTTAGGCTACAGGGCATAGCAAACAAGGAAATCGGTTAGTGAGATAGGACAGCATGGCAGAAAGAATACAACACCGCCTTAATCGGAGATCTGGCAGAGGAGTTTAGGACCTGAATATGGACCTGAGTAAAACGCAGACTGTACTACATTGCAGAGCAAATGTTGTGAAGTACACAAACACCAGCTCAGTTTCCGAACTGTAAATTGCGGCAAGAGAGGACCTGTTTTAGAAGTGGCACAAGCGTGCTCGCGGAAGTTCGAATTCGCCCGTTCAGCGGTCTCGGCCCGCCTGGAAACTTACAACTTGATTCCACAGGTGACCCTGCTTGCTTTGGCGGTCCGGCGTTAGTCTAATATATTCATTGGAGACGACTGTGCTGCCACCAAAATCCCACAGTGGGATATCCATGCCAGTGCCTGTAGACAAAGGAAAACCCACACAACCAAGGCAGAGTTACAGCTTTTAGTAGTATTCAATTTCTGCATTTCATTTCTCAAAACACTACAGCAGCAGCAGCAGCACCACCACTACCACTCCCATAAGTAGAACATTGATATCTGTACTGAAAAAAGAACTTACCGAAATGACAAAGAACCCTGAAGGTGACCCACCCACAACACCAAGAAGGGTGTTCTTTTCATTACCGGACAAATCTTCGATGGGTGTGGTCAAATAATATCTGCATTTACTGGTTCTACTAGGCTGTGGGATGTAGAAAGTAGTTGACCACTGCGCCTGCAACAGCAGAGAGCCGCTTCTGAAGGATGGTGCAGTGTTTATCGGCATCAATCCCAGGTCAAGGTTTGCTCATGTGACTCCACTCAAATTTCACGATCATTTACAGTGAAACTTTATCGTAAGGCATGTCCAAGGGCCATACAGATTCACACTTCATACTACTGTACAGGCAGAAAATTTCGTCGGTCAATAATTTTGTCCAACTCCAAGGAAAGGGAGTTCGTCCAGTTGTAAATTTCGTCCATGGATCATAAAAGTGTATTGAAAAGCAGGACGAATCGACATTCGTCCGGCATTTAATTTAGTCCAAAAGCTCCTTGGACGAAAAAGACGCCGACGAAAATAGTACGGCGCAGCTCAATGAAATCTTAACACGCAAGCTGCGCGCTGTGCAGCCCCAGATCTGTGAATACAGTACTGAGCTCTTGCTTTGGTGCAGGGTACAGATTCGACTTACACCATCGGATTTCATCGAGCAGCAGTGTAATTCAGATACCATACCGTAGTCGCGCGCCCAAGAACGCTGCTTCCAAGTGGTTAGCCTGTGACGTTCTTATCCTTCAGCAAACTGGCTGCATTCTTATAGCACATTCTCAGAAACAATTCGGACTGAATCCCAAAAGCTACCAGAAAATCAACACCCCCCCCCCCCCCCCCCCCCTTCTTGACTTGAGGCTGCGGCGTTCTTAGCATTTCAGGCAGGACGTTCTTGGGCTCCAAGTTCTTAGGCGCGACTTTACTGTAGTACGGTATATCCAGGGCAGTTAATACGGAATTGCTTCACTGGGTTCCCGCCCCCCTGATCCCACTCACACACTCCATGAAGCGCCATCACTGCTAGTGTGGTCATCATGGTCATTGAAGTCCTCAAACTAAGCAACCTCAGTGCCAGGGAAAGTCGGGTGATGCTATGAGCCGCAGCACATTGCGGCATCTATTTACCACGCATCACGTACAATCACGTCCGGTTGAGAGCATAGTTGTATTTCTACTATGGCCGTGTACTACTGTCGTGGACATGGAAATCCAGTCGATTGACCGGGGCCGGCGCCCTCAGACCGTTACGTTGCATGCAGTGCACAATCATGTTGATCCGTTGCGACCAGCAGCGAATAATGCATGCGTGTGCTGCATACCTACGGCTGCATGGCCAGCGCTCTGGGGCCGCTAGACGTGCGACCGGATTTCCATGTCCACGACAGTAGTACGGCTCTTTTCCCAGAGCTTAACCTCTACTCCAAACATCAAAGTTCCATTCTCCAAAACTAATCTTCGGCGAATGCACGGTCATACCAGGTTGACCTTGCAAAGCCGTACAATTGCTGGTGACAAACAGCCATTCAAGGCACTGAATCAACCACTATAGACGCATCGTGCAGTATTAGTACGCATTTGCTATATAGAGGCATTGTAATGTTTGATATTGATGCGGATGTCTCTTGAGTGGTGTTATCCATGCAGTCAATGAGATATACCCTACACCGAATTTACCAGTCGATATGTCAGTTGATATAGCACAGAAAGGAGAACCTGAGCGCCCTCATCACAGAACGTTGCGTGTACAAGGTAATGAGCATAACCATTTACTGTGTTCCTACCATTGTCGTACAATTACTTATCATTCTTTGTTTACTAGCAAGTAAATTTCAAGACAATACAAAATGCCTCACCTGTGTAGGGTTTGACAAGAGAATGCTCCCTACGAAGATAGTCACTACCACCATCCTGATCTTGATTTCCATCCTGTGCCCCGACAAGGGAGCACAGGACCACCAGGAACACTAAAGGTTCATGCCACCTCATCTTCATCATTGACATTGCCATTTTCAAGAGAGCGCAAGCGCTTATCAGGCGAAAATGGCCGCTGAGCACTTTCTTCACTGGCCGTCGCCGGGCCAGGAGATTTTGGCAATGTTGAGTGCTTATGTGTGACTGTGAGGCTATTCTACAGAGGATGAGGAGGAAACTCAGCGCACCTTCTTTGGCTTTTGCCAGTTGTCCTCTTCAGAGTTCTGCTTCTCCAACCCAGGAATTGACGTGGACTTGTTCCTGTGGGCAGACCTTTTATTTTGGCGTTTTCACATCACAAGATGTACGCGTGGGCGTACATGTAAACGTATGTCACGCGCGTGCACACGCGGGCAAGATCCGTCCGATCGAGCTGACATGACGTAGTAGATAAGTTGTACGTTAACGCGTTGTCAGTGGCAGTCTCAGTGCGCATGGTCACGAGTGCACGTAGAGAAATGCGTGGCAGTCGCGCTTGCATGCAATCGAGCTGTACATGTCGTTTTCGTCGTTTTTTATCGACGATCTGTTGCTGACATATCGACGTCGATTTGAGGACGAGGCCGAGGGCGAGGGGCCGGCGAGGGTTTGACCTCGAGCTAGCTCGCGAGCGCGCGCCCGACAAATGCGTGAATTATTATCGATGGCAAGAAAATTTTCCGTGTGTCCCAAGGCAAGAGAAAAAATAGTTGGTCAGTTTCCACGGCTAGTACCGCCTCTCAAATTCTTATTCATTATTGAACTCTTGGCAGTCATTTCTCAATGCCTGTTATGCCTTATGGCCTTCGGCCAGGCTGCTGATGTTGGTGTGATGGATATGAAATTGGGCTAACAGTACTGTAGTATTTTGTGAAAAATCGATTCAGAGGTGGTGGTCATCTCCGAAGAGCTTGCAGCAATGATGAAAGGACAGCAGAGTGCGAATTCTAATAATAATGGCCTGTATCAAGAAAATAGAAGTGTCACTGGTGGGGAGGAGTATCGCTTATTTTCCCAACATCGCGGGGCAGACTACCGGTCAAGATTGACCGAAGCAGAAGCACCATGGCAAGAGGGAGCAGTAAGTTACACGATTGTTTTTTTTGCGAGGCGTAGCAAATTGCAAAAGTTGTAGTTTGTTTTCCTATCGTAGAATAATAAATTGTATGGGATGATGACGGAGAGGGTCTAGTGATCTCACAGTTATTGTAATGAGAATGTTTGATGAAGAATGGTCGTGCCTTCGGACCAGTGGAGAAATGTAGCACTCGGGCAGGCTAGCCTACGCGTATATTGTCGTTTGGAGATTAGATTACGTCAATTTAGCGACAAACAGCCATTCCCTGCGTCCAGGAGAGACAGCGGATATTGTAATACGATGTGGCCAAGTGTCATACATCGTGTGTGCTTTTGCCCCGTGCGGACTTGACACCGGATCACCAGTATGGCTTTGATAGACAAGTAGAGCATTGCTGTGTCCATGGGACTGCCATAGTGCTGGGGTTGTTGGTATACCGGATCTGGCAGTAAGCACTGTAGGTGTGGTTGTGCTGGTGGATGATGTAGCCGCAAACCTACCGCACTTGCCTTGAGGCTTGTGCCGGACAGAAGTACGATCGGCTGCGTTTGTGAGACTCACGCAGGTGATATCTTAGCGCTCCATTGCATGGATTGCGCAATGGTGAATGATCAGTTTGGATTTGATTCAGAATTCCAACAAGATCAGGACTCAGGATCATTTCTATTTCGAAGTGCGGACGGGAACATAACGGGGAAGATATCTTCGAAGTCCCGCCGCCCTTTTTCACATCTGCGCGAGCGCAGCGTAGCATGCTACATTCGGGACTGTGTGTAGCGTGCATTGTCATGCGCCAGTATGATCGGCCGTGGTGCTGGGCGAGATACATGTGGCTGGCATGGGTGCAACAATGCTGTTACGTGCGAACCCTCGTTGAACATACCTAGTTCTGCTCTCGCACATGTAGTTGTACATCATGCCGCAGGCAGTAGCAAAGTATTGCCATTCGTAGCTGGTGATATCCGTGATGTTAGAGATGTTGAACGTGTACTTGATGTGTATGTGCCGTAGCATGATTTTGGGTGCGATTCTTCAGGCGCGAAGTTGTCAGCAGAGCCCTGTGGGTGACGGGGAATAATGTCTGCTCTCTGTAGTTATCACTTGAAGTAATCCGTACTTCATAATACACGTTGATGTGTGCTGTTCTCATCGTGGCAGTTGGGGTTGTGGAGTTGTATCATTGGTCAGTGTTTTACGTCTTTCCGTCCTTTCTCAGCTGCTTTGTGCCTTGTTGCAGTTCATTTTATATGGCAGCTTTAGTACGCGCACACACACATACGCACACACACACACACACACACACACACACACACACACACACACACACACACACACACACACACACACACACACACACACACACACACACACACACACATACACACATACACACACACACATGCACACACGCACACACACACACACACACACACACACACACACACACACACACACACACACACACACACACACATGCACGCACACACATACACATACGCACGCGCACACACACATACACACACACACACAGTTAACCTTTACCTTTACCTTGATCTTGCCCGTCATTTGACAATAGCAAACTAGAGTTGGTTGCATTTCAAACCTACTGAGGAGCAACCCAAGTTGCCACAACGATACTGGGAGGAGGGCAGCCGGCTGTCTGCTGGCCGCATGTGATATGCTGCATGCCAGGACCAAATCTTCATAATGAGTGAGTGAGTGGATGACGCCTCTGCACTACACCGTCGCTACCAAACACTTATGTCTCTGGCAATATCCCTGAGTGGCCAGCAGCCTTGCCGAGCTTCAAATTCTTCAATGCCACATGTAGCTTACTCATAGTTGCAGAGGCAGCCATGCCCGTTTGCAGGAGAAGTTGCTCCACATTCTGCACATTGTGGACTGAGTGCCCGAACCGACGGCCACGCGTGGCATCCTCCCAAGTTGTCAGGTTGCCATTCGCAATCTTTTCATGCTAGACGGCTAAGGTATGCACTGGCTAACGGCTACTAGCGAGCACTTGCACCTTTCGAATACATTTCTAATGAGTATCAAGATCGTACTCCTGTTTCTCCGCCAATGATGCGATATTCTCAATCAAGTCCTTTCGCTTCGGAGACAGCGTTTCAGGGGCTCCCTATAACGTTTGCGGAACGACCTCCACGTGCGTTCCGTTCCAGTTTTCAACATCAGATCTCGCGTGCTATTCGGTCTATCAAGCACTGGTCGAAGGACATGCTCATTTGCCCCAAGCCGATGTGGCTACTTCCGGGACTGAGGACCGGGAACCCCCACTGCTGCTACTGCAGCAGCACCAGCACCAACAGCAGAAACAGAAGTAGAAGTAGTGGACTCATTGATTGCAATCCAATCAGCCTTACAACTATCCAAGCCAGTTTGGTGTACCTGGTTCTGAATTTGAAGCGTAGCTTCGGCATTGAGTGCATGCACATTTGCCACATGTACTGGACGTGTGACAAAGAGAAATTACACGTATTATTTGGGGACAGCGTTTCACTAGCCATGATGAATATTGTTGTACCTGATTTGTGCTGCTCTGCAGATTGGAAAGGAGACCATCGACTCACTCAGTAGCATTTCTCTAGATGACGATGCCGCGGCACATTCTAGCAGCTTTGCAGAGGTGGGCTATTGTTCTATGTTATGTCTACTTCAAAGGTTCTTTTCTTAGCTTCACTCCATGTTTCTGCCTCATCTCTCTCTCTCTTCTCTCTCTCTCTCTCTCTCTCTCTCTCTCTCTCTCTCTCTCTCTCTCTCTCTCTCTCTCTCTCTCTCTCTCTCTCTCTCTCTCTCTCTCTCTCTCTCTCTCTCTCTCTCTCTCTCTCTCTCTCTCTCTCTCTCTCTCTCTCTCTCTCTCTCTCTCACACACACACACACTCACACACACACACACACACACACACACACACACACACACACACACACACACACACACACACACACACACACACCTTGACCTTGAACTTTTGACGCCCATCGCCGGAGGCGATGATAGCAATGCTACGGCAGAAGCCATAGCAACTTGTGCTGGGATTGCACCATTCAAGAGCTTGCAAGGCTGAAGAATTGACCGTCACTATTCAGCCTGGTCTACACCATACAGCAATTTGAAGTGACTTTTTCTAGCAAGTGAATCCCTTCTACACACACACACACACACACACACACACACACACACACACACACACACACACACACACACACACACACACACGCACACACACACACACACACACACACACACACACACACACATCCGTAATTCTCAGCTATAAGTTAACTTGTGGGTTTATGTATAATATACCTCTCAATGCTGTAGACAGCAAGCTGTTTCGGCCAGAAAGGCCTCATCAGTACAGCTACGAGCTAAGTAGGCCAAGCTACCAGCGATGGTGCAAAGGAGGCACCACAGCTATTAATAAGATAGCTCGTCGCTCTAGCGCCAGAGTGCTCAAGCTACAAAAAGTAGCGGGCATTGCGCTCTATACCTCTCATATATTTAGGCATTTATGTTAGCAACTAAGGCGATGCCCAGGCCATCTGGTAAAAGGAGAGCGATCGCTCTCGCGCGCCTTCGCTCTCTTTGTTTTCATTTTGGGCGCACTTTTCCTCGCACGCCTTGAGAATTTCGAGCGCATCCGCATCACTATGTGCATTCTGCAAACACTCAAATATTTTGTAACTCGGCTTTCCCTGAACGGAATTGAGTAATCGAAAGGTCTATTCGCATTAGAAAGTTCTCAGCTGTCGGCTCCAACACATCTGAAGTCGATCCAAGGTTAAATAGTGGAGTTACGGCACTCGCAAGGTATTTTACGTCCCATTGCAAATTTTCACTTCCGCAATTGGGTGGCAATCATAATAATAGCAATGAAAAATATCAATTGTGCACTCATGTATAAACAATTAAAATGAAACAATTCCAGAACGTTTTCGTGTGACCATCATCAGTGGAACATCGTCACATAGTAAGAATCACTAAAACAACCAGTTATATAGCTAGAGTAATATGAAAAGAAGCGTGAGAATGCAGCACAGCTAGCGGTTATGCATAACGCGTGTAGTGTGAACCTTTGCAGTGTATCTGAGAATGGTAGCAGTAGATGAATGTGGCAGCTGTGAGTGCGTGTGAACAAAAACTGGTGAGTGCGTATTATTTAAAAAGTGTGAGTGCTACAACATTTTCTTTTTGCTTGCATAGAACAGGGTCACATGTGCGAATATATACAGCTTCCAACACCTGCAACTGCTTAAAGAAACGCGCGCGACAAATAACACTAAACCAGGAATCGTCAAACAACTTACGACAATCCGGACTGGACACCAAATGCTTGTAGATGGCAGACTTGCTCTTGCCGATGTCGAACTCCTCCTCGTCCGTATCACTCTCATCCTCCACTTCCTGTTCCTGCTCACCCTTGCTTTCCTCCTGACCATCCTGTTCATCCCCATCATCATCCTCCATCTCCATCTCCTCATGCCATCGCTTCTTTCTCCTTGACGTGTTCACTGCCGCGCCCGTACTTTCACCTGCCACTACTGGTTCCGCCTTCTCCATTTTTCTCAGTCGTGTCTCCGCTAGTCTCTGGCTTCTCCTCAGATTCGTTTTTCCTCCATTTTCATTTCGTTCTCCTGGTGATCTTTCCGTTACCGCCGTCGGGTTTGTTAACGAACGATCGTCCGGTGGTCTCCCATGCCGTGTTGTTGTCGTCAAGAGTGACATCAGATTCATGTGTTGCGCTACTGTTGAGTCCGGTGTTGTATCCGATTCCTGGTTTAGTGTTATTTGTCGCGCGCGTTTCTTTAAGCAGTTGCAGGTGTTGGAAGCTGTATATATTCGCACACGTGACCCTGTTCTATGCAAGCAAAAAGAAAATGTTGTAGCACTCACACTTTTTAAATAATACGCACTCACCAGTTTTTGTTCACACGCACTCACAGCTGCCACATTCATCTACTGCTACCATTCTCAGATACACTGCAAAGGTTCACACTACACGCGTTATGCATAACCGCTAGCTGTGCTGCATTCTCACGCTTCTTTTCATATTACTCTAGCTATATAACTGGTTGTTTTAGTGATTCTTACTATGTGACGATGTTCCACTGATGATGGTCACACGAAAACGTTCTGGAATTGTTTCATTTTAATTGTTTATACATGGTTATGAGTGCACAATTGATATTTTTCATTGCTATTTTACGACTGTTGTCTCCTCGTCGGTTATTTAATCATAATAATATTATTATTTTTGACATGAAGGATTTCCCTCTGTTGCGTGACAGTCCGGGCATGCATAGACCTGTTTGACGTCAGGCAGAGGTCTTTAGCGGACAGCTACAAAAGAGAGGAGCGCTCTACGATGAATGCTACAAAAATACTATGGATCTTAGCGAATTGCCTCAATTTCCCGTTGCGCGTCTCTTCCCAGGGCTATACTCCCCTATAGATAGATAGTATAGTGCCACTGCAGTAGCACTCTAGCTGGTGAAAAGCCCACTGGTGTGTTCCTCTTGCCAATAGCTTTCCAGAATGCTTGCGATTCATTGTCAAAATTGATGAAGGGAAACTAAAGTTGTGGTTTGAACAGCTTCCATTTGTAGTGCGTACGGTAATTGTCCAGAAAGAATTTAGCAGGGTATTGAATCCGATTGGGGTATGGCAAGATGTTGAAAAACCCATATTGTGCTCGCCTTGGATAAATAAGGCGAGCTATTTTTTTTTGGGGGGGGGGGGGGACTGCTTTCCCACCACTCTCCTTGAGAGGATAGCGAGAGTGATTGTTCACTCTCCTGGATGTTTCTTACACGAAGGTCTGGATGCCGCAAGTTTTCTTCTTTGCTCTAATAATTGCATAGCTTGAAGGGTGGTGGCGTTCCTACGGATGTGGAAAACTCGGCCTCTATATAGATAAACCGAGTCTGACGCGAACCGTGACATTTTTCTAATGTTCTTTGAAACTTATGATGTTTATCGTGTCTTTGCTTCATGTCTGTTCAGATCATCCCTGGTCGCCAGATATGGGAGCCTGCAGATGGGCCGACTCCCGCCGCCCCCACGGAACGTCCTGCAGGGCCTCAGGGTGCCACCGCTGGCCCTCTCGAGAGCGTCTTCACGTCGAAATGGGGCCTGGGCGGCAACGACAGCGCCTGGCTGCCGCTGCAGCACCAGCACCCGCACCCCCCGTCCCAGTCCATGCAGGCGGAAACGGGCAGCAGCAGTGGCGGGGGCGCCGGTGTTGCTGGCGCCAGTACCAGTAGCAGCACCAGTAGCAGGCCGGCAGCGTCGGCTGCAGCAGCTGCACAACCGGCAGCCGCCTCTTTCTCGCCGGACGGCCTGTCTTCTTTCGTTTCGCCGCGCCAGTCCGATTCGAGCACGGCTCACATTTCGATGGTCGAACGCTTGCTGGATTCGTCCAACACGTTTCCTGATTCTGACCCTGCGGCCTTCTACCAGCGCGTCATTGGGCGTACAAACTTCCCACCTGGCCAGTCTGCTGAGAATGCTTTCGCCGAAGGCAGCAGTACCAGCCCGGTTGGAGTTATCGGTGCTGGCGATGCCAGCTTGATTTCTGATACGGTCACGGTGGGGTCGGTAGCAGCAGCAGCTGTGCCAGAAGAAGCCGATGCAGAGCTGCTCTCGCGCAGCTTTTCAGACAGTGCACTTCCCATTGCGTCGGACATGGCTGCAGCAACCATCGCTAAAGGTGATGCCGAGTCCAGCGCACCTCTCCCGGCTGCCGGCTCTCAGCGCTCGGCACGTGTGGAAGCGCAGAAGGCCGGTGGCGGCGTTGGCGTCGGCGCTGCTGTGCAAGATGCGGTCGTGCAGCGCACACTGTCTGGCACTGACGTCAAAGTACGCGATGCCAGCAGCCTTGCAAGTGCTCCAGTTCCTGCCACTGTGGTCGTGGTGCCCGCTTCTCCTCAAAGGTCGAGGAAAAGCTCTTCGTCCGCAGCGGCGGCTTCCAGTGCTACCGGAAAGCCCTCATCGGCACCGTCTTCAGGACAAGCTCCCGTGGAGACGGCAGCAACACCAGGCAGCATACCATCTGCTCCTAGTTCTTCTGCTGGAGTTGCACCAGCGGTGGACACTGCTGGCAGTGGCGCGGAAGCCGGTCCCCAAGTTGCACTGCCACAGTTTGGCAATATGCCCCAGTACCAGCAAGTACTGGACCCGTCTGCTATGCATGCTATGCAACAGCAGCAGCAAGGTCAACATTTGCCTCCCCACATGCAGCAGCAGCAGCCTGCTCATCAGCAGCACATGCAAATGCCTCCACACCCTTTCTCATTGCCGCCACAAGTTTTGCCGCCATTCCTCCTCCAGTCCGTTGCCCAGCAGCAACAGCAACAGCAGCTTTTCCTTGCAATGGCTCAACAGCAGCAGCAACAACAGCAGCAGCAACAGCAACAACAGCAGCAGTCTCAAGGTGTTCAGCAGCAACAACAACCGCTTCAACAACAGCAGCAACAACCTCCTCAGCAGCAAGCACAGGTGCATGCTCAGTCATCGCCCCAGCACCAACAGCAGCAGCAACAACAACCACAGCAGCAGCAGCAACAATTACAATCGCAAGCTCAGCAGCAACAGGTTAATCAGGCCCTCCATGCACTTCAACAGCAACAGCAACTTCAGCAAGCATACAATCCTGCCGCTCCATTCTATTTACCAAACCCAGGTCAGGCAGGTGGAACCCAAGAAGCCTTTTCCGCCATGCTGGCAGCAGCTGCCGCCGCCGGAAATCATATGTTGCCCCAGCAACTAGGGGCTGGCTATCAGCTTCCTTGGGGCGCTATAAATCCGGCCTATCTACAACAGCAGCAGCAGCAGCAACAACAGAATCAACAGCCGTTGGTCCCAGGAGCAGCAGGCATGGTCGGAGTCCCACCATCATCCATTCCCAACACGGCCGCCTATCCCACTCTTCCCGGGGCAGCGAATTCTAAACCAACAGGTACTCAGTACTATGGCGATGCTATGCAACAACAGCAGCAACAACAGCAGCAAGCACAACAACAGCAGCAGCAGCAACCACAACAGCAGCAGCCACAGCAGCAGCAAGCACAGCCGCCGCAGCAGCAGCAGCAGCAACAACAGCCACAGCAACAAGCCCAGCAGCCCCAACTCCAGGCTGGTCAGAATATGATGTTGAACCCGCAGTCTTCGCTGAACCTTGCCGCTGCCATGACCTTGCAGCAACAACAGCAGCAACAGCAACCATTGCGCTTTATGCATGGCGCTGCTGCACCACAGCTATATCTACCGAATGCTGGTACTCCTGGCGGCGGGGCGATGCTCAACCCAGCGCTCCAGCCACAGTTGTTTGCACTACAGGGTGCAGCGGGGCCACCTGGCCAACTGCAGCAGGGCCATCTGCCGGGACAGCAACAACAGCAGACAGCAATGGCTGCTAATGTGTATCTGCAGGCAGCTACCAACGCCCTAGTTGCAAATTCGGCTGCGCAGCTTGGTCTCGGTCTGGGAAATCTTGCCAACCCTGCCGGCCTTGGGCTGGATAGCAGTCGCCTGGCAGCCCTGGGCATGCCACAGCAGCCACCGCATCATCAGCAGCTCTTCACCCACGAGGACTACCTGAAGCGCGCTGCTGCGGGCATGCAGCCACTGATGGGCGGTCAGCAAGGCATGCCGCAGCCACTGCCCGGCTTGACAGCGGCGGCACGCACTGGCAGCGGCGGGGCAGGATCGTCGGCTAGCTCCATGGACAAGAAACACCGGCCGAGCGGCGCCTCGTCGCCTTCACTGTCCGGCGGAGCTTACGCACCGGGCGGTATGTTCATGGGAGGCCGGCGCTCCGCCAAGGACGGATCCAATCGCAGTCGGCTGCTCGAGGACTTCCGAAACTCGCGCTTCCAGCAGCTATCGCTGCGCGAGATCATCGGTCACATTGTGGAGTTCTCCCAGGATCAGCACGGCTCCCGCTTCATTCAGCAAAAACTCGAGCACGCCGCGCAGAGCGAGAAGGACGCCGTGTTTGGCGAGATCATCCCGTCGTCGTACCAGCTGATGACCGACGTGTTTGGAAACTACGTGATTCAGAAGTTCTTCGAGTTCGGCTCCGAAGCACAGAAGCAGGCCCTGGTGGAGAACATCCAGGGACGAGTGCTGCAGCTGGCTCTGCAGATGTATGGCTGTCGTGTAATCCAAAAAGCACTGGAGACCATCACACACGAGCAGCAGGTAAGCGAGGGCAGAGCAAAAGAACCAGGATGCCTGGCAAATTGGCAATACCTTTCAGCAAGAGTACATGTGCAGTAAAGCCTGTAACTAAAGACCACCGTGACTAGCGACCAGCCTGGTACTACAGTAAAACCTGTAACTAAAGACCACCGTGACTAGCGACCAGCCTGGTACTACAGTAAAACCTGTAACTAAAGACCACCGTGACTAGCGACCAGCCTGGTACTACAGTAAAGCCTGTAACTAAAGACCACCGTGACTAGCGACCAGCCTGGTACTACAGTAAAACCTGTAACTAAAGACCACCGTGACTAGCGACCAGCCTGGTACTACAGTAAAGCCTGTAACTAAAGACCACCGTGACTAGCGGCCAGCCTGGTACTACAGTAAAACCTGTAACTAAAGACCACCGTGACTAGCGACCAGCCTGGTACTACAGTAAAGCCTGTAACTAAAGACCACCGTGACTAGCGATCAGCCTGGTACTACAGTAAAACCTGTAACTAAAGACCACCGTGACTAGCGACCAGCCTGGTACTACAGTAAAGCCTGTAACTAAAGACCACCGTGACTAGCGACCAGCCTGGTACTACAGTAAAACCTGTAACTAAAGACCACCGTGACTAGCGACCAGCCTGGTACTACAGTAAAGCCTGTAACTAAAGACCACCGTGACTAGCGACCAGCCTGGTACTACAGTAAAACCTGTAACTAAAGACCACCGTGACTAGCGACCAGCCTGGTACTACAGTAAAGCCTGTAACTAAAGACCACCGTGACTAGCGACCAGCCTGGTACTACAGTAAAACCTGTAACTAAAGACCACCGTGACTAGCGACCAGCCTGGTACTACAGTAAAGCCTGTAACTAAAGACCACCGTGACTAGCGACCAGCCTGGTACTACGGTAAAACCTGTAACTAAAGACCACCGTGACTAGCGACCAGCCTGGTACTACAGTAAAACCTGTAACTAAAGACCACCGTGACTAGCGACCAGCCTGGTACTACAGAACACGTCGCCAAGCACGGACGGTCTCACATTATGGTTGTGCGGTGCAAACCTCTAACTGAGGACCACCTGCTACTAAAAACCGCTTTCTCTGGTCCCAAGGGGTGGTCGTTAGTCACAGATTTTACTGTACTTAAAACCCAGAGTGTGCAGCGTGGGGCTTTTTTCTACTATGAGTGTCTGTCACGGCGGAATTCCGTGATTACTTCATAATGTGGTGCAGATCTGAAGCGGGAAGTGGCGTAGTGCATACAACTTAGCTGTAGGTGTGCAGCAAGAGACCTGCTTGAGTCCTGCTTGTGCACACTAACTACATCACAGAATTTCGCCGTGCCGCCAACCCATCAAAGCTGCACACTCTGAGTTTCATGTACAGTAAAACCTGGTGCAAGCGACCTCTGGGCTTAGCGACCACCTGCTCTCAACGACCGTTCTTCCATGCACCGACCGTTCTACGCAGACACTGTGGGACCTGGTTCTAAAGACCACCTTGCTTTAACGACCGCTTTTGCTTGCAGCGTGGGGTGGTCGCTTAAACCAGGTTTTACTGTGCTCTTGCTTCCAGGAATTGCTGTGGCCTTGCCTGTTTACGTACTGTGAAACTTCAGTAAACTGTATAAGCAGAAATATTCGTCTGGAATTTAATTTCGTCTTTTTCGTCCACGAAGCTTTTGGACTAAATTAAATGCCAGACTAATGTCGATTTGTCCAGCTTTTCAATACACTCTTATGATCCATGGACGAAATTTTCAACTGGACGAACTCCCTTTCTTTGGAGTTGGACGAAATTATTGACCGACGAAATTTTCTGCCTGTACAGTAGTAGGGTATCTCCCAGGGACATAAAAATCTATACTTTCTAAAAAGCCGAGGTATCCAACATCCGAGATCCACTAACTGGAAGGATACGAAGTGTCCTAAAAAACAACTGAAAAAAGTACTTGATATCCTATAACGGAGCCATCCGGCATTATCTGAATTGGAATGACTTGGCATGTTGAGGCATAAAACGAGCACCGTTCTGCTACGGAGTTATGTGCAATATCGCCAACATACCCAGCAACCAATGAGCCTTTTGCGCGTTGTACAGATGCACGAAATCCCGTAGAATCCCGTAGAACCTAATGGGTGTTGAATGTGCAGGACCCTATTGTGTTTTCTGCTATTTCCACTAAGAAATAGGCCCTGAAGGCTTTTCAAACGAAAACCTTTTCTGACAAAGATCTAGCTAGTCATTAGAGAGGTTCCGGGGTACGATTTTCCGTGCCAAAATCCGTATGGGCGCTACGGATTTTTTCCAGGGGTGCTCCATACGATTTTCGGCTCGGAGAATCCGCGTGGACTGGCTTTCATACGAACCATGTTTCCTATGGAGATTTTGCGTCATCGCGATCAGAACGATTTTTCGCGTACAAATTTGGTACGAGAAACATCGATTTTTCGCGGGAAGTTTTGATTTCAGTACAAATTTTCAAAGGATAAAGGCATAGCGCGGGAATGTGACGTGTTTGCGATCGTAACCTAGGCAATGGCGGCAAATACATAAGTTCCGTACTCCGGAACATTTCACTGCTCGAAAACGACGTATAAAAAATCCGTAGAGCCTCTACGGATTTTGGCACGAAAAATCGTACTCCGGAACCTCCCTATTAGTTCTAAACAAAGTGAAGAAGCTGGAAAAGGGATTGTTTGTCATTGATTATGAGGCTAAAATTGGTCAAATGCGCATGCATAGCACACAATGAACACCCAACCGGGTCTGTACACACCTACGCCCTAGTACTGAACTTCGTACATCTGTACAACGCGCAAAAGCTCTATAGTGACACCACATCGAATAGCTCTGCAAATGTCGAGGTTTCTTTCACCGGACCCACGAGAACTTGGCGACATAGTGTACCTCCTTGAGTATTCACACAGTTCGGCAAGAGATATGGACAAGTCGTTCTGTCTGTGATAATCCTCATTGAACATTCGGTAACACTTGACAGAAACAAACTCTCCTCCTTGTTGAGTATGTCAATACTATTTTCGAAGAAAAAAATTCTTTGGAGGTTTTCTCTATTAATAGTATTATGCTGCTTAGAGATTAGTAGGCTGAACAATTGTCACCGTCCCGTAATACTGGCGGTGTATCTGCTTATTGTCTTGCTGTTGTTGTAGCAACAACTTATCAAGGAGCTGGACAGCCATGTGCTCAAGTGCGTCAAGGATCAAAACGGCAACCATGTCGTTCAGAAATGCATTGAGTGTGTCCAGTCGACCTCTCTGCAGTTCATCATCGACGCCTTTCACAATCAGGTAGGCAGGCTGCACTGCCCTTTAGTAACCGCCGCCGCATGGTTGTCCATTGTCGTGTGTTACCCGTACTGCCCTTTAGTAACCGCCGCCGCATGGTTGTCCATTGTCGTGTGTTACCCGTTGGTTGCACGTGCTTTTGATCTCATTCCTTTAGAGGTGTGCCTAGATACTGCATGAGAAGCTAAGTTCTGGCTATGACTGGCTTCTTGGGGTCCAACAGTGCCAAAAGACATGTGCTTGTTTCTGAGCTTGAATCATGATTGCAAATGCTTGTTACTGTCCCTCATTTCAGTTCTCGTTTGACTGATGATTCAGTGATGAACGGAACTAACTTCTGGCTCTTCACAAGCAAACATTTCTGAAAGTTTCTACAAGTACCCTCATTGCCTTCTCTAGCAAGAGGCACAGTGAGAAATATAAAAGTGTTGCACTTCAAACTGTTGATTGTCAACCCTATTGACATTAATCACATGTCCAAGTGACAGGTCCTATCACTATGCACAAGTGGTGTAAGTGCAAAGATGTCAGCATAGTTGTCTGCATTCACACAAAGAAACCAACCCTTCGCACACAGAAACAGAACACGTTCACGCCCAAGGGTGACAAGTAGGACACCAACGCATCGTTGCCTGTGTACATTTGTTGTCTAGTGTTATCTCCATACGCGCTATCTTATTGTTGACGTAAACGTGGACGTGCGTATAATATAACTAATAATAACAAGAAGAAATCAGAGGCCACATGCCACGTACTGCTCTTTTCTCTCCGAAACTCAACACTTGCAAGCCAGATATGAAAGAAAGAAAAAATCATCAGTCACACCACCGGGACTCGAACCAGGGACCTTGCAATAATAAGAATAATAATTGTTATCTGGTCTGCCCCTCTATCCACCTGAAGGGAAGGCAATGAAAGTACTCGTGGAAACTTCAGAAATGTTGCTGGTGAAGAGCCTGCAGTCAGTTCTGTTCGTCTGTCTAATTTCATTTTGCTTCCTCGGAAATCATTTCCCAATCCTGTTTTTTTGTTGTGCACTGCTCTTGGGTTGCTAGGTGCTGCCGCTGTCCACGCACCCGTACGGCTGCCGGGTCATCCAGCGCATGCTGGAACACTGCAGTCCGGAGCAGACCGAGCCGTTGCTGAAGGAGCTGCATGCGGACGTTGTGCGCCTGGTGACGGATCAGTATGGCAACTACGTAGTGCAGCATGTCCTGGAGCGTGGCGCCCAGATTGACAAGACCCACATTGTCGATGCCCTGCGTGGCAACATTCCCGAACTCAGTCAGCACAAGTTTGCCAGGTATGTGAGGCATGCGTCTCTTGGGTATTGGATCATTGTCTCGGTGTGTGTGTGTTTGGGGGGGGGGGGGGGGGGGGGGGGGTGCACATCCAGTGCATTTGCAGATTTGCGTGCTTCTCTTGCGACGGGTGTATACATGGTACATGGTACATGGTGTGTGTGTGTGCAACATCGTGATTGACCTAGAGGAATGCCACATCAATGACTGGTACAGCCTAGCCGAGGACCGCCGTGCGTGGAGACTGGCCTGCAACACCATCCAGCCGCCTAAACCTGTGTCTCGGGATTTCAGGTGCCACTGCGGCCGAGATTTTCGCCGTCGCCAGGACCTCACTCGCCACTTGAAGTTCTGGTCCGCGTGACTGAAACATTGTCGGTCCTTTCAGGACCTGCCATTATCTCCGGATGGGCATTATTGTATTGTATTGTGTGTGTGTGTGTGTGTGTGTGTGTGTGTGTGTGTGTGTGTGTGTGCGGTGTGTGTGCGGTGTGTGTGCGGTGTGTGTGCGGTGTGTGTGCGGTGTGTGTGCGGTGTGTGTGCGGTGTGTGTGTGCGGTGTGTGTGCGGTGTGTGTGCGGTGTGTGTGCGGTGTGTGTGCGGTGTGTGCGGTGTGTGTGTGCGGTGTGTGTGTGTGTGTGTGTGCGGTGTGTGTGTGTGTGTGTGCGGTGTGTGTGTGTGTGTGCGGTGTGTGTGTGTGTGCGGTGTGTGTGTGGTGTGTGTGTGGTGTGTGTGTGTGTGTGTGTGTGTATATATTTTAATTACTCAATCTGCGGACAGCATGCTGTTTCGTTCTTTTTGAACTCATCAGCGCAGCACAGAGAAAATGAGGCCGAACCTGATAGCAATGGAAATAAAAATTTCCAATCAGGCCCGAACGTACCTTGCCAGAGTGCTCAAACTGACAAGTCAGTGAGCTCTGCATAACGCAAACAGCAAAGGCACTACCCCACGCAAGAGTGCTCAACTGCTACAAGAGCAGGAGCGAAATTATTATATAATTATATGTGTGTGTGTGTGTGTGTGTGTGTGTGGTGTGTGTGTGGTGTGTGTGTATGGTGTGTGTGTGTGTTGTGTGTTGTGTGTGTGTGTGTTGTGTGTGTTATGTGTGTGTGTGTTGTGTGTGTTATGTGTGTGTGTGTTGTGTGTGTTATGTGTGTGTTGTGTGTGTGTTATGTGTGTGGGTGGGTGGATGTTATGTGTGTGTGTGTGTGTGTGTGGGGGTGGGTGGGTGGGTGTTATGTGTGTGTGTCTGTGTGTGTGTCTGTGTGTGTGTCTGTGTGTGTGTGTGTGTGTGTGTCTGTATGTGTGTGTGGGTGGGTGTTATGTGTGTGTGTGTGTGTGTGTGTGTGTGTGTGTGTGTGTGGGTGGGTGGGTGTTATGTGTGTGTGTGTCTGTGTGTGTGTCTGTGTGGGTGGGTGGGTGTTATGTGTGTGTGTCTGTGCGTGTGTGCGTGTGTGGGTGTGTGTGGGTGTGGGGGGGGGGGGGGGGGGGGTGTTATGTGTGTTGGATCATCACCTCGTGGAACTGGCACTGCTGGAGTCTTTCGTTGAACGTAGTGACAGATTGGTTGCCTGTGCTAATTTCTGTGTGTGTATGTGTGTGTGTTTGTTTGTGCAATACATCTGTATGTGTGGGTGTACCTGTGCGCATGCACTTGTGTCTGTGTTCTCCCTCGGCTTGCAGTAACGTGGTTGAAAAGTGCGTGACGTACTGCACGCGGCAAGAGCGCTCGGGATTGGTCGATGAGATCTGCGCCTGTTCTGATGCGTAAGTGCTTAGTACTACTAAACACAGTCGCGGGCTCAGTTGCACTCCGTCAAAATATCCATTTTTTTTATTGCATTACTCACTGAACAGATTTTCATAGGATGGTGACTGTGCGCCGAAATTGCACTTGAAATGAGATTTCCGGTGGTGCGCTTTTGTTTGGAACAGTGTGATGAAGGCACTCTTGTTTCTCTGTTCTCTTTTTCTCTCACTGATACAGCCTGCTGTACACGCTGATGAAAGATCAGTATGCCAACTACGTTGTGCAGAAGATGATTGAGATGGCGGAGGTGGCGCAGCGCAAGTCTCTGATGCTGAAGATCCGCCCGCACATGGCCAACCTGCGTAAATACACGTACGGCAAGCACATCCTGGCCAAGATTGAGAAGTACTTGCCGCGTTCGACCAGCTCCTCGGCGACTCCATCTCCGTCAGAGACCCCGGTGTCGCACCTGGGAAATCTCTAACTGCGAGTATGTACAGCCTCATCGTCATCATTATCATCATCATCATCATCATCAATGCCATCTTTTTCATCTGCAGCTAGCTGTTGTCTGCCAGTCCTGTGATAATCCCAGGAAATGCTGCCACAGCCTGAACTGCAGCCGTGCTATGGTGTTGGCTCCACCGTGGCCGCATATCTCTTAGCATGTCACCAGCATGCCACCAGTATGCTGCGTGTGCTCCACCACTCTGTCAATAATCTGCACAAATTGTCGTACATAGTTGTCGTCGCGATCGTCCCATCCCCGCCCGGTTCATGTAGTTATGTGGCAAAATATCTCACCGCCTTGCTCTCCGCTGGATTTACAGCAGGCGTGCGCGCGGAGGTTCCGTCTTTGTCCTTCGCTCATCACGCTTGATGATCTTGCACACTTCTTTCCTCTGTACAGTAATCAGTTGTATGATGCCCCCCGGTTTTGGTTCCTTCGCTCCCGGTTTTGGTTCCTTCGCTCCCGGTTTTGGTTCCTTCGCCCCCGGTTTTGGTTCCTTCGCCCCCGGTTTTGGTTCCTTCGCCCCCGGTTTTGGTTCCTTCCGGCAGGCGGCTAGCAGCACACCGTAGCGCTCTATTGGCTGCATCGTGCCTGCAGATGTCTTAGAACATTGCTAGTGTCACCTCGTCCGTTTGGTCTCACGGACGCTCGTCAGCCGATGCATCTCTCTCCCGGTGTCATCATTGTGTGTTATGCTTGTATAGGAAACTCCTTCTCAACTGGTCTTCGGTGTGCTTCCAGTTTTCAGTTGGTAACTGCACCGCTGCATTCCTCTGTTTTGTATTCTGCGTTGTGCCCGTCAAATGAGCCTTTGAGGGCACCATGCATGGCTCTCAGCGTAGATTCTCTTGCTCGGCCTGGCCTGTGGGCGCTGTGCTCTGACTGTCCCAATGCACGCGTGTACCGGTGTGCGTCGCGTAGCAAGCGGCCGTGCATGAACAGCAACGTGTGCCCACATGCGTGTGTGTGTATCTGTATGTATGTATGTATGTATGTACATGTATGTACCTTGTGTGTCCGTGTGTGCGCAGCCTTGTATGTACTGGTGTGTATGTGTGTGGGTGTGGGTGTGAGTGGGTGTGCACACCACACGCGAGTGCACTCGTGTGTGTGTGTGTGTGTGTGTGTGTGTGTGTGTGTGTGTGTGTGTGTGTGTGTGTGTGTTTATGCATACTAATGTGTATACTATAGATAACCCCCTCTCTCTCTCTCCCAGTGTAGATGACAGCTGATACTTTACTGCACTTATCTTATCCCACGTGTAATTTTTCCTCAGCTCATTGCCCACAGTTTCACAATCATGTTATCCCAGTGCACTGTTGCCTCCATTGATCACCGTATTCGCGAGTCTGTGCTCCTGGTACTCCTGTTTGGCTCTTCGCCCAGGTCTTCTTGATTCCCGCCGTTTCCCCGGTCTGGTTCGATTTGCCTGTGGAGCTGCTGCCTTCTTTCCATGTTCTTGCGTTGTCGTCTTGCGTTGTGTCTTTCAGCTGATGCTGTTGATCATGTGGTTGTTGCCTGCTTGGGTGTTGTATCGCTTTGGCCATCTTCGCTTCTCCAAGCCGGGTCTCGTCTCCTGCTCTCCTGGCCTGTTTTCGGCAATGGCCTTTGCTGAGTGTCTTGCCCCGTAACCGACACTATTGCAGTCATCGGTTCTGCGTGCATGTATCATCTGTGAACCGTTTTGTTCTGTGTGTGTGCATGCATATCCTTTGCTAGGCTGGCGGTTTTGCCTGATGGCCCCAGCCTGTGTATGTGTGTAGTACGCATGTGCTGCTGCTTGTTCGCCTCCGCCTCTGTTTGCTCTCTCTCTCTCTCTCCATCTCCAGTCTGTCGCTTGGTGTGTTTTTTCTGCTTACAACCCCCTATGGCTTGTACATTTGTACATTGTGTATACGAAGGTGTGTGAAATGCGTGTGTGTCTTATTAAGTGTGTGCTGTTAGAGCCGCTTTTTTTCTCGTTTCCTTTCCCCTCAAGCTACACCACCTGTACATCTGCTTCCCCTCTTATCTCTCCCTTATCCCACTCCCACTGATAGCTTGGATTGATGTGCTCCACAACACAGTCACCCGGGGCCCCACTGACCATGCATTTATTACGCGTTTCTTGCTAAGCTTTCTTATTATGATAGTAGCTGCAGTGTGTGTGTGTGTCTATGTGTGTTATTCTTTTTTTGCCTTGTGCCTCTGTTTCATATCCACCACCTGTCCCCATTCCATTATCCGTGTACAAATAACTTCCGTAGTGGAATAGCGCAACAATTCATCCACCCAACCCGGCCGTAGCTCTGGTGTTCGAGTGCCGTTCAGCCCTGTGTGTAGAGCGTGGGTGTGTGTGTGTGGGGGGGGGGGGGGGGGCAATATGTGCATGGATGTGCGCTTGTTTGTGGCTTGTGATTGCACACCATCGAGTCCAGGAGCCACTATTGAATCGACGGGTACAAGAAGTGTTGAGCAGAGATTGCACCTATTGCAAGTATCCAGCTGCAAATGATCATCCATTTTATTTGATTGATTATTATTTAACCATAGGCATATAGATGATTTTAAAAGTTCTCAAATGTTATTGTGTCGAAATGCTAAAATCAATGATCCCCTTCAAGCTCTTCGGCAATGCGCCGTTTACAGTATTCTCTAGGTTACGCTCAAGTGGGTCTCTCTGTCTCTCGCAGCAGAAAAAACCTTACAAGTATAAAAAATCATCGTACGAACTCAAGAAAAAATGGTTAGATGAATGTGAGACCTTTTCAAGTTACAAGTGTCATAAACCATGTGGTTCGAACTCGCGAAATAGAAATAGATGAATCCATGGTGCGGAATGGTGAAATGGTGAACTCCACCCTGAAGTCGGAATATCAAAGTGTCGTATCCCACCAGAAGGAATTAGCGCCGCTTTCCCGCCGCACCATTGGCTGCAATAAGCAAACAGGCAACACACAAAAACACACACACACATTAGCGCCACTACACTATTGCTGTCTTCACTCAAGTTCGATTCAATGGACAAGAATACTACCATACATTGTACATGTAATAATAAAATATTAATAATTGTACATCCTAAAAAAATTAATACAATTCGGTGCGTTTTCTCCAAAGCAAAGAAATACTGAGGCGGATTTCATATCCAGAAAAAAAACGCTTTTACCGAGCTGTTTTCTTCACACAGTACTCACTCTGAAATGCACTGGCTCTCTTCAGCTGGACGGCGTCGCGCGTGATCTTCTGCCATTTCTTCTCGATTCTCTCTCGCTCCTCGTCCTTCTTGGAACGGACCCACCGCGCGGCACTGCAGGGTGATGGACGACAAAAGAAGAACAAACTGTATTGTGGCAGCATACCACCGGCTTCAAGTACTTTGACACACGGTTACGGGCAACTTTCGCTGGTCTGACCATCATGGGTATGTAACATACGCACGCACACACAGATGTGCACACATGCACACACACACACACACACACACACACACACGCCAACCAAGGCATGGCAAAGCAGCATCCATGCACATCACGGTTGATACCGTATACGGTTCAGGGGTCCCAGGTTATGGTGAGTGTGTACGAGCAATATGAAAAAGCAAAATATCATTGTTCCTCAAGTCCCACCTTTGATTCAGTCGTTCTTGCATCTCTCGGGCACCTCTGTGAGAGACGAATACGGAGAGAGAGAGAGAGAGAGAGAGAGAGAGAGAGAGAGAGAGAGAGAGAGAGAGAGAGAGAGAGAGAGAGAGAGAGAGAGAGAGAGAGAGACAGAGAGAGAGAGAGACAGAGAGAGAGAGAGAGAGAGAGAGAGAGAGATAATATGAGTACCCCGAGGCACTGATTAAATATTGCACAGAGTGTAAAGCACATGAAAGCATACAGAAACAGATGACTGGTTCCATATCATAAGGTAGAAGTTTCCTGGGCTACACAAGACGCCTGTGTAAAGCAAGACCGGGTAGCACTGGGATGAAAGGCTGCCACCTGTTCCAGAGGACCACTAATGCCAAGACCAACAGCATGACATAACACCCAGCCTAAGGTAAGGAGAACAACCATGCACGATGACGTCGTATACAGGACCTGTTCAGAGGTTGGCTTACAAGTTTTAAGGCAGGTGTTGAGATGCACCTATTCTAGTGGGTTAAAACTGTAGACGTACCGCTGAGAATTGCCCAGTTGAGTCCGAAGTCGCTGTTGCACTGTCGCTTGCTCAGTGAGTTGCTGCCGCAGCAACTGCAGCTCCTGCGCCATCTGAGCCTTGACCTTGAGCTCGCCGCGTGCCTCTTCCAGTTCTGTTGAGGCACGTACCAGGTGAGCGGAGAGCTCTTCTTGCTGCAAGCAGAATGAATCCATGCAGGCGGACACGCGCAGCAACACAAACATTCACACACGACCACATACACATACACACACAAACACACACGCCCAAACACACATGGGCACACACACACACGTGCGCGTACACACACGCACTGGGGTATGAATCTTCCATAACAAAAAAACTTCACTAGCATGGCAGTGCAATTATTGACTAGCATGCCGACAGCATTCATGGTATTCCTAGAAGGGCTTGCATCTCATCTCAGGCAGCCAACAAATAAACAGCTGAGCAGTTCACAGACAGCACGTCACATAATTAACTGTACACCCCACCCCCTCATACACACACGGGTGCATATACACACACGGACACAATCACACACACAGACGCATGTACACACACACACACACGGACGCACACGTGCACACACACACGGACGCACACACACACACGGACGCACACACACACACACCTTTCTCTTCTCCAGCGAGTACATCTCTTCAAAGCGGTGAGCATTGGCCTCAGAAGCTGTCAGCTTCACTTGCAGGTCAGATTGTGTCCGTAATGCTACAGATCGAGAGCAAATGCAAATACATGTCTATGTACACGCAAAACATAATCAGATAATGTAGATCTAGCGTTGACCGGAAATTAGAAAGGGGATGGATCAATTGTACTTCACGGCAATAAGAGGAAGTTTGAAATACAGTATGCACGCTTGTGTTGTGAAAACCTTCCCGACTTGTCTAGCTGAATGGAATTGTGCCACCAAACTAACGCTGCCACTCACTCACAGATACCACTACGCTTTGGCATGCACTGCACCATTCCGCACTGGCTGCATGCCCCCCTTGAGTACCGTGAACACATTCCGCACTGGCTGCATGCCCCCCTTGAGTACCGTGAACACATTCTGCACTACAGTGCTGTCGGTCGCCCAAGAACGGGGGGGGGGGGGGGGGGGGTCAGCCTCCTAGCCTACACCGTTCTTATTTTCATGTATTACAGTCTATGCACAGTTGAGTCACTGTGTATACATTGGTATGCTGTACTTGGTAATGATTCTAGCCTGGTCGTTCTTCGGCGCCCGACTACTGTATCAGCGAGCATATCCATTATGATAGACAGTATATTGAGCACATGGAATACCTGTGTCACGGCCCTGGCCATTCGGCACTAGCTGGCTGGGTATATGAAGACGCATTGTTCACTCACCTTGCTTTCTTTCCAGGTCCACTTGATGCTCAGCAACACGCTTGGTTTCATTCATGACGGCCATCCCTACACACAGTAAGCAGAGTTATTTCAATAAGCAACCGTCCAAACAACTGCACCCACTCCATGCAAGACTGTGAGGAGTAGACACGACCATGACTCACCTGACTTAGCCCAGTCGTGTTGCTCCTTCAGTGTCTTCAGCTCCATCTGATGGCGGCACAGCAGCTTCTCCAGGCGCATCTTCTCCTCCTGCAGCTCTCGCAGGGCGAACATCTCAGTGCGACCTTCAAGGACACGCATGCAAACAGAACAACGTGGCTTAAAAGTGCGTCAAACGCCATTTGGTAGTAGCAATTTCATGCAAGATTCAACTACTTCTGGCTCCACCTTTCGTTGTGTGCTGGTGTGATTTTTACTTTACCAGCAGTGCCCCCGATCACCAAGGGCCCAGTGTAGTCACTCCCGATAAATGTGGTGCCCTAGCGTGAATACGAATGCTTCCAATGCATGTGGCTCCATACAAAAGCCGGATCCAAATACAACCAGGGAGAAACCTAAGTGTGGTGTAAACTATTATTATTATCACAGATCAGCACTATGAGTTCCCTGTGTCACCACAATTGCACAATACGCTCAAGCAGAGAAAGCCCATTTGTCCTACAATAGGATTACAGTTGGCCAGTTCAGCATACCTGGTACACAACTTCGTCGCGATGTGCCGATGCCAACTTGCGACTCCGTAGCCAGGCTGGCAACGCTGCGGTTCAGGAACGGTCGCTCGCCGTCCGCTAGCAGCTCGTGCGATGAGCTGCTGCCAAGCGTTGTCATGCTGCCGAGGTGATGCTGGTGCATCGTGACCCTTTCCTTGACCTGCTGTTGAACTTCGGGCGGTAGCTCCGTGATCACGTCCTCCAGGTGGTGGCGCTCCAGCTGCAGTGAGGTGCCCACGCTCTGCAGCATCTCCTGTTGCTTCTCCAATAGGTCCTGGACGGCAGGCAAAGGACACATCACTCGTTAGACACATTGCACATGAATACAGTGCAATGTCACTAGTGACACTAGTGACATTGCATTCACTAGTGACATGACACCGATGTGAACCACTCCATAGGGGTAGATGTCACTGAGCTAACAAAGGCAAACTGAGAGTTCTGCAGAAAGAAAGGATAAAATCGCAATTACTTGTAGTAAGATGTAATGCGCTGTCATCCTATAATATTCATGCATCTACACACAGCATCAAGGAACAGTGTTTGGGATCTAAGAACGTTCTCGTGACAATCATCAGTTAGAATACGTCACTGAATGGTGAACAAAAGACGGTGGAAGTTCACCTTTTGTGCCTGTAGATTTTCTCTGGTCTTGCCCATCTCGGCTGTCCACTTGATCTTCTCTGCCAAAAAGTCCTCCTTGACCTCGTCCAGCTGTCCCTGGCGTGCATTCGTCTCCTTGGCGATGCGATCTTTCATTGCAGAGCACTGTGCGCGCACAGTGCGTGCAGTGAGGCTCAGATAACCCAGCAGCAACTGAGGATTAGCAAGAAGGCAAGAGACAGAACGGTCAACTTAAACCAGACCAAGTCAGAACACACACACATAAATACAGTGAAACTTCAATGTAAAAGTACTCTTGACAAAATGCTTTAATATCTGAGAAAATAATTGCACACCACCCCACAGCGAGCTCTCAGCCAATCCCTTCCACTTGCACATAACTACCATAGTCTCACAGCAAGGACAATTCCGTCGAGATATTTATATAGCAAACCCTCCCAGGCAGCTGCTTCCTTCAGGCAACAGAGCTCATCAGTGGAGGCCAAGTAAACAATGAATGATTCAGGTTTATGAAAGGTGTTATATAGGGCAAAAGTGGCGCAATTGCGCAGTTCAGTCCACACATAAGTGCGGCACGCCCTAGGAAGCTGAGGTGTTAGAGGTGATACCAGACAGATCCAACAGGGGTGATAACAATAACGCAAGTACGCATTGCTGGGACGTGGCACGAGGCGCTAGGAATGATGCAAGAAGCAACGAACATGTACACGTACTACTACTGCCTAGTAGCCACACATGCATACAACATAGATTGAGAAGTTGAAGGTTGTACTGGTGCCAGTGGCGTGACAGGGTTAACTAGCTCCAGGACTAACAGCAACGTCTCAATATATGCCATATGTACGCGTGACTAATACTACAATAGTAGAATAACGACCTCTCACTGTCTGCGGATTGCTTTTTGCTCCATTTCTCGAGCTCCACACCACGTCCCAGCAATGCGCGCTTAGTGTTATCACCTCTATTAGAGCTGGCGGCTATCACTTAGCACTTCAGTCAATTTTAAAATTAACCTTGCTCTACTTCCTGTGAAAGGAAGCTCTGCATACCGACTAGGTATTGCGCACGTGCCAGTACAAGTTGCAGCGCGCCAAGCCATGCCAACGAGATTATGACAGTAGCTCATAGAACCTGGCTGAAACGCAATGACCGCCATGCTTGCATTTCAAGACCATAAAACAGGTGGTGTGAGCGCGAAGTGTGCACGCACGCGGATGCAAGTTTCGCTCACCTGAGAAATGTCGGCCTGCAGGTCGGGGTCGATGAATCCGGCATCGATGCCTCCCTCGAGCATCTGCTTCATACGGACAGTGAACTGATCATGAACGGCCACCAGGGCCTCGGTGATGTCGTGCAGGGCATTGTGTTCCCGGACACTGATACGCGATCCGGGCATATCCAGAAGCAGCTTCTCGTTGTTCAAGACGGTTTCCAGTAGGTCGCTCATGTCATGCAGGACCTTCTGCAGGGCATCCGTGTTCGACACTTGGCTTAAGCTGCTGCTCATTATGGAGAAGGGACGGCTGTGCGCCATGCTTAGACTCATCTCACTCGGTGACACTGGCTGCAAGGATTCTACGAGCGCCGGTTGATTGCTACGAGCGCCCACAGCTTGGTTGGCTTTCTGCAGAGGGGAAATGACGGCGACTGGGGATCTAGACTGTACGTCGAGGTGACTGCTATCCGTTAGTGCTAAGCCAGGCGAAGTGGTGGAGGGCGCCGGCTGTTTCTTCGGCTTGTGTTGACGTGGGCTTGCATGCTGTGCACCCTTGGCAGTAGCGTTGCCTGCAGGCGTTCGCACCGCCGCTGATTCACTGCTCATGACGAGGCTGGTCTGGCTCTCGGACATCTCCGGTACGGTGCACTCCAGGACGGTGCGCGAGAACTCCGGGCCAGGACGCTGCCGGGACGGCGGCGGCGGTAGCTGTGGTGTCGTGCGCCGTCTCTGCTGCTGCTGCTGTACGGACATGGTCGGAGAGCTGCGACCGGACGACTCCGACTCGAAATCGTCCGCGTAGTACGGAGCCGACTGGCTACTGCCGGACAGGCTGGGCAGGAAAGAGCTGCTCACCTTTCTCGATGCAGCTACGTGCGGCATGGCAAAGCTATCCTGATCTCGATTCTCGACCGGTGACTGCAACTTCGGCGTGCTCTTTGCACCACCGCCGTTCATCAGCTCCAACGTACGCTTGATGGCCTCCTCGTGCGACTCTGCCGATGCAATGGTGACCTTGTCCAGGCTTTTGGAGCGCGGTGTGATCGGCGCGAGAGGTGTGGATGCCTTGCTGGCCGGTGCCAGGCCCATCGTGTCCATGTCCTTGCTGCCTGCACCGGGTCCAGCACTGCCAATGCTGGGCAGCATACTGGCGTTCTCTTGGTCCGGGAAGCTCACTGCACGGTTACTGGAGTGCCTGCTCTTCTGCCGCTGCATGGCTGCAGCACCGCAGTGCAGCTGGGAAAACAGCGATTCTTTAAAATTGCACCGACAAGCTAGCGCTGATTCTCGGCACAAGATCTTGCAAGCAGGAGTAGCTCAAACCTACCCACTACTCCAGCCGGTGAGCGACCTCGGTGCTGACGTCCAGCAATCCGAGATAACACAATCAAGCAGTGCAAGTGCCACTCGGGCCACGCTATCAGCGGTAAACCGTTTTCTGACAATGGTTTACTCCAACCTCAGCCGTCTGCATCACAGGATCTACCCGTCCGAACCGTGAGCCACGTTATAGAGCAACAACTTCAGGCCAGAGAACGATGGACTCCTTTGTGAACCGTGCAACTACTGAAACCCCAAAGAAGTCTTCGGCATTAGTAACTTTACTGTCGCAACTATAAAACGGCCTCAGTTGTTGCGGGTTTGCGAGGTGGCCTCCAAGCTACGGTCGGTGCCTCGACATTCGAACAATGAATCAGCTGTGTGTCTCCACAGCCCAGTGGGAATCCTGGTCAGAGGAAAGCTGTTGTCAGCCTTCACCGCTGCTTCACGGGCAGTGACGACTTGTCAGTTGCTTGGACAAACTGCGACTTGACTGTGTGCGAAGGCACAGCTAGTGCGTCCATCTCTCTTTCTCTCAGCTGACTGTTACCAATGGTTACTGCTGGACTGGCAACCAGGACGCCACCACAGACCTGCCATGTGCAGACAGCTTTCCCAGGTGACATGTGGGACTCCACTCCATGGATCCATGGGATGTCAGCCTGTGGCCCTGTGTGGGGCTTCTGTCTCACCCTCACTTCACCCAGGCAAACAGAGACTGCCTGTCTGAACTTCTGAAATCTTCTACACGCAGGGCGCTTACAGTGTGATGCATGTATTTTACACATGTTACAATCAGCAGCGTAGCTAGCGTACTGTGTAGGCTGGGTCCATTATGTAATTTGTAGTGAGTCTACGTAGGTTGGGTCCATTGCGGCACAGAGATGCTGTGGAGTGTGGGGTACTCTACCTACACAGCGTTGTTGCTCTCCGGTGAGTTGACGTCCCGGCGCGGAGGCACGCGTACACACACATCTCACGAAAGTCAGTTTGACAGCGCACTTGTTCAGTCATTTTCATTTTTCTGATTCATCTCCTGGCTCTTGCCTTGGGCAGCCCAACGCGTTGTGCCATGGCATGTGCTCGGTCTTACGTGAGTTGATCCAACTCCCATCTCCACACCGTATCTGCACTCCGATGTCATCATAGCTGCTATTACTAAGAGCTCGCACGCGACCAGCGTCAGCGAATGCACCGCCGAGGTGACAATAACAACGTAAAAGTCACTGCATACTAATTTTTAAATCTCAGGCTCCGCTTCAGTACAATCCACTGGGAATGATCAGGACCAGAACGGTGAACACGCCACCGGCACCGGTGCACCACTCGTAGATCTACTTCTGTTCCAGTCTTTACACTACGCTGTCTATAACCTATGTCGCATTGTCGGTGAAATCTCCATGCAAATAGAAAACTGATCGGTTGAAACGGTCACTTGAAAGCTGCGTGGAAATCCTAGAATGATTATGCTTGTTTGGAAACATTGCACAATCATGTACACCATAAATGGCATAATACAATTCACTGAATCAGACAGGCAAACGATACACTGCAGGAGCACAGGTACCTCCAGGCCATCGCTTCTTTATTCAACCAAAGAGCAAGATTCTCAGGTGGGAGACCAGCTACCCCTCAATATTAATTTTTGTTTCACAAAGCCAAAGGGTGCGGAGCTAGCTACGCGTAGATAACACTTTATGTATAGTTTTGTAAGTATTACCAGGGAGTCGTAAAATACCATAATTATGGTATTTTACGACTCCCTGTTTTAATACCATGATTACTAGTACTAGTAGTACAGTCGTCCCTCTCTAATCCGGCACTTTATAATCCAGCACCCTCGATAAACCAGCACAATTTTCAGTAGCCAAAATGTCCTCTTCATGCACATTGCAGCAGTAAATCAGATTTGTTAATCCAGCACCCTCCCTAATCCAGCAGATTTTCGTGGCACAAATGGTGCCGGATTATAGAGGGACCACTGTAGTAGTAGAGTCTACGTAGCAGGCCCCGTGTGACGTAGATCTACGTGTGGACTGAGCTAGCGAGTTATAATAATTATAATCTTTATTTCAGGATTACCCAAAGGCTAACGCCTATCTGGGGGATCTCCTATTTGTGTATGAGTTATGTAGCATGCACAGACTCAGTCGACTTGCAGTCCGCCCGAGTAGATCTACACAGAACACTTCTTCAGTCAGACAGCAGGCCTTGCCACCGGTTCACACCTGAGCTCCAGCCACGCAAATACAACTAAAATCTTGTTGATAAGCTAGGTCCAACATACCAGACGAGTTCTTGAAACGGATGTTGTCATTGTTCTCGACATGGTTTTACGCGTGTACGGGGTCACGCGCGTATCGTGCACTACGGACTCTCACTCAGTAGATCTACGTCTGCCGCGCCTAGCTACACAGTCTTGCGGATGCTGATCAATGATCATGTCATGATCTGGGTGAAGTGACTAGTTCTGTGCCGGGGGCTTCAGGACAGACACGAGTTGTGTGTCGGTCCGCGCACTCGACCTCGGAGACCGACCCTCAACTAGTATAGGCACAAGTACTCACTGTATCGTATCGATCAGGTGTGCTACACGCACACACACACACACACAAAATGTTTCAGCCACTCGCTACTTCCCGTAACTCTACCACCGACCGGCTGTGTGGGAATCAAGCAGAATTTTTGATCACGCAGTCGTTTACCTCTGAGTCTGAGCTTCGCTGTGCTAACAGTTAAAGAAGGAAACTAGCTGAGGAATTTTGCCGTTCTGTAGCTCTTGCACTTCTCCATCGCAGTTCATTTCCACCAGGACGTTCGCTATGGCTTACAGGGCGTCAAAATCTGGCATTGCTGCCGACATCCAAAAGAAGATGGAAGCGAAGATGGACGAGCTGGAAGCTGAAGGCATCACCGGCTACATTGTGTCATGGATAAACGCAGTGCTGTCCGGTGACGCCGATGCGGAGGCCATTCCCGGAACGAAGGCCAGTGACATTCACGATGCGCTGATGGACGGCGTGCGCCTGCTGAAGCTGATAAATGCCATTCGTGCACACAGAGGCGAGTCCGCACTCAAGATTGAGCACAGCAAAAGTAAGATCCCATCGATGGCGGCGGCGAAGCACATGGACAACTTGGGGCGATTTCTGAAAGGAGCCGAGTCCTTGGGAATGAAGGTGAACGACCTGTTCCAGTCCGCTGATCTGTACGAGGGATCTCGTGCCCAGATGGTGAACGTCGTCAACAGCCTGCACTCATTTGGATTGCTGAGCAAGAGCCTTCACTTTGAGCCAACCTACACGGGGCCGGGCCAGTATGCCACGGAGAACGTCCGTGGCTTCACGGAGGAGGAAGTGCGCCAGCAATCTGCAAGCATTGTCTCCAAGCAGATATCTGGCTCGCACGGCCATGCCTCCCAAGCCGGTATGCGTGCACCAGGAACATCGCGGCACATTGCAGATTGAAGCTCTACGCAAAGCTTTGCATCCAGCACACACCTGGTCGTATGCCATTGATCTCAACCCGGGACTCCAAAGACGAAACGACCACCAATGTTCATACATGTTTTGTTTGTAAAACATGATTCACAAGAATTTAGACCGCACTAGTTTGTAACACAGTACAGGGCTGTTTGACGTTGATACCCTCAAGCTAGCAGGGATATCCGTTGATGCCTTTTATTATTTTTCTTGGCTTTTTTTTCTCCAAAAGTTTCCGCCATATTCTGTTAGGCCAGGCCTCTGAGTTTTATTGCGATCCGAGTCAAACTGGTTTCATCGATACAGTCAGCTCGACTGCTTGGATTCACCTTGTGATACTTACCATTTTCAACATTCTTTGCAACAAAAAATAACTTCTCTTCACCAGGAGTCGCAGCTTCCTTTGTGGTGGGTGTGTGCTCCATGCATGGGGACATGTTCATGATTGTATTGCTGTCAGTATTATTACTGTTTTTGAAGACATGCATGATCAGACTCACTGACGTCTCAGCCCGTCCAGCTGTCAGTATTGTTTTGGTGTGGAGCGATTTTGCACGTGATGCAGGGTCGTGGCACACTCCTGTTGTGACTTACTAATGACTACATTCACACCTACATTCACACTTGGAGGCATAATAATTAGCATTGACAGCAACAGACAGGCTTCTGGTTCAGTTTGGTCAACGTTCTGGTATGGTTGCAGATGGCATGCTAAGTACTAGTACAGTACAGTCATGCACTGCACTGTACTTTATTTATTTTATTTATTTATTACAACATCTCAAGACTCGGCGGAAACTACTACATGTGAGTTTTGAGAGCAAGAACTCAGTTATACCAAGAGTCCATTACCTATTTATGGACTCTTGGTGTAACTTATATGTACTGTAAATATACAAAATTTCGGCGCTACAAAATTTCGGCACTTCACGATTTTTGACATTTCGGCAGCGATTTATTTTCGGCGTGGGGTAGAGGGCATGGTGTAGTGCGACAGATGCTGTGAAAAATTTCATCGGCGTTTTAATTTAGGCGTTTTGGGTCGGTGCCGAATAGCCGAAATTAAATAGCTGCCGAAAATTTGTATATTTACAGTATACTAGTTTCAAACTGCAAGGTGTTACTGTACTTGTCTGGGGTCCCAGGCTACAGTATAAGAGTTTCACCTTCTATCCGGACATGCACGGTTTTCTGCTGTATTACATGATTTACATCATTCATACCGGTAATACTGTACAGTATCCATGCAGAATCCATGGCCATTTTGCGTTGTCTTGTAATGAGTGAAATTCAGAATCGAACCGGTGGGACGGAAATTTAAAATGCATTTCTTCGGGGGATTTTTGATCGTTGTCTACAAAATTAGGTTTGTCTTGTAACTAAGTAAAGTAAGTTGTAACCGATGTCAGAATAACGAGGGTAGATTCCGAGACCAGGAGCATTGCGTATGAGTCATCATACGGATTCATAGTTTCATACCACAGTTCTGACTGAAATCCGTCGGGCATTGTACCAAACAGAAAACCACTTGTAGAACAAAGTGTAAAGTGTAATGGATCTCTTATCTTCCACACTCAACGATAAGATGAATAGACTGCACTGACTTGTGTAAAAACCCGTTGAACGTGTACCATGGTGTACAGTACATGTACCGGTATGCCGAATGAGCAGAAATTCCAGAATGTCATACTAGATACCAGGCGATTGATGCATATTATTCCATCAACACAACACAGTATAAACTTGATCTACATTCCTGTACGCTGGGAAGGTAGGATCTAGGACACCGCGTTTCAAGACCAATACAGGCTAGCCAGGTTTTCAGTAGGTTACCACGGGACAATGCAAGCAGTTAGTCGAAACCAGTGCATTCCAAATAAATATTTGATTCAGTGTGCATGGTACAAAGCTGGCATTATTTCCTGACTGTGAGTAGAGTTCAAGACGGCACTGTGCTGCCATGCAGATTCTACCATTGCTCAGTAGATCTTTATACTTAAGTGCAGTGTGAAGGCACACTGACTATAACTTAAAGTACCAGTATCAATCATCATACGGATCCATGACATTATGATTATGTGTGTCATACGTCGCAAGGTCTACGCCGTAGTGATCAGGTTGCGTTTGGTTGGGCATTTTCAGAATGTAAATGACAACCATTCTGGAATGGGAATGGGTAAGAATCACCTGACCAAACAAACGCGCCAGAATCAACTAGGAATCACTTGACTCCATGATGTCGTTGTGGAAAGGCGTCTCTCTTCTATTTTACCTGACTCTAGTTTCCTTGAGAGAGTCAAGGAACTTCTGAGTGCATGATTTGAGGCACTTGAACCTGATGCTACATTGTTTGGCTCGTGGCAGCCATTATCATTTTTGATTCCGGAATGAGAATGCTCATTCCAGCATGTGAGGTGGAATGATCATCCTCCAAAAAGAATCATTCTCAGCGACTCCCATTCTGGAATGGGACCAACCTAACGCACCTTTTTGACCAACCAAACGGGCGAGAATGATTCCGAGTGATTCCAAGTGATTCCCATTTGGGAATGTGACCAACCAAACGTAACCTCAGTCAGTAGACGATTAATTTTGGTGCTGGATAGACGATGTGCATAGACACTGTGTTTCAAGAATCAGGTCTTGAGCCTACAAGACTCGAAGTTACATGTACAGTCATGTGTGGCTCTGGCTTTTCTATTTCTGAATGGACTAAACTGGCCAGCGCAGCTGATGACGGGCACATTTTCAAAGCACCTTGTAAGAGTAGTCTTTGCCAATACGTTGGAAGAACAAATCATATTTTTGTAATATATTTTGAAAAGCGATCTCTATGCGTCAAAGCCTTCCATATTGTACAAGTAAGCGAATTGACAATTGACCAAGAATTGACAAAAAAAGAATTGAGGTTGGATCTCGTGGTGGAGATCATATGAAAGTAGGGGAATACTTCGGTAGTACAAGCGGAAACGGTCCCGTCGAAAACCATAGTTCGAGTTCACCGACTTCCTAAAAACAAGCCATCTTGAGTTGACGAGCACCGTGTACATTGTACAGTGTGTGTGTGTTCACTGGTAAGACAGTGGATTGTGGTCCCTTAGTTGAAGCTGGGTAGGATTGTGCAGATATAGCAGGAGGCCAGAGCATCACAACAACCATCACCAATACTCGGCTGAACATGTCTGGGTATCGCAGGCGACTGTGGCTCATCATTCCGTCTTCTTCTGGGTCAGCTGCTCCTTCTCGTTCTTGCGCCCGGTGACATATTTGGCGGATGCATACACGGCTCCGCCGAGCAGCACGGCCGGCGTGACGCCCCACATGGTTCCCGCGGCGACCAGGCCGCACGTGGCCGTCGCGGCTGCCGCTATCTTCCCTTTCGTTGTGTTGGGCATCAGAGCTGCCGGGCTGGCGCTCAGTACGCCATCCGGCAATAGCGGCACCATGAGTGACGGCGGCGTTGCCAGGTGACTCGTCTCGTCGATTTCCACATCGCAGGTGGAGCAGAACAGGGCAAAATGCTCGCTGTTCCGTGCTGTCTCATAGTCGCCAAAGTCGCGCGGGTGTTCGGAGTAAAATGTTGCCACCTGCACTATCTGGTCGGGTTTCTGCCGGACTAACGTGGTGCAGGTTCCAAAGCTGGACAGATAGTTTGCCTCGACCTTCTTCACTCCGTATCGGTACCTCTTGACCTTGGCGTCAGTGGACGGAGCAGCATCGTCGGCGCTTCCGAACGCAATGAATCTAGATACGGTACATTTGCGCACCAGAGAGCTCTCAAAGCTCAGGCTTTCCACTGGTGCTTTAGTCGGCGACTCTGTCGCATCTTGTACATGTGATCTGGTAGTCTTGTTTGTGGCCGTGTCATCTGTAGGGGCCTCACTGAGGCTTGACACTCTTGTACTGGGCCCGCAGAAATGCACTACCTCGTCGTTGCCTACGAATATGCCTGCATTCATAACAGAAAACAGGCGGAGACAATGCGCATGAGACAAGCACATGCATTCTCTCTCTCTCTCTCTCTCTCTCTCTCTCTCTCTCTCTCTCTCTCTCTCTCTCTCTCTCTCTCTCTCTCTCTCTCTCTCTCTCTCTCTCTCTCTCTCTTCTACAGTGCGTAGGTCTTGTAATGAAGCGGAGACGGTCTGTGGGGCTGACTTTGATCTGCCCCACTGTCACAGCCACCTTGTTTGTACTTGCAGTCCCTACCATCAATTTATCCCTGCTCTTTCCTGCTTGTTTGTCCGTCATAATTGACAGGGGGGAGGGTTGTGTTTGACGAACATGAACATGGAAAAGGATGCTTTTACTGTTTGCATGAGGTTCATGGGAGAAATCTCCCCCCCCCCCCCCCATGCTCACCTGACTGCGCGAAGAGAGGGTGTGCAATCAGATTATGTACATTGGAGGGGGGGGGGGGGAGGGGGGGGGGGGCACTCAGTAGATTCAGTACTGCTCATATGCATGTACGTGTAGTTCAGGCCAGTGAAATCCAACATCATGAACAAAAATGGTGCTGGGCGCTGTGCAGCTTTAGCAGTATACAGTATACACACTGTTCAAAGGCAGCGCTACTTTTCATGACGTTGGATTTCCCTGGCCAGAACTGCAGTTATGGGGACATGCATGCAGCTACATGTATGTACTCGGGTATGGCCCTATGGGCAGTGGTGCCCCCCCCCCCCCCCCCAGTTATCTGTTGCCATGCTGTACACGTACGCATGCATGCATCAATGACAATGAAGTAAATAACCAAGACTACATGTAGAGTGGATTTGCTATTACTGGAACCGGGCCTCTATACAAGATTATACGAGAAAAAGCTTGCTGCCAGGATTCAGGCCATTCTAAAAGGCTATTTAAAAATCATGCATAGCGATAACAAGGTCCACGCGTGCACGGACAACGGACCGCGGTTCGAGGTAGGTCAACAAAGAGATTAGTTACATACATGTATCGAGTACAAGTCATGCAGTACATGTGTACAGCACTACAGTACAGTGGCAAATCAAACTACGTGTGCAAAGTCATACTTACCGTGGTGAGATGCTTGCGCTGTTACTTCCTGATCAGCAATCGGCTGTGCTCGTGTTAGCTGGTTGAGATAAACATAGATGTGATCGCCTGGCTCTAAGTCCGCCACGGCCACTGCTTTGTTCCAGTCCATGGCGTTTCTAAACGATAAAGCAGAAAACTGCTGCTGTTGCTCGTGACACTCCGAGCAGTGGCTCAAGCTCTTTGATCTCTGCAGGAATATGTTTTTACTTTGGGGAAATACGACCGCACTGATCTGCGCCGCTCTGCCTAGCATGTATATGTGCACACGAACAAACAAAGAACAAAACGTTCAGAGCATTACTCACACCGAACATTCGCTGGTCTACGTTTAGCTAGCATGCAGGAGTAGGATGAGACCCACACGGTGGCAGTAGACTCGTGACTAGTATAACTATAAGTCTGTGACGGGACCAACGCGCACCTGCCAGGCGATTGCAGTACGAAACGAACGAAGTCTTTCAGACGTCACTTTCCAACAGAAGACGCTGACAGCATCAAAACCAGCCCGCCAGAGATCTTGTGCGTGTCAGGTCTGACGAACTGTCAGCAAATCACTCGATGCTGCACTGCCTCAGCATCTCCTTGACCTAGCTTGGTGATCTACATGGCTGTAGTCTTGTGCGGGAACTCCTCTAGAATCTACCCACATGGACAACAATCCTGTACATGGTGTACGCAAGGTCAAACTCTCAAAATCTACAGTCAGAAAGCAGGAAAACACCGCAAAGGCCGACGACCGCACTTCGCGGTGACGGTGACTTCGCAGTGTGAGATGCGGTCAGTCTACACTACAGGCTTCACCTCTCACCCAGTGTAGATCTACCAGGTACTACTACTAGGTGTACAGCTGCATACACAGTTCAGAACTAAACGCCGAGCACGTACATGTAGGTCGTCATCATGTAGCCTGTCAAGTGTCATGTAAAACCATGGTAGACCTACAGTTGCCAGCACTGTATACATGTACATAACTACATAACTACATGATTCATTTTATAGTGACAATGACTGTAGTGTGCTTTTGCCGTTCCGAAAATGGTAGTATCGGCAGCGCGGTAGAGACATTCCGTACAGAGCTGGGAACAGGCTGTACGCCACGGACCAGGTACAGGCCATTGCCAATCATTTATGCACAACCAGCATTGCCTGAGCACCCCACAACGCACACAACGTCAGACAAGTCGATCATTATGACAAAAAATACTCCACCTTCTATTGAAAAGTTCTAAAAGTAAAAGGTAAAAGGTACTGAACTACATGACCTGCATTTCCCATTGTACTGGCAGACCCCAGACCAGAACCAGTAAGGCTGCATCACCAAGAGTACTCATTATTGTACTCCTGGTATCACACATCTGATCAGGTGGACAGCTCTGTGCGTTACTACAAAAATGTAGTCTGTCTGGATTTGTTTTTAGGAATTCAAAGGCAGAACCACAACACACAACAGCATGCAGCACTGTCGAGTGCAGTGTGCCAAGACCCCGACCCGCCTTTTCGCGGTCACCAGAATCACACCACAAGGTGGCAGCTGAACCCAGTCCAGCTGTACATTCAGCGTGGGTATTGCATACACCATACATGTAAGCATTGACTGGCATCATGATTCATGAACAATGCGAGTAAAGGTTGGTCGGGAAGGAACTGAGCCTACCCTTCGTCGCTTTCCTACATATACATGTATATCCTTCCATGATCCAGAACCTTCCTGAATCCAATGAACAAAATCGTGTTGCAACGATTAAAAATCATGCATGTGACAGGATCTAGGAACCGTGGAAAAGTCACCACCTTATTACAACGGACAAGGCACAGCGCACATCAAGACTCCCAGTACTAGTACTCGTAACTAATTTACCGGGCAATGAGGGACAGACTCGGGATCGGTGCTTTTTGAATTCTCATGCACTCCGCTTGGAATATTCCAAGCGGAGTGCATGAGAATCAGGTGCATTGTAGTTGCACGCTTGCAAACTCTCCCGTTCTCTTGTAAATGCGCTGATAGTGATACTCATTATGAGTGGACGAGTTCGAGAATAATTATTATTGTTTTTAAAAACGACTTTTAATTAACTTTTGTGCGCTGGTGGTAAGCCCCATTTCACCATGTTTCCTAGACTTTACTGTAGTGTCATGAGGATGTTCTGTACCCTAGCTGTACAGCCGGCTACTGGCGTCTACTTATATCCAGTACTGGCAGGGTAAGGAGTTCCAGGGCGCCATGGAGCTTTCCAGTAATCATCAGGCCCGCCGGAACCGGTCCGGTTGGTCAGGTTATCACCGAACTAACTACTTGGTGGCCTCCAACACGTGTTTCAACTACGGTGGAGGGTATGTGTACCCGCCATATCATACACAGAGTATAAAAGGCCATGCTGCATGACATTGTACACTACCGGACCAATCAAACACTGCTTCCAGCGGTCCTCAGTGCTCGATGGCAATTGCCCCTGATCAGCTGAGTTTTTATCCAACAAGCTGGGTTCACACACTCTTTCAAATGCATGGGTCGGTGATCGGAGATACCCTACTTGTAGGTGATTCTTCAGCCATCTTGCAAAGCTTGGTGGTTGCATGGTTTGAAAATTAACCGATTTGAGCAAGCAAAAATTAGTACGCAGAGTCGAAGTAGCAACAGGATTCGCGTGGCGCGAGCGAAAGAAAAACTTACTGAAGGACGTGCCAACAAATTCATGCCAAAGCTCCTTAGACACAAATCTCCAGTTACTCATACACTACTCTATCACAAGCAAGGAGCAGAAGATTTTGATCTTCTGTTAAAAATGGATATTCTGCTAGGGTTCAATGGCATTTGGCCATGCCGCTCCATCAACACGCTTGAACAGTGGAAAGTTCTCCAGTGGAGCAGCAATGGTTTCGTTAGATCCACCGGCATAGGTGACATTGGTGAAGTAGTGCTGCCACTTTGAACCAGTCGGAAAGTACACAGTGCGGTTACGTGCCTGGTACGTGTAGACTGGTGCGGCCATCAGACTCGCACCAAACATGTACTGATCCTCTATTGTCCAGGTGTTCATGTCTGCTGGGAAATCATACCACAGTGGTCGCTGTACGGGAAGACCAGTTTTGTTCACTTGTTGCATGGCATCCATGACGTACGGGCGCCAAGATGTCCTGAGTTTGATGACTTGAATGACTAGGTCATAACTGGCATTGCTCAGCAGCCATGGTTCAGTGGGTCTGGCACCGTGTTGTCGGAATAATGGGCAGGTGGCACCATACTGGAACCAACGTACAATTAGTTCGTTGAACTCGGCGTCCTTGGGATTACCTCCCGAGTAGCCACCAATATCAGTTGTCCACCAGGCAATGCCGGACAGCTGAATGTTGAGACCGGACACGATAGATTTCTGCAGAACTTCAAACTGTGAGTGTGTGTCTCCACTCCACACTGCACCACCGTACCTCTGCTGTCCTGCCCAGCCGGAGCGCAGCAGCATCAGCGGCTCCTGCTTCTCAGCGACTTGTCCATCATGGATTGTCTGCGAATGAAAGTACGGAAAAGTCATGCCCACTTTCTCCGCATAGCCCGCTTTATAATGGGATCCGGGTGGACTTCCGTTGGTAGTCTCGGGTTCCGAGGCATCCAGCCAGAAGACGTGTATTCCGTACTTGAGGTATCCCTGCTTGACACGACTCCACACGTACTCCCGTGCCTCAGGCTGAGTTGGATCATAGAGATAGCACGGACCTCTGCAGATCCCCTCAGGCCAGTACATGCTGTCTCCCTTGGTGCCGTTCTGCACTCCAAAGCCGGACGAGTTGATCGCTTGGAAACTGGTGCTCTTGATCATGCTGAACGGCCACACGGACACCATGATATGCATGCCGTACGTTCCCTGTATAGTGTCCACCATGGATTGGGGATCTGGCCAGGCGTGCGGGTCGAACGTCCAGTCGCCCATGTACGTCCAGTGTTGCCAGTCGATGACGATGATGTCCACAGGGATCTCGCGATCGTGAAACTCTTTGGCCGCGGCCAGCAGATCGGCCTGGCTGGCGTACCGGTTCTTGCTGTGCCAGTAGCCGGCTGCCCACTCGGGTAGAACGGGAGCATGACCCGATGCATCCACGTAGTGTGAGCTGATGTCTGCATTGCACTGTGCACCTGTAGACCCCTCCGATGCCACTGTCACGAAATAGTCCAGCTGGGCTGCAGCAAACGCTGTCCAAGTAGTGGCTGCGCTGTCAAACGAAACATTTCCATAGCCTGGCATATTCCACAGCAACCCATAGTTCAAGCAGTTATCAGCTGCCTTAGTTGATGGTGTTATTCCTGCAATGAATGGTAAACACACCTGACCGCCTTGGCTATAGCGGTACTCTGTGCACTGTTCAAAATCGTACGTCAAACCTTTCTGGTTTAGCTGCCCATTCTTGTGCTCGCCAAATCCAAATATCATTTCCTCGTCCGTTGAACTGAAGACCTGCTTCAGTGCCACCAGATCCGGAGACACCTGGGCAGTGGCGGTTGTTCGCGATGTCTCCTTCAGCACCACCTTTCCATCGCTCACTCGTGTGATCGTCACAGTACCGTCAGCTTGCACGTCGGACTGTATGTTCCCGTTTTTCACTGACCCGAGCCAGTTTGCTCCGTTTCCAGCGGGATTCGACCCGTTCCGACAGCTCCAAGTGCCGCTGGCTCCGTTCACCGAAACGGCCGGCGGCTTGATCAGCGCTGATGGAATGTCGTCCAGTGCCGATCCACTGGATAGGGGCAGGGTGACGCGCAGAGAGTCTTTGCCCCACGCACTGACGGTCATCACCGCCGCAATGCCCGGCCCGTCATTCATCGGAAGGCCGAACTGGCAGTCCTGCGCCTGGATCAGCGTCAGAGCGCATCCCAGAGTCCACACGAGGAGCAGGGTCGTCCCAGCCATTGTCGGAGTCGTCCAATAACCCACCACCAATGGTGCCAAACAGAAAATGGATCTCCACTTGCCCTTCTCAGCCTAAAAATGTCTTCGCCAAAATAGCAACTTTTTACTACGGTCAGCACGTTGAAGCTGTCTCACGTGATTCCGCTTCAGCATGAACGAGGTTGACAGTTACCTAGGCGAAGATTGAGCTGAGCTCGGCAGGAACATCAACAAAGGTGTCGTTATCACCTAGTATAAAGTAAAAACAGTAATATTCATTGATTGTGAATTTGTGATGTATCTATGCTCAAGTAATTACATGTTAGCTCCTGTCCGCAGGTTTAAAGAAGACGGCTAGAGGTTCTTGTTATCCCTCAGGACGATAACAATGACACGAACGGTACGTGTTGTTCTCGATCTCGCCCTTGTCTTTTGTGGTGGATTGTTGATTTGCCAGGCGAGCGATGACCAGGATGCGATGCCGGAATGTCAATTTCACTTTGAAATGAATATGCTGGATCCTGCAGGGCGTTCTGTTGTGCGGCCAGCAACGGTTACAGTGATGGCATGGGGCGAGGATTCCCTGAGGGTCATCTTGCCTCTCTCCAGAGGTGCGGAGCTTGTTGACATACCATCAGCGCTCATCAAGCCAGCTGAGAGTCACTCGCACTCCTCATGGAACATAGTAAAGAGTTGGAGCTGCAACAACAGCTCCGAGGGAGTCGATGGTAGTCTTGGCATGGTGAAGAATGGAAACCTCCAGGCCGATGTTGCTTTCGACGGTGTGGTGGAGTTCACGCGAATCAGCGATGGGAAAGTCGTTCTGAATGAGATTTCCAGAGTGTCAAAGCCCTCCACGGTCTCTTCCGAGTTGTTCATGGTGAGGCAAGCGTTCGACTCGACACCACACGAAAGGATCTTTGGGTTCGGAGAACACAAATCTGGCCAGATAAATCGCAAGGGTTTGACGTACGATTTTGAACAGTGCACGGAGTACCGCTACAGCCAAGGCGGTCAGGTGTGTTTACCATTCATTGCAGGAATAACACCATCAGCCAAGGCAGCTGATAACTGCCTGGACTATGGGTTGCTGTGGAATATGCCAGGCTATGGAAATGTTTCGTTCGATGATAGTGCCACAATCTGGACAGCGTTTGCTGCAGCTCAAATTGACTATTTCGTGACGGTGGCATCGGAGGGGTCTACAGGCGCACAGTGCAATGCAGACATCAGCTCACACTACGTGGATGCATCGGGTCATGCTCCCGTTCTGCCAGAGTGGGCAGCCGGCTACTGGCACAGCAAGAACAGGTACGCCAGCCAGGCCGATCTGCTTGCCGCGGCAAAAGAGTTTCACGAGCGTGAGATCCCCGTGGACATCATCGTCATCGATTACCAGCACTGGCAGTACATGGGAGACTGGACGTTCGACCCGCACGCCTGGCCAGATCCCCAGTCCATGGTGGACACTATACAGGGAACGTACAGCATGCGTATCATGGTGTCCGTGTGGCCGCAGACCATGAGCAAAAGCAGCAGCTTTGCGGCGATCAACTCCTCCGGCTATGGCGTGCAGAACGGAACCCAGGGAGTCGCCATTGACTGGCCCAACAGTATCTGCCCTACGCCGTGTATACTGTACGACCCTTCACAGGCGGCAGCAAGGGAATATGTTTGGAGTCGTATACAGCAAGGGTACATGAAATATGGGATTCACGTATTCTGGCTGGATGGATCAGAACCACAGACGGCGGACGGTAGCCCCGTAGGCGCCCGTTACAAAGTGGGCTACGCCGAGAAAGTCGGTATGACGTTTCCGTTCTTCCACTCTCGCACATTCCACGATGGACAAGTCGCCGAGAAGCAGCAGCCGTTGATGCTGCTGCGCTCCGGCTGGGCAGGGCAGCAGAGGTACGGTGGTGCAGTGTGGAGTGGAGACACACACTCACAGTTTGACGTTCTGCAGAAATCTATTGTGTCCGGTCTCAACATTCAGCTGTCAGGCATTGCCTGGTGGACAACTGATATTGGTGGCTATTCGGGAGGTAATCCCAAGGACGCCGAGTTCAACGAGCTGATTGTACGTTGGTTTCAGTATGGTGCCACTTGCCCGTTATTCCGACAACACGGTGCCAGACCCACTGAACCATGGCTGCTGAGCAATGCCAGTTATGATTTGGTCATACAAGTCATCAAACTCAGGACATCTTGGCGCCCGTACGTCATGGATGCTATGCAACAAGTGAACAAAACTGGTCTTCCCGTACAGCGACCATTGTGGTATGATTTCCCAGCAGACATGAACACCTGGACAATAGAGGATCAGTACATGTTTGGTGCAAGTTTGATGGCCGCACCAGTCTACACGTACCAGGCACGTAACCGCACTGTCTACTTTCCGACTGGATCAAAATGGCAGCACTACTTCACCAATGTGACGTATGCCGGTGGATCTAACGAAACCATTGCTGCTCCACTGGAGAACTTTCCGCTGTTCAAGCGTGTTGATGGAGCGGCATGGCCACATCCTATTGATCCTTGAATCCCGTGCACTGAAGTCACTTTTAAAAGGAGTTTTATGTTCTCAGTTTTCAACATACTTCATTCAAGGGACACCTACATGTAGCTTCATACGAATACCAGAAGGTCCAGAGACCCTGTACAAGTACCATCTGCTTATCCACATTTCTCAAGGCGCATACAGTTCAGTGACCTGATATCTGCAGCGAGCGATATTGTCACGCGGCTTTTCTGTATTAGTGACTCTATAGCATCCCCAGCCAGAGAGAGAACTGTATTAACAATGATTCCACTCTCTAATGCCCATAGACCGCATCAAAGGGGCCCACGGGGCTACCGGCAATACGGAGGCATTGTGCAAGAGTATGTTTGTACTTTGAAGTAAAACAACCTATTCCTGAAGGAAACAGCAAAGTTCTGCAATGAGAAGTGACTAGATAGGTGTATGGCATTGAAAAGACCAGGTTCAGCAGTGGGACTATCTGGTAATCAGTCCGGACCCTAGGTTACACCACTGTGAGCATGGAAGTGCTTGCTCTCAGATAGATTCTCACTGTGTGATGACATGCCTGCTCTTGTATCTGTATCGCACAGACCGCGCATGCTTGTGTCCACACCAAACCGGACAAAACCAGGCGCCATATTTCACGTGCCACAACTGTAGTATGGATGCCCCATGAAGATTCCGCCCCGCGGCATCGTTGGGACCAAAGATACAGTGCAGCACCCCCCCCCCCCCCCCCCGCTGTCTTGCTTGTTGTTTAAAAAAGTACAACCACACTGCTGGGAAGAATGCCTGGCCAACACCAGTTTGTGATGCCACTTAAAGGAAAGGCAAATCAAGTACATCATAAGCCGAGCCATCGAGGCAAGTAGTTAAAATACTATTGTCCATACACTTTGCTGTACAAGAAAACCGCACATGTACAGGCCAGAATGAAGTTGAACTTCTGAAGTCATTCTAGTACATGTAATTGAAGCTCAAGTAAGAGTACAAAAGTAACAAGTGTTCCAGCATATCATGTTGTGTAAACTCGAAGTAGTTACTACTGCAAATAGAGAAATGAAAAAAGTAAATTATCGTGTCCGTTCCCAAAGGGAAACTCACGACGGCCGCTAGCACCCGGCAAACCCTTCCGCAAATATGTACAGTGTAATTAGAGCTATAGATGCTACAGATGTCAACGGCATTGGGCGAGTATCATGGTCTCTAGGACAACACACATTGTGTTTTTTTCTGCATGCAGATACATGTACTGCAACAGCCTAAGTCAATGCAATCAGATTGCCTGCTGAAGCAAAGTCATGTTGATAAAAAAACGTGTTGGAGAAGCGAATTGCAATGCCAAGAAGAGGTCCCATGTGACCACCGGTCATGGACAGTATAGACAGAGTCGGGGCTAGGTTGTAAAACTATGGACGGCTTTGGATATTGCTTCAGGTGATGCAGTTAAATAATATCTATCTAATCATATTTCAAGAGATGTATCCCAAAATGTCTTGTGTTGTGATAAAGACAGCAAAAAGAGTGCCACTAAATAGACACGATGTATCTAACTAAACCCGTTCTAAAAATATAGTCATATCCCTCTGGCATTGATAGAGAATGAATCCAGTGCATTCTCCAGGCCAGAGTTCGTCAAAGTACCATGGAAGTGGACATTGTGATATAGATAATTGGATAGCTATTCATCACTTCCATTTTTCCGCCATATCAAGCAGGTAGCTATGTTTGATTTGTCAGTTCCTCGGTTTCCGAGGCCAAGTACAGCTGTGGCTTCTCTGTGTTCTCTGATATTGATGCGTCCATGGCTGCAAAGGAGAAGACACAAAGGAAAATTCAGTAAAACATTGACATTAGTACTAGTTCTTTCAACTGTCCTTAAAAGGACAAAGAATTTTTATCAGAACATTACCTGAATTGAGAATGTTGCAAAAGAAGGATCTACAGGCGGGATTAAAACCCAGCACCATGTCTGTCCAGGGCAGTTTAGGATCACATTGCGGATCACACATACTAGCTTAGTACCCGAGACCGCTTCTTGCCATGGGGACTATCTTTATCAAATAGGTGCAGTTTGGAATTGTGTTCTTGTGTGTGTGTGTGTGTGTGTGTGTGTGTGTGTGTGTGTGTGTGTGTGCGTGCGTGCGTGTGTGTGTGTGTGTGTGTGTGTGTGTGTGTGTGTGTGTGTGTATGTGTGGTGTGTGTGTGTGTGTGTGTGTGTGTGTGTGTGTGTGTGTGTGTGTGTGTGTGTGTGTGTGTGTGTGGTGTGTGTGTGGTGTGTGTATGTGTTTGTGTGTGTGTGTGGTGTGTGTGTGTGTTTGTGTGTGTGTGTATGTGTGTGTGTGGGTGGTCGCGTGTGCGTGAATGTGTGCATTGTACTCCGATTTGCATCTCAGCAAAAACCTGCATGCCCTTTTGCAGTTCAAGAATGCTCGTGCTATGATTTTCGCACCTTGAAACCCTCTCTGAAGAGTAGCCTACTATACACCCAAATAGGATCAGTGACGGATGATATCAGTACGCAGCGGCGTCGGAAGCAGTTTAACATTGGTGCGGCCAAAGCGTGAGAGGGGGGGGGGGGGGTGGGGGGGGGTGGGGGTCCTCCCCCGGGAACATTTTTGAAAATTGGGCCTAAAAAGCCATACTAGAATAATAAAAAGAATTGCATGCTAATGATACACCGCATTGTCGATGTAAAACATGGTACATAGTACCTGTACAAAAGTCGACAAGCCACCAACAAGGTTGAAATGTAAAAAATAAAAAAATAAATCGAAAATTATTGGTGCGGCTTTGGCCGCACCTGCCGCACCGGTTCCGACGCCCCTGGTACGTTTCCACAAGGTTTCAATGTTCTGGACATTGCATCCTCAATGCAAGTCTTTGGAGAAGATCCAGTACAGGCCCGCATGCATTACTTACAGTGAACACTCTGAGACGGAGTTGATTTCTGAGTGGTCGATAGGAGGTCCTGCGAGCTTTGCACGCTCTGGGTGCTGATCTTCCGGGGCTAATGGAGCACACGGGGGTAAGAACAGATAATGTTTTTGCGCCAGAGCTTGCCGTGCCAAATGACTAAAAGCCAGGACAAGCTCACGTCACGTAATGAGCATTAATTATGATGTTTAGGTGCTTGAAGCACCTACGGTTTAACGCGACAATAACACTGAGATTTCAGGTGGTGTAGCCAAAGTGGATAATTGAACTGAAATGAACAGACCTTTGCAGCCTAGAGAGCGTGTGTGGGCAGACGTGTATTTACCGCCATATTGCCAGGTGTGTCTTTACCACCATGTTAATCAACCATAAGTAGAGCTGCAGTGTTGTCTTCAGCCTCATTCTCTTAAAAAAACATTATGAAACCAATGGCACCCCGGTCTGATTTTCGACCCTAGATCTACATGTGGTGCACCAATTGGGTGGGTCAACTTCTCGAAAAAATTAAAAATGTCCCACCATGGCCGAGGTGGCTGGGCCGGCAGGACTGGGTGCCACGGCAGTGGGTGATATACATGCTGAGAGCTCCATCCCATTTTGTATACTCCCAGCAAATCAACCCTTGAACTATCACCTTAATTTCAACTGATATTACCTCATAGTCGCATATAACTACACTTATTAAACGCTCATAGGTTTGGGGGCAAGATGCAGATGGGAAAAGTCTGAAGAATAAATTGACTGTCACCACCAGGACTCGAACCAGGGACCCTCGCTTGAAGCCAGTGATGCTCTAACCACTGAGCTATGGTGTAGCTGTCATCCCAGCAGAGACCGTTCAACACTTTCTTCAGACTTATTAAATGCATCTCTATAATTAGACAATAGTCACCGTGAGAAATCATAGTATTATACGTGCTGCTTCGGAGCTTTGGACTTGCATGGTGTTTCTCAGAATAGCAATTTCTGCTGCTGTTATCCCGGCTTACCTCTGGACTGATAGAGCTGCGGGACGTCATCTTGAATAGAGTGGACTTCTTCACAGTAGCGCCGTATGACTCTCGTACCTAGACAAAGCCAGGCCAGCAACAGAAAAGAGAACACAGGTGTGAGGCATAGTAGCTTGCACATCTGCCGTGTGCTGACCAGGGAGTTCTATGAACCCCTATATGCCTCCTTTGTGCAAATGCAGAGGTGTCTGTATGTGTGTGTGTGTGTGTGTGTGTGTGTGTATATGTGTGTGTGTGTGTGTGTGTGTGTGTGTGTGTGTGCTTGTTTGTTGTAGGGCATGCATGTGTCACGGTCTTGAATCTGCATCACGATGAACCCAGCCATTTCTCAGTGTTCTGACTGTTCTCTCCAGAAAAGGGTGATAGCACATTGGGAAGTCTAGCGCTAAGGCACAGAGGATGGTGCTTTTTGTGACCATGAGCTATTAGTGGCATTGGAGAGACCCAAAGGTTAAACTCACCTTTTTGTTCAGAACCACATGTAACAGGAACAAGCATGCGCCCTACAAAAAATTACAAGTGCAAGCAGAAAATATTCATTAGTTTTAGGGAAAGTTGGAAGCGGGAAAAGTCCGAAGAAGTAATTTACTGTCACCACCAGAACTCGAACCGGGAACCCTCGCTCATGGCCAGCAATGCTCTTCCACTACAGTAAGCTATGGTGTAGTGACAGGTTGGCTTATGCAGCCTGCCAACTTGTATGCTTCTCATCGTCTTCAAGTACCTGCTAATTACAATTTAAAACCAAGTTGGGACCTAAAATGGGTGGAGATTGTTCAAAAAATTCACTGCATTTTGAAACTCGGATGTTGAGCCAATAATATATGTCTGTCAGTTTTGTGCCTAGTTGTTGCACTTTCTGACTGCATATAGTATCCAGTTAAAGTGGTGGACAGTTGCTGTTAACTCGTATCCATACGTCCTTTTCATTTCCACAATTCGCTGCATGGTCGTATTTGTTCTGTGACAATGATGCCAATAAAGGGCAGGTGTGGACTTCTCGAACACGCACGGATTCTTGCTGCTGCCAATCAAGCACATTGTGCCTTTTCTTCAAAGCCCGGCTTTCTGGCAGCGACAGATGAGCACGCTTACCTGCAGTGAATTGAATATGGTGAACAGATAGGCAAAAGCCACGGTGCCCTCGCTGACAGCAAACAGGCCAAACACCCATGTCAGTCCAAGGAGAGGCAAAAGCAGAACCATGGCACGAAGACCAGTCCTGGGCAGAAAAGAGGAGAAAATGTTCGAATAAATCTGGCCATGTCTGCTGCCCAGTTGTGTTTCGTGTCGGGGGGGGGGGGGGGGGGGGGGGGGGTTCGACTACAGGTGTAGATACAAATAAAAACTGAAAGAAGGTGTTACGTTCTCCCTGTTGTCACCGTATCCACACAAGCCGACACACAGGCATGCTACAGAAGCATACCACTGCACACGCCCAGAGGAACCTGTCCGGTTGGTCAGGCCACGGCCGGACCAACGTGTTGACCACCAACGTGTGTTTACTGCTGGGCACGTTATGTGTAACCGCCACATCATACACAAAGCAGGAAATGCTAGGGTATAGCCGGATCAATCAAAACAGCTTCCACCGGTCCTGCAGTGTAACTACGGCATACATAGAGTCAGAGTGTGCGCTATACCAATACTACAGTGTTGCTCAATGAAATGTGGCCGCGTCACTCAAGTACGCGTCGAGTGTTGCGCAGCCATAGACCAGTGAATGCTGGGGTGCGAAGTGATGCAAGGCGCAAGCTTGAGCGACCCGACTGGATTTCATCGATCAGGATTGTACTTCTGTCACTCACTTGACTGCTTTTAGGGATCCCTTGTCCTTGACACGCCCGACGAGTACACGCAGCGTGTTAAAGAAGACTATCGTGTTGAACTGCAGAGAAGAGGAGTGTACATTGAGAACAGTAACAGTTAGCTGGTCCACCAAACCATACACACAGATGATACATGTACGAGTACATGCCACAAGATGCGAGTACTATAGTCCATTCGCCAAGTCCGGGCCCCCTGATACGTATGTCTGAAACAAAACTTTTTGCACATAATTATCTTGATCAATATTCACTTCGTCTTGGGCTTATAACAACGGCTCTCATATTTCTGACCTACATACATCATCGACATCAAGATCTTGAGTAAGAATGAAGTGAGACTGTGAAAATCTATGGGCCCTGATTTAGTGAATTGACTATAGTTCTTTTATTACAAAGTCAACCTCATCAATAACAAACAACCTCATCAATAACAAAACAACCTCATCAATAACAAAACAACCTCATCAATAACAACAAATCTCAACTGACAACACAATCTTCAGACCCAGTATCCATTTTGATTGCATATTTTCAACCTCACGAATACCGACACCTCACGAATAGCGACCGGCATTTTTCTCACGCACCACTGAGGTTTGTTATTCGAAAGGATGACTGCCCTAGTACAGCGATGGTGGTCAATAGACCATTCAAGTAGTTCATTGCCTGTTTATAGCCTGATAAGATTCGGTACAATTGAGCTACAGCAACAGCATAAGACAAGAGTGGCCATCACAAGAGCAAACAGACACTGTAGTAGCCGTGGCGCCAAGACGGGTTCATCTTGTGTCTGTTAGGGTATTCCCCAGCATGCTGCATCTGGTAGGGTATTCCTCAGCACACTGTGTCTGATAGGGTATTCCCCAGCACGCTGTGTCCGGTGGGGTATTCCCCAGCACGCTGTGTCTGGTCGGGTATTCCCCAGCACACGGTGTCTGATAGCGTATTCCCCAGCACACTGTGTCTGATAGAGTATTCCCCAGCACACTACTAGCCAATTTAACATTTGTGTCACACTCACCAGAATAATTCCACAGACAGGTCCCAGAAAGGCCCAGATTGTGCCGTTCTCAATCGAAAGCCAACAGCTGCACATCGAGCAGAGAACACCAAGTGGCATGACCTCTTAGGCACACATCAAAACCGGCAGGCATGTGAGAGCATTTGATGCGAGCATGTACATGTGCTCTGGACGAGCAGGCATGTTAGTACAGAAGTTATGACACTGCTATAACGATACAAACTTTGGACTGAACTGTGACAGTCATTGGAATGGAGATCATCATTTCATTGACGCGTTTGGTTGTAGGTCAATGAGCACAACCTTAGGCTAGTCATGTGACTTTATTTATTTATTTTTATTTATTTATTTATTCATTTCTGCCCCTCGTAGCATGTCAAGACAGCCAATTGAATTGCGGAGATGGTGAGACCAACCACGGAAGAAGAGAAAAAAAGAAAATGAAAAGCATGTACCCAAAAGAGGGAAGGGATTAGCAAGTTACTTACTAGTCTTTCGTGCCGTAGTCCTCATAACGAACACCAGCTGAGATACCAACATTGATCAATGGTATGCCTGTACCAAGGAGTACATGGTTGAAGAAAATTGCAGAATACACATCAGGGCAAGCATGATTGGCAGTTTTTGCCAGGCAAGGTCACACATCAATCAGAGAATGCAGTGAAGCTTGAGTATGAGATACCCTGGATCTATCATACTGTAAGACATGTTATTATAACGAGTCGCAAATTTAACGATTGTCCAGAATTCATAGGTTAACGAGAAGATATGCTAACGATCTTGCAGTATTCTGCCATATCCACACACAGCATATATGAAGCAGTACAGCCTCAACGGATCTTATTATAACGAAGTAATGTCATCCGTTAAAACGTTAGATTTATTATACATGTCTTACAGTACTTCTAACGTATGGGTCGCAAAGTAGTATTCTGATCATGAATTACAGTACACCAGTACTATGACCTTGGCTACAAGTGCTCTGGCTACAAAGCAGAGATAAATCATCTTCTTAAGGCCTTTGGAAGTGTGATATTTTGAAGTTTCATAGTATCACATTTTCTCTGGGGATTGGTAGGGCAGCGCATTAGAAAACATCTCTCGGAACATACCCCAGGCTACAGGGATGTAGATCTTGAGTTGGTTTTCTCTGCTCTTGAACACGCGCTCCGTCATGAGGTACAGGTGATAGCCTTCCACAGCCATCCAGGCAAACGCCACCGTATAGAAATACTGCAGGAGTCCCGCCACTACTCCGCATGTCACCTGTAAGGTGGAGAACAAAAAGCAAAAAGGCACGCCCTTAAATGCTTATCTTTGAACAGTAAATAGCCTTCAGGAATAGAAACACTTAGAGCTTATTACTAGTAGGTATTCTAGCCATGAATTCGACAGCATACATTCACCAGCATGCAGATTTCACGCCACGCACATTTTGGAATCATACTGTAGAGAAATCGTGCAGACACGTTACCAAGCCGATATCTTGAAGGAACAATGAAACACATACCTCAGGCACCCTTTGCCTCCTGCTGAACACTATCAAACGTTTCCATGCGGCTGATCATAATCTTCTAAGCTGTTAACCTGAATGCATGCAGCTGCACTTCAAATTTCACAATCTCTTGCAAGGTTGCTCACGGCACGTGTACATGGAAATGGCACAGGAGAATAATGCAGCTCAGAAGACAACAGCAACAGCTACCTGTAGCTAGAGGAACTAGAGGAGTGCAGGGACGGATCTAGGGGGGTCTGTGGGTTCAGCGGAACCCATAATGTATTTGGAAATGTACTACTTGAAGCCATTATACATGTATGTCATTTACATCTATCAGCTATTCAGTTTTTGGTTAAATTAAACTGGACCCCCCCCCCCCCCCCTGCGGAGATCATGGCTCTGGATCTGCCCCTGGAGTGCTTGCTCACCCGGTTCTCGGTGCTGGTGATGCCGGCTATGAACGTGATCTGCGCGCATGCAAGCGTGATGGCCAGGTTCAGATGGATGATGTTCTGCGAGTGGCGAGCAGACGAGGTCTTCAGGGTCCTAGACACAACGGAAGCAAACAGCTAACTACATGCATGGTAGATCTATAGTGTGCAGTGCAACCTGGCAAGGTGACCGATTGCCTCACAGGACCAGTACAGCTAGGACCAAGGAATCGTAATTCCAGTCAAATGACCCTGGGTAAGAAGACCACCTGAACACAAGGATGACATTTGTGTAGTCCCTCAAGTCGTAATTCCAGTCAAATGACCCTGGATGAGAACACCACCAGTAGACAAGGACGACATGGTTTAGGTCCCTCAAGTCGTCGCTTTCAATATGTTTCACTGCACATCCGAAACGGGGTCAAATCAGTCCCCATGGCGGGAACTCCTGAAACGCCAGCTTTGTGTATTGGAACCTTTTCTCCGTGTCCAGTAGAAGTAGCATACTCCAGTGCTGGCAACCAAAATCCGACCCCTGAGCGGTGCACTCACATCGCAAAGACCCAACACGGGAACTTAAAAGTACGAAATAGAGACCGCTAGAAAGTAAACGCATCGCTCAGGGGTCGGATTTCAGTTGCCAGCATTGTACATGTAGAAATTCAATACTGGTGATGTAGGTGGGCGAACAGTACATGGAGGAAATCTCAGCCATCAGGACTGGAGGCTAGACCGAGAGGATACTTACTCTTTTCTAAGAGTGAACAGAATGACAATCATCACGACCAAACAGGCCAGTGAGATACCACATCCAATGTAGGTGATATAGCTAAGAGTCACGTCATGGGCACCAGTCTGCATACAAACAGCAGCAGCAGGAGAGAGAGAGAGAGAGAGAGAGAGAGAGAGAGAGAGAGTGAGAGAGAGAGTGAGAGAGAGAGTGAGCGAGAGAGAGAGAGAGAGAGAGAGAGAGAGAGTGAGAGAGAGTGAGTGAGTGAGTGAGAGAGAGAGAGTGAGCGAGAGAGAGAGAGAGAGAGAGAGTGAGTGAGTGAGAGAGAGAGTGAGAGACAGAGAGAGAGAGAGAGACAGAGAGACAGAGAGACAGAGAGAAAGAGAGAGCTGTGGAGGCAATGCAAATGAATATAAAGTGTGTGCTGTGTTCGGAGTGGCAAATTGGTGCTTGAAATCCCACGCCTCAAGACTTGAAGTGATGACTCTATTGCGCGATATCTTTGACTAAGATACAGGTTCGAATGTTTAGCAGTACTTCCAGCCTTGACAAGTAATTGAAGTTCAAATATCCAGGGTGATGTACATGTACATGCCACAGGGCAGAATTGCACGAAATGTTCTGGATGCGTGGACACGTGGGTGGGTGTGTGTGTGTGGCTGCGTGGGTGAGTGGGTGATAGAGTGGGTGAGTGGGTGACTAAGTGAGCTAGTGGGTGTGTGAGTGAATGGATGCATGGGTGCGTGGGTGACTGAGTGGGTGACTGAGTGGGTGAGTGGATACATGGGTGTGTGGATGCGTGGGCGAGTGGGTGAATGGTAGAATGGGTGAGTGAATCATCGTGGCGGTGTCACTTACAGGCCCACCGGTTGGTGACACGAGCACAGCAAAGCTAGTCAGGTGGTTGCTCTGGCAGACGGTAGCCTGCTCCTCAGTACTGACTCTGACCAGGCCATCACCATCCCAAGCACTGCATGGGAAAATCGAGGATAACTCAATAACCAGCCAGAACATATTGAGGAAACTTTGAGGGGAACATTGCTACATGTATCGTATGCCTGATGTGTATCACCAGCCAAATTGGATGCGATATGCATCAGGTTTGTAGATTGTATGCATTGCGCAATGATGCGCTAGAATTACAATGCCCAGGAATAGACCAAGGAGGCACTGCTTTGCGCCGATGCTTTGGCAGCTGGCAGTGAAAACCGTATAGGTGAAATAACCGAGTCAGAAAGTCGACTGGACAGTCGATACACACAATCATATTTTAAATACTGTGCGAAGCAGATACATGCATAGATGCACAGAGGGAAGTGTAGCTCATGCACTTGTCCAGTGAGGTCAAATCATGCACTCTGAAGTACGCTGGACACATTAATCCAGTTCACTTTCACACAAAGCCCAGAACAACAATTATTAGGTGGACCCGTTTGAACGTTAAACCCCACAATGTGTTCCAATCGTGCTTCTGTCGCCTTTTCCATGGCTGTGTAGGTTTCAGAGAGTGCATGCTATGGTGGTGGACGTGTTACTTTTCCTCAATTCAGCGCAGACCGGACCGGACAATTGAAGGAAAAAATAATGATACGTAGAGTCGATGAGGAGACAACGGTCTTAAAATTGCAATGAATAAGATAACGTGTGGAGTCTTTCTATGTTATTATGCATCTACTTGTACCAACATCATCAAGCAACGATTTGGTACATTTACTTCCGAATGAATTCCCTTCTCTGCTCGGCAATTGTCCAACGTACCTTTGTGAGAAGTTCCAGAAAACACATTCAGGGGACTTGGTGAGCTATGCAGGTATCAAAGCACACACAAAATTGTACGAGTGTCACGAGACTTACTATTGACTTGTCTTGAAAGTTGTAAAATAGATAATTATGATACTGTGCCGATGGCCTGACTCCTTCAGACATCAGTGTACGTGCGTATGTACGGACATTTCTTCATCCAAAAGGGGGTAAGCAGTGCACGCATTCGCAGAATTTTCGCTATGCTTACAGTGCTATTCTCGTGGCGCAGAGTGATTGTGACCGGATCCTCCTGAAGTCCACTGGTATCCACACCCACCACTCCAATACGCGTGGTTATTATCACCGTGTTCAGAACCTTCCTCTCGCCATCACCGTCTTGACTACAGATACCCAACAGACAACAAACAGCAGATATTGTGCAGACTCAGGCGTGACTGTTTTCGAAAACTTCACGTATCAAGCAGTATACAATTGTCATGTCCTGGACATGGACCATATGTATGTAGTGCGCATGCTCGCACGTGAGCTGGGTCTTTTTCGGATATGGAGTTTGAGATGTACTGAAATCTGTAATGGCCTCGAGTGTGTGTGTGATCGAGCTGGATGAGTCCGAGTAGAACCCACCTGGGGTAGGACACAACAACTGGCGACGAAGATGGAATTAGCTTTGTAAGAAAGACAAGGATTTGAGAATGCTGTACTTAAATTAACCGATCTTACTCTACGCGCAGAAACGAGCAACACATTTCTGCAACTAGACAATCAACATGGCGAGGGAGGATAAACTCAGACTTACAAACACTACTGCTCGTCCTTTTCCGGTCACCAACGCTCTGTGTACTTCTACACATTCGGCCCTGTTAGGCCGGTGAACTGCTCAATCGCGGTTACAACATAACCTCAAGTCTGCCACAGAGGGTGATAAGAACAGTTGTCTAAGGTCTTCAGGCTGCTTACAGTGCTCAATGCCCAGTGGACAGAGCCAGTAATACAAAGAGGGTGATAAGAACAGTTGTCTAAGGTCTTCAGGCTGCTTACAGTGCTCTATGTCCAGCGGACAGAGCCAGTAATACAAAGAGGGCGATAAGAAGATAATGCCATCGGCTGGAGTGCTGAGCTGCTGGTAAAACAAGTAGCAAGCCTCACCTCTCCACTGTCAACGGGTAGAACTCGTTCAAGTTGTTGTAGATCACGCTGGCCACGGGCAAGGCATCGTCTGAAATTGCAATGGCCAAGCAGCAGATCATCATACATATTGTTATTTTCGTGAGAAGGAGACCATCATGGGACCTGATAAACTGGGCCAGGATCAGTATTCTTCAAGGTGGCTTTAGTATGCCGGGTAGGAGGTGTTCGGTTTACCACGTATCTTGTCCCAGGAGAGATTAGACGATGCAAATAGTGATTTCAATTCGCCAAATCGACATACTCCTACTCAGTCTATTATGGCTAAGAATTCTCGCACTTCGGCACAGCTATTCATACCTTACTCTGTCTCGACACTCATGCTCTATGGTGGTCTCTTTGCTGTGAAACCTCTTCTCCTTCACCAATATGTTTTGTCAGTCTAACTCAGCAAGAGCAATGTGGAATCTTCTGGCTAATCAGTTTTCACATTTATATTAACATTCTGGTTGTGGGATACATCTAAATCTTCAGTTTTGTCATCTCCTCTACATTCGCTTCTCTACAGTGGTGCCATTGACATTAGGCCATTTGCTTGCTCTGGTTGCCATTCTAAATAAATGGAAATACAAATACAAAATAGCAGAGTAGACTCACATCCGGATCTCTCCTGTAATGTTTTTATAGCACCGGCCGGCACTTTGATGTTGGACAGCTGGCTTTGACCGTTTGTTGAAAATCGCCCCAGGACAGGGTTGGAGTAGTCGGGGAAGACGACATCTCGAGTGTCCGCCGATCTCTGCACAGACACTTGCATTGCTGCATGTACAGAAAAAAGCATACAGCAGTCAGAGATAAAGAGATTGCGAGCAGGGCGGAGCTGGTCCTCCTTTAAGGGGTAGGGTGCACACGGTATATGTGTAAGATGGCTGGTGTATGTCATTCGTGGTCAATATGTGCATGCTGAACCTAGGTCGAAATTGTTAAGGGGCTACGTGCCTGAAGAGAATGCAGAGAATCACTCTAATACTGAAAAAGCTGTGGCCCTGGCTGCCACACGGCATCTCATGGACAATGTCGATGGTTGCACATCGAGCAAGGAAATGACTAAATAGATAAACATGTGAATAGTACATCACAGAGTGTGTGAGAGAGAGAGATAGAGACTAAGTGCAATGTGTTGGCAAAAGCTCATTGTGGAGGCATCATGGCGGCAGTGACTAATAATAACGAAAGGGCAGAGTTTGTTCCTAATTCTCTGCTTAAATAGTACACGGGCAATGCAGCATTGTTTGTACAACTAGCGCTCACCAATGTTTGGCTCTACATAGACTGACAGTGATAGGTTGCTGGCTTGCGCAGTGTACAGAGCAAAGTCGCTGGTAGACTCCAGTAGGGTGGGTGCTTGGCTCTGTTACAACACAGTACAACCAGCCTTAGCTCAGCTTCAGTGTTACTAATGTATAGTGACATGAATTACTACTTGTACTACTACAAATGAAAAAAAATTAACGAGTATTTGTTCAAGCCTGCACCAGGGGAAATACTGGAAAAAGTGATGTCTACCCCCCCCCCCCACACTCTTTGCTATCATAGGTAAATAAGTACCTGCCCGAAAGAAATACCCCCTTCATTCTTTTGGCTCTGTCTGTTGAAGTCAAGTCAAGCCCGATAAACATACTGCCCGAAATAAGTACCGGTACGATGCGCACATGCAGCACGTAGCATGTACATCGACATGAAAATGACTTCTCCACTACACACAAGTCAGGTCCGAAAGTTAGTTCGTGCCCGAAAGTCAGTACCCGCCCGAAAGTTAGTACGGGTGTGGTCACTAAATTCGAAAGTAAAAACGTACTTATTTACAGACTTTTTACGGTATTGGACAGTGACCCCGTTTAACAGTCTGTGAAGTAAAGTAAAGAATACATACATACACTAGACCGTGACCGACGTCCAGTTGATGAAGTTGCCCTGAGTGTATCATCGCTGGTTTCCTGCCCATGTATTACAAACGCATGACAATTTCGTCTGCATCTGTTTGATTGTTCAGAATTTTGAGTCTGTTTGCAATTCGTAACAAAGTCTATAGCGTGATAGCACTCACTGACTCTGCCGCTTGCCAACTGTCAATGTTACGCGAGTCCAGGAGGTTGCTGACTGTTCGCACGTACGACTACAGTGAACAGGCAAAAACACCAATCGAACGATTTCACCTCCACCTCCACCGCATGCAATACACAGGCCACAGGCTGCTGCTTACCCTTTGGACCAAAACACCAGCTGTTAATAATCAACCTATGAAGCATGGGGTGTAAAAGCCTAGAGTAAATATGTCTGTGGTGTACCCGGCCGTGTGCATCGTCCATATTTGCACTCCCATGTTTCTTATTATGCTACTGTATCTCCTTGCATGGACGTGCGTACAACCTTACAGCATACTACTCATACTATGCATGCATGTGTGTACGCCGTGCTTATAATCCACAGTGCCTGTCTCTTGTTGCTGTTCAGTCTTTTCCTGGCAGTTTCCTGATGAGTCGTCCTGTCAGTTCTTCGTTGCATTATTCTTATTCAATACAACTAATCATCACATAGAGTTGATGATACCACAATGTCAGATGAGAAAAGCAAAACGAAAAAGTCTGCAAAAATAGTCTAAGTTCAGAGCCCACATACTAACATCATCTTCAGTGAGCTATTGGCTGTAAGCAGTGGTGTTAGGTCGAGTTTAACAGCCAATCGCTTGTCGGCGCAAAGCCATCTCGTGTGCCATTAGAATAACGGTTGAACACAGCAGCCAACTGCTTACCTGAGCAAAGTCCTCTCGCGTGTCATTGTTCATGACGTTCTCCTGCTGGGTGAGCTGTTTCAGAGTATCAGTTGCAACCCTGATGTCACCCGGAACTAGGTAGTCGAACAGGGCACTGCCTGCTCCGGTAGCATTGGACAGGCGGTGGAGCACTGACAGAGCCAGGTAACTTTTTGCCGTGGCGTTGAGAGTTTGATTTCGGCCCGAATCGACGAGAGTGTTGACCTAGGAGGCCGACCGGGGAGACAAAACCAGAACAATCTTCGAATGGATTCAAGGCGATACTGTAAAATCGGGAATTTTTTGGTGGTGTAATATATTCGGTATTTCCCAAAATCAACGGTTCCGTAGTGCCAATGTTTCGTTAAACCAGTTTTCCAGATCCAAAAAGGCATTTTGCACACTATGTGGCATGTCATGGTTGAATGTTAGGTCACATTTCTTAAAGGTAAAAATTGCCTGTACCGAAGTTACCGAAAAGAAATCTCCACCGAAATTTCCTGGTTTACAGTTTATAGGAGTTGGACGGCGCAAACTCTATTAGTTCTCCATCGGGTGGTCACATTGTTCCAAATTTACACAGAGCACTCCACATCACTCTTCTATCAGGAGTATTCCAGGACTTGTGTGTGCAGAAGGCATCGTGTCTATCGGTTTTGCTCCATCTCATATCACAATTACGTACACTGTTAAACGATGCAGTGCAGAGTGTACAGTACGGCAACAGCATCACTTCATCTGCATTATAATACTGCTCAAATACATCAAAGGCATCAGGATTCCAGAAGTTGTTTCAAAGGCATCAGGATTGCATAAGTTGCTTCATCCGTACAAAAACGACACGACACGGTCCCAGTGAACTTACTAGCTCTGCTACCGTGAAGAAGCCCACGGAAACACACCTATCCACGTTCGGTTCACTCCAGACGCCATCAGCCGAACAGTTTCTGGTCATGTTGCCTGCGGCCAGCAGAAAGCGCACACATCACAGGTCATCAGACTCATCACCAACGTGCAGCACATCACAGGTCATCAGACTCATCACCAACGTGCAGCACATCACAGGTCATCAGACTCATCACCAACGTGCAGCACATCACAGGTCATCAGACTCATCACCAACGTGCAGCACATCACAGGTCATCAGACTCATCACCAACGTGCAGCATCATCGTATAGGTAAACCGTGCATACAGTAAAACCTGCCAAGGCGACCACTCGGAAAAGGCGACCACCTGTCCTAGAAGACCACCGCAACCAGGACCAAGGATGCTATTTCCAGTCAAATGACCCTGGATACGGCGACCACCTGGTATCAGAGACCGCATTTTAAAGGTCCCTTGAGCGGTCGTCTTAGACAGGTCTCACTGTACAGTAAAACCTGTAATAATGACCGCTCAGATACGGCAAGCACCTGCCTCAGAGGAGCCCTGAAACTAGAACCGAACGGTGTTTATCCAGACAAACGACCCTGGATAAGGACTTGAGACCACCTGTACATAGGCTCTCAGTCTTGAAGGTCCCTTAAGCAGGATCGCCTTAGACAGGTTTCACGGTGCCAAGTGTCTCATGTATGTTGAGACCGCTGTCTGGTTGAAGCACAATAGAAGCCTACACGTTCTGCTATTATACGTGTGAAAAAGTAAAGTTTGCAGGTCCACGTTACAACCGGCTATACAATTGCGTTGAGAAACACAACCAGGTTAGGAAGTTTCGCTCGTGCCAGGCCACCACCATGCCTGTAATACCATATACAAGTAAAAAATTAGACGGGTTCGCGAACCGGGCAGGTCAAGAACAAGGAGTCATACAACTCCCTGGTCAAGAACCACCTTTCCGCTTCCGTGGGACGCCACCACCCCATGATCAGGCGTCAGATGCGGCTCCTTAACGGTGGGGGAGGATAGATCAGATCCACCAACCAGAGGCCAAAGGCCTAAATCCCATATACATGTACTTGATATCAGTCACAGAAAGTGATACCTAAGTCAAGAGGACCTTCACGCACAGATTGCACACAAGGATTACACTCAGTACATGGTCCAATGAAAAAAATATTATTTCGCTATGAAGCTACCGCGGAAAGACTTAGCTGTGCTGTCATTCCACAGCACAGAGTGACGCTTTTTAAAGGGGAAGTTAAGGCAAAAATTAAAATTTCACCAGTTGTAGTCTTCGGGGTGCTGAGTCGAATGGTCTTGGTCCGAGAAAGCTGAGACGCTCCCTTCCTACTTGAATCCCAATCGAACTCGCGCACTTCCACCGAAACTGGGTGACTGCGCCCTACGAGATGGGGATTTGTATGCAAAATGTCACTAAAAGCGCCATTTCGTTCTTATAAAAGCACGGATGACCGCGATTGGCCCATATGTTGTAGTCTTTTGGACGCTGAGTCGACTGGTTTTGGTCCGAAAAGGCTGCGATGCAGCGTTCCTCCTTTATTCCCAATCGAACATGGTTGAACAAGTGGTCACGTGCTCCTGGGTGCCCAAATCACCTGGTCACCACGCCAGCAGGTGACAACTTTCACACCAAGGTTCAACTCGAGTTCAACTCGAGTGACAGGACAGCACCCAAAAAAGGTCAAACAGGCTAGTAAGTTAGTTGTACCCTGCAGGCACGGTGACCAGGTGACTGGCGTACGCAGGAGCACGTGACCGCTTGTTCAACCATGTTCGATTGGGAACAAAGGAGGAACGCTGCATCGCAGCCTTTTCGGACCAAAACCAGTCGACTCAGCGTCCAAAAGACTACAACATATGGGCCAATCGCGGTCATCCGTGCTTTTATAAGAACGAAATGGCACTTTTAGTGACATTTTGCATACAAATCCCCATCTCGTAGGGCGCAGTCACCCAGTTTCGGTGGAAGTGCGCGAGTTCGATTGGGATTCAAGTAGGAAGGGAGCGTCTCAGTCTCCTCGGACCACGACCATTCGACTCAGCACCCCGAAGACTACAACTGGTGAAATTTTAATTTTTGCCTTAACTTCCCCTTTAAATTAAGACACCAGAACGTATTCTTGTGACATTCTTCAGTGGGAAATCGTCACTGATTGCTAACATTGAGTAACACGGGATTATAAGCTATCAGGTGCAAATTATACAACAAAGGGGAGGCCGAAACGGTGTGAGAAATGCTATGGCTTGCTCACCAGAAAAGCCTTGTGGACAGTTTGCCACAGACACGAGCCCGGCAACAGTCGTGGGCCAGTAGATGCCCAGGATTGGGTAGAAGCTGCGCGGACAAGCGACATAGCTGCTGATAAGCTCTGCGAGGCAAGCATAAACAGAAAAGACACCAGACCTAACTTTAGTCTGCAAACAGTCACCCTTGAAAAGGATCATTGTTCACACGATCGGGTTGTATCATCAAGTTTACATGTGCAAATAGTACGTGAAGCATGTACACAGGTTCATAGTAGTTATGGTAAAACAGTCAAAGCTTACATCAACCTAAGTCGGTTACTTCAAGTTCCCGTCAACATATTGCGTTCAAATGAGAGCAGTAGGGTACGTTTGTACGCGTGTAACCCATGCCTGTGAGTGCAGTAGTTAACCCAACAGAATCAATACCTATGGCACACTGCCCAACACCGGCAGCACATTCACGTACAGTAAGCTGAGTACTGTAAGACCAGATATTTTAACGTCAATTAAAGTTAATGATCTCCGGATTTCCGTGGGTTAGCGAGGTGAAATTCTAACGAATTCCGTCTCAAAACCGGCAAATGACTGTACATGTACATATCGTTTTGTACAATCATAACGACTTCAAAATATAAACGAATTTTATAAATTCGTTAAATCGTTAGCATTAAAAATGTTTGTTGATATTACTGGTCTTACAGTAGTTAGTGTGATCAACCCAGGCCCAGGATGCACAACAGCCTGTCTTCATGCATAGCTGGTCTTCCTACAGAGATCAAACTGTGCGCCGAGGTAGGGTAACTGGCTTGAGATGAGAGGTCTCTCATATTCACTGCTGGCATGCACAATGAACAGGCGTGTAGCCCGCCAGGAGCTTGTGGGGGGGGGGGGGGGGGGGGGAGGGGGGCACTTGCACCCCCTAAAAATTTCGACCTAAGTTCAGCATGCGTATCCAAATAATGGCCATGAGTGACATGCATCAGCCATCCTACACATATGAGGCCTAGAAGGGGGACCAGCTGCGCCCCTGATCAACAGTGCACGCATTGTGTGGTGTGGACGCACTGCAGAGTACCCACCGTCTGGAACGCAGTACGTGCCGTTCGTATCCGTGTACGCCGTGTAGTTCTGCGCGCACAGGCTGCACGTCTTGCCCCCGTAACCTGGGTAACAGTAGCATTGCCCGGAGCCGTCGCACGTGCTGTTGTGCGACGAGAACGGATTGCAGCAGCACTCTGCGAGCGACACGATGAAACAATGCAAGACGGCCAAATCAAACAACTGTATGAGTATAGGACTGGTCACACATTGGACATGGCATTATAGTAGTAGTAGTATTGACATATCCGCGGCAAGCCGCTTATGTACAACGGCATGGGAGAGGATAACAAAAAAATGACAATATATTGTTGGGGAAATCCACGCTATTATCGAATATTCAACAATGACGGGTGTGGGGTTATACCAAATTCCCATAATGTGGAAGTACGTTATTATTGTTGAAAGCACTAGGTGATCTGCACTCTACAATGGCACTATGGACCCAACGAATTTTTTTGCCATTTCAAACATACTCAATGGTCCATTGGAAACCGGGTGGAGACGGGAACTTAATCAATACATTCTACATTGTAATTTTTAGAATTAACCAGTGGTCCCAACAGCAGTGTGTAGTTCAGTGATTTCAAGGATTATTTATACGGAGCAGGCCGTTGCAATCCGCCACGTTATATTGGAAGCACAGTGATATTGCCAGTATTTGTCACGAAAGAAAGGCATAGCCTGATGCGCCTATTCATGCCGGTTGGGTACATGCTCCGGTGGGGAACCACCAAACAGGAATGCACAGTTTTGGCAATAGTGAGGTTTTGCATTCCGAATTTCGGTTCGGCGCTCTTCGGTCATTTGTCGAACATCAAAATGTCGAATTTTCGCACCAATGTTTGTTTTGCAAGTCGAAAATGATGTGTTTTCATTTCGTGAGCCCTAGCATCAGCAACGTTCTCTCCCGTGCTCCTATTCTTGCTGATTCCAACGAACTTTGATCGCCCTAAGAGCCGAGGGCCAAACCTGTCTCCTCAGTCGCCTCAGAAAAACCAACTCCATGGCCAAGTCAAATTTTATGAGTATCGCCATAGTCTTTTCAGCCACATAGATGACGGTGAGGACACTCCAGGCGAAAGAGAGTAGACAAGCAGTGGAGGAGCAATCAGAGGTAGCTGACGACGCTGATGTCGCCAAAGACGCCTGTGAAGCGATGCCGAGATAAGAAATCTCTTTGAATAAATCACGCGCTAGCGCTCTTCTACAGAAAATTCATCCGAAAAATATTTTCGGCAAAGTGAACTTTTTCCGAACAAACATGCCGAATCTTCGCGTGCATTTTCGACCTCGCTCCCGCGTGCCGAATCTTTTTGCCGAATTTCGGAATGCAAAACCTCGCTAATAAACATTTCTGAATTGCCCGATGAAAGGTGACATTTTGCGCAGCCACGATCGACAACCGCCATGGATGTTCCCTAAACAATCTACTAACTGTTAGTACTGGCACACATGACAGAACGACTGTCTGCAGCAAGGGTAGAACAGGGTCTACTGGGAGAGGTCAGGATTGTGAAGTACTAGGGTACAAACAAACCTTGACACAGATTGGAGTCCGGTAGTAGGCCACTGCACTGTTGCTGTAGCAGTGTTGTGCCCAGGAATGAGCTTAGAGAGGTGAACACCGCCGATCTCAGAGACGTGAGATTCGATTGCTTGAAATACCCCGGCTTGCACGTGTCACACCGCACACCCGTAGTGCCAGCCAGGCAGCGGCAGGTGCCATTTCGATCGCAGCTGACAGCACTGGAACCAGCCTGAGTGCAGTTGCAGGCATTGCACTCGAGTCCAGGCCGGTCGTCGCTAAATGTGGGCGGCAGCCGCGTGAAAAACCCGTCGGCACAGGCATTGCACATCGCCCCTTTGTAGCCAGGCAGACAGGAACACGCTCCCGTGGCTGGCTCACAGCCGGACGCCTGTTGAGGGTTGCAGTTACACGGGGTGCAGAATCCGCTCTTCTCTTTGTGGTAGAAGTCGGCGCATTGCATGCAGTCCCTACCGTCGTACCTCCTGTAGCACGGGCACTTGCCGCTTACTTTGTCGCACACAACCGACCTGCTTCCGACCGGGACGTTACAGCCGCACGGCAGGCAGCCGGCACTGGCGTTGTAGAAGCCGTCAGTGCACTGCTGGCATTGCCCTCCCTGGGCGTTGCTCGCGCAGATGCACGTCAGCGAGCGTGGATCGCAGCCCAGGCTCAGCGGGGCAGGACAGCTGGCCTGGCAACCTGCAAGGAGCACAGGTAGATTGCAGAAGAATGCCTATTCAATGAAGGCAGGAGACCAGCAGAGCATCCAGAAGCATTGTACAGTCAGACCTCGCTTATCCGGTCCTCTTTTTTCCGGATCCCTCACCATCCGGAAGAAAATCATGGGTTACCAATTTTCAGTATAAGTCATGCATCACACAGTATGTGTGTCCGCTTATCCGGTTCCCTCGCCTATCCGGATTTATTTGTGGAAAACAGATGTGTGCGGTTAAGCGAGGTCTGACTGTAGTCCAATTAGCCTTGTATCGTACTCAGATACTGCACCTTGTGCTAAGCCGAACTCCACAACGTTGCTATTTAAACATAATATTGGAAGAGAAAGCCGGATAGATCAACAACGAATGGAATGGAAGGACACAGCATCGGCCCCAGGAATGACTGCCCTTACCACAATTGGTAGTACTGGCATCCGAAGCAATAGGGAATGACTTCACCGTCAACGCGGTCAAGTTGGCAGGCTGGCTGCACTGGGGTTCTGTTGTGCTGTTGAGACGATTCAGCAAGTCTCGAAGTGCCAAGAACGCTGCTGAGCAAGCACAGTTCCATGGATTGTTATCCAAGTTTCTGAATAAATTCGAACAGCAAAGTACCGTACAGCTTTAAATATTTCACTTAGGCTCTCCTTTCCTGACGGAATATTGCCAAGCCAGCAAAGCTAGTGGAGTAATATGCGATCGTACACACGTACCAATGCACCCAAGACAATAATGATTGAACAATGCAACCATAACATTCAGGATGCAAACAAACACCAGGAAAGACCTTACATGCTTGGTTTTGCAACTTTCAAAGAGAGGCTTTGGCTGATGTCCGACGGCAGCACGCTGAGTTGATTGTATTGCAGGTTGCTGTGGTTTGGACAGACGCAGCACATCACAAGACATTCAGGCGCAAGACTATAGCCTAGACACGACTGTACGGATTCTGCATGGAATGCAATGGCGGCCAATGCATCAATGCATCGGGCTGTGTGAATACTCAGAACGTGTATGTGCTTGGAATAGGAGTGGGCTATGTTTGTGCACACTTGCATTGCTACTCAAGCAGAGGCAATGGAGAAATTTCACACTGCTTTTCGGAGGAATAGAATGGTAATGATGGTACCAACTTCTTTTCGAACAAACATTTATACGTGTTACAACCCATCGAATCAGAGATGGTAGATTGTGAAGTCTTCGCTAGCAAGACTCTATTGCAGACATCACCTGTTATTGATAAAAACAAGGCCCAGTAAATATGTTCGCAAGAGTGTGCAGCTCTGCATACCATAATTATTTTACCGGATGTAAGTCGACCCCGTATCCGGAGGTCTCAATTCTGTTTTTTAATGTTTTCGCCCAACAAAGCACTACGAACCACTCCCTGCTACTAACACATCAACAAATCATCTAAACATTCCATATTGGAGGGTATTATGTCCCAATCCTTGAAAAAGGCCAATAAACTGGCAAAATTGTGTACAAATCATGCACTCGTGCATGCAGTGCAGGTTATTTTTGTAAGATACTGATAGTTCGCGATTATAAATCGAATCCCAGTTGTAAGTCGACTCCCACCTTTTCTCCTTCTATTGTTAGTTGTAAACAGTCGACTTTCAACCGGAAAACTACGGTAGCTATGAGGTCAATGATTGAGAAAACTCGCATCACGTTGCAAGCACACTTCGCATCACGTACAACGAAGGCCAGTGTGTGCGCAGTCTGGCTATTTGCCAGACCAAAGCTGATTTTTGGTATAAATCTGAGTGGGTTTCTGTCGGGGAGTGCTATTTTACTACTCCACTGCTCGCTAAAATAGGCCGGGAACGTACAATGTGAACACTGCACCACGTGATGTGAGTTTTCACCGTCGGCGGACTCACAGAAAGCGTGTCGAGAGTTGCACACTCTCGAGAGCTGATGCACTCTTCAATTGATGTACCATGTAGGCAAAGAATGGATTCACATCGTCTTTGCCATACTAGATTTGTGCAGAATATGACCATGGCATGCAAACAGGGGAACCAACATGGCCGACGTCATGTGACCTGTAGATGCAGGGGTTGAGTGGAGTTGCCCCAACATGGCTGTCCTGTATGGTTATTATGATAGGCGAGGAAAAGCTCTATAAAGATCACAAAAATGCCCCGCCAAAACCGATGTTCACGTGTATGATTGTCATGATACTGAGAACAGGGTGTTGCCGCTGTTTAATTCCGGCTATAGACTACCTGCGAAGGCGTGTTGCCGCTGTTTAATTCCGGCTATAGACTACCTGCGAAGGCGCCCAAACATCACACATGTGTCATCATGCCGCTGCAAACTGTATCTACTTACAGACCGACTATACTCTGCAGGTGCGGAAAGCCTCCAGTTGCAATGTTAGCGATCCGGTTATACTGCGCCTCTCTGAAGCACATATTGGCGTGTACAAATATTACATACACACACGCACACACACACACACACACACACACGCACACGCACACACGCACACGCACACACACACACACACACACACACACACATGTGCATATACATCACCACGTGTACAAGCGTGCACAAAGACTGTCATAATGATGTGCATGCTCTTCTCCTCACCGAGAGCTCATCTAGTTCCCAGGCGCTAAGGGACGACGGCCCTGAAAGACGGCTACGGCCCTGTGCCGGTGAGCTCCAGCAGTTTGCATCCAGCATTGTGAGTAGTATAAGTCGAGCCGGTTCTACGACTGGCACATTACCCAGGCCGAAAAATGGGGTATGATTGATTGTACCCCATTTTGGGGTAAAAAACCGACGCCCGTTTTTTACTTGAAAACTGATTGTAGAACCGGCTCGACACATACTATTAAGGTGGTTCCTAGGCCGAGCCTGACCTGGTCACATGATCGTCTGACTTGCTTCCAGGGATATCTCGACCTGAGAAGGACCAGGCTCTGTTTGGACAGGGGTGGTGAAAGCACATTTCCATATGACCAGAGCATAACATAATGTAACGGACGCACGGAATATCAGGTAGGGAATACACTGTGGAAGTTTGAATGGATGAAGTTTACATAGGAAAGGTAGCATAGAGCTACACATGTTACAAAAGAACCTGTGGGGGTTTCAGGGGCTGCCACTTGCTCCGATTTTTCGGAAATCGTCCGATTTTTGATCGCCTGTCCGACAAACCGACCGATTTTGTTCCCAAAGTGGGACAACCGATTGTTTTATTTTGAGCGCTTTTTAGTCCAGTTGGCTGGTCATTTGTACACGTAGATCTACGTACATGTAGCTGTAAAATGCTCGCGTGCTTGCATGCACTTGGAGTATGTACGGGATGAGCTGTGGCAACGGCGGTTGCTACAGGCGCTAGGCAGCTTTGCACCTAGTAGACCTACCTGCAGGACATGTACTGCCGCCATAGGATCAACGATCATTGACGCAGTGATGATCGATTCAGCCGTTTCGGCGTCACATTGCGCTGCGCGGCGCTGCATGCAGTTCACAGGGTTCATGCCCTGTTCCTGAATCCTGGCATGACATCCGATCCGTCGTGTCAAAACTTACTTACATAACTAGTCGACTGTACTTGGACCAACGACCTCTAGAGCTCTGCACACGCATGCAGGCGCATGGGGAGTATACTATAGGACGGTTGATCTTCTTCTCGACTTCTGGTGCGAGTGGTGGTAGTTGAAGTAGTAGTTAGATCAACTAACTTTTCACCGTTCAGAATGTCGTCAGACTATCACTCAGACTCCGAGGATTTCCAGCTGATAGTGTCGGATTCGTCGCCTTCAACGCTTCCGCGAACGCCTTGGTTCGACGACGAAACATCGTCTTCGGATGAGAGTCGTGCGGAGGAGCCGTTTCTGGTGTATGACGACGATCTTTCCGCTTGATCTGATGATGGTTCCGTACCTCGTCCACCCGCAGCTACGAAGAGAAGGATCGCAGTGTCTGATTCGTCGTCTGACTCGAATGCAAGTGAAACTGAAGCAGTTGAAACACAGTCTGTGGCTGCTGTACCCGCTGGCAAAAAGAAACGGCGTTGTGTGAGCTATCAAGCTGTCTGGGAGGAGAACCCTGTGCTGAAAGATTGGCTGACCAAATCAAAACGCGCGGATGGAAAAGCCTTCTGCAAAATATGCCAGAAGGACTTGGAGTTTGGGAATGGAGGAGCATATGACTTGGAGCGCCATGGAAAATCGGTGGCTCATCAGAAGCGAGCGAAGTCTACGAAGACGCAACCCAGTCTTTCTGCTACAGTGTCGCAGGCCTCTGCTATGTCGCAAGCGGTGACTGATGCAGTGATGCCTTGAAAGTGATGGTGAGCTGTCAATGGCCTTTTACATTACCACTGTTTGTCATACTGTGCAGTTCTTCAGTGGCAACCACCTCCGTTTTTTCTACATGCACAATATGCCAATATTTAATGGTATAGCTGTAGTTCCTACAATTTCGTAGACTTCTTTTTCAATATTTGTGTATGATGTATGTGCCTGGAATAGAATAAAGCAGCAAGTGTTACTGTAGAACGTAGCTACAAGACTACGGTTGCTGCATAATTGACATGGTTGTAGTGCGTGTGCTGGACAGTTAAAAATGTGTTCTGGGGCCCCAACAGCAAGCCCTTTTCCTAAAACATTTCATCGCGGGGGCGCTGCCCCCTGCACCCCCGCCGCGGGGGTACCCCCGGACCCCCGTCAGATTTTTTTCCCTCCAAGTGTGGCAGCCCTGGGGTTTCCTTTTTAACAGTCTCTCCCTCCCCTCCCCCCCCCCCCCCCCACCCCTACACACAAATGCTTATTACGTTACATGAACACATACATATACACACAAAGACACATTCACATGGAAACATGCACGGAAAGAGGCGCGCACCCACCAACCCCTCCCTCCTTCCTCGCATGCACGCACGCACACGACACATCCACACACTAAAAAACCACACACTGAAATTGCAATGAATATGATAAAGTGCACAGTCACTCCACGTTATCACGCATCTACCAGTACTAGTACAAACACCATCAAGGAGCATAGAATGACTGCGCACTTTATCCTATTCATTGCAATTTTAAAACTTTCGTCTCCTCGTCGACTCTACACACAGAAATGCGTGCCCGCTGATGTACTTACACCCACGTGACAGCGGTGAATCGAAGCATGCCTAAATCCATGTTCGTCAGGTTATTGTGAGCAGTAGTTCTGAAACAACAGAGCACGTCAAGGGAAACATCCGGAAGAGATAAACTGCATGAGTGGGTAACCCCAAAAAAACATTTGAGATTGGTATGTTATGGGTAAGTGTATGGTTTATACTTCCTCTGCCCAGGCAAAATTTTCGCTTATCTCCTTCAGCCCAATGACAGGTGTCTGACAGCAAGTTTTGCATCTTGTGCACTTCACCATCACACAAATCTGCTGGTTCAGGCACACCAGTTCCAAACAAGTCGGCGAAGTCGGCAAGAGAGTAAAGAAACACCTAGAGTAGAGCGCGTTGAACGTGAGTGAACTGGTAAAAAAGACACAAAGTCAGTCACTGGTCAAGGTGGGTACTGCTAGAGCACCACTGGAGTACAGAGCAGAGGTGTCATGTTGCGAAAAGCCAGCGTGTTTGTTTGCATCCGGCACAAGATGTGTGTACGGTAAAATGCACGTGAGCTTGAAGCTGAGAAAGCCACTCAGCGACGCTCGCCCACATACTGCAAAATGAACCAGAATCGGCGCTGGGCAAAACGGGGGGAAAAGAAAGGCTTCGATGACAGGGTTGTCACTCACCCAGCTCATTCGCCTGATGTTAACGTGAATAATCCTGCAAAGCGACGCAGAGCTCGTCAGCTTCAGCTGGTAAGAAACACGACCGATCGTACTCGTGAAGGAGGTGAAGCGCTTGGAAAAGTGTCGATACGAAATATTTGCGCGCCTGGAAAGTGCGAAGTACTACCCGACAACAAGTGCTGCGTCGGCTGATGACAAAGGATGACTTCAACATTTTTCGACTTGGAGAGTTTCTCTTGATGTTCAACGGCTCCTCAACTCATTCTGAGTCGTTATAAGCCGTTCTGAGAACCTGGAATGTATCAGTAAAAAGTGTAAAGAAAAGCGAAAATTTTGCTTGGGCGGAGTATGTAGGACGGAAGGTTGGACAAGGTCTGAGTAACACTTTAGAAAATGTACCTATGTCCTATCGTAGCATCGCAGAAACATTTCTAACAATTAGAATGCACCATGCACCGATTTCGACTTTGCATTTGCGGGTTCATCAATTCCTGAGCATCCCCAGGGTCACTAACATGTATTCCAGTCTGGTGGTATTGAAGAAGAGATCGGAGTGAAGTGACAACAGTTGACAGTTGTCCAAATATCTGCAGGAGAAGACAAAGACAAAGAGACAGAAACAGGACCTTCATAAGGGGCAAACATTTTCGGAAAAAAGCATCGTGAACTCAAGGTTCACATTACAACAGCAGGCATTAGCTTTGTTGCAAAAGCAATCCTAATTTGTGCATATATGGAGGGGAAAATCAATTTACTCCAAGGGAAGCCCTGTTCAATGAACGGTATCTCCAAAAAAGATCTATTCGCGAACTGATTCCGCTCCTATCCCGGTTGGTTACGATTGGATTTATAACATCTTACCTGCCCAGTGCAAAGCTCGCAGTGTTTCTTTTAGTTAGAGATCTCGGGCTTTGATGCTCAGTGAAGCCAGTAAAACAATTCTTCAACTTGAGTACAGCCAGGCGCGTGCCCCGTTTGGGTTCCTGGGTGCCCGGAACCCCCCTTTTTTTCGCTCAAAATCGCTCAAAATGAAGGATTTTGGTTCATTTTTTGAAATTTTTCCCGAGGGAGGCCCCCTGGAACCCCCCCTTAAAGGGCACCGGCGCACGCACCTGACAGCTATCAACACTACCCCCCCCCCCCCCCCCCCTGTGCCCACACTCTGAAAGAGCAAATACGTCAGGAAACTTCACAATTAAAATAATATCGTGACTAGGGCTCAAACAGTTAGTCCGATTAACCGGTTGCAGACCGGTTACGAAGAATTAACGGTTAACCGATAAAGATAATGGTTACACAGTAACCTTTCGGTCAATTTGTCAAATATCAGATCATTGCAAAGTATGCGCTTTCGCAGGCTGTCGCACGCGTACGCAATTTTTGGGCTGTCAACTCGGTCATATCTGGTCTCTTGGTGTGAGAGTATGTATGAATGAGCATGCAAGAGAATGTACATGCGTGCGTTGTACTGAATAGGGTACATTTTTTGAATGACTATAGTCAAATATACGGTTAAAAAAGAGTCCGCAGGATTGCCGTGGCTTATAGGTTATAACCGTTAAACCGACCGTTAGCTTAGCAGTTAACCGTTAGGGGTAAAACCGTGACCGTTGGAGCTCCAATTGTGACAGAGCTTTCGGCCATACTCCAAGTCAGGAAACAACAGAGCAATGGGCCGAAGCAACAATATCTCAAAGCGCTTCGGACAAACGCAGACTTACATCTTCTCCAGGCTTGTCAGACCGCTGAATATATCACTTGGTAGCGTGAAAATGCTGTTCCCAGTCAGAACGCTGTCAGTAGGGAAAGCAATTGGAAAACAAAATGTTATGTCTCTTGCCAGCTAAGATGGTACTGGGCAATCCAAGTCTCTCCCAAGAACATGACCGTACCAATGCGCGGCAGCAATATAATGAAAATTATTAATGCTTATCACCCCTGCGAAAAGGAAGAGAGTCACCACTGAGCCATGCAATTCTGACCAGGAAACAAACTGTGAAGTGTCCGGTGCGGCGCATGCGCCTTCTGTGTTAACTTATTTTTGCGCACTCTTCATTTTGTGCTTGTGGAGCATAACTCTGGCCGGTATTGTACGCTACAATCTAATTGATGGACAGGCTACTAGAAAGATGTGAAGACTGCTATGCAGCAGCATCATACTCGTATGGTAGAAAAACGCTGTGCCTTCATCTCCAGCCATGCATCGACTGGGTGCCATGCGCAAACTGATGATGACGATGGTGGGAGAAGAAGGAGTGTTCTTTGTCAAAAATGTGGCGGCTTAGAGGGAATTGTGTGGGTGGGTATATATTCACTGGTTTTTCACCAGGTGTGTGTGTTGTTACCACCATCTCACCACTAGGTTACTATGAGCCGTCAATTGTTCTGCTTCTGCATTTCATTCATAGTCGTAGGCAAGCCATACATTGAAGAATCGTTCTCCCGTTGCAGCTGCACAGAAAAATATCACGAGTGGCTTGTTGGCAATGCATTCTTTCTTGCCTTCACAATCAGAGAACTGGTTTGATGACAGCAATCCTTTTCTTCGTGTATTTCATCGACTTTCACGGATCAAAGTTCCGCACTATCACCCCTTCTGAACGATCTTCTTCTGTGGTCCTCATTGCCAACAGAATGGCAGGGGTGGGTGGTTGGGGAGAGAGAGGGGGAGGAGGAGGAAGATGAGGATGAGGATGTGGTTAGCTTAAACTCTCCTGCAAACCGCAGTACATGCAGTTCTCTCTCACACCTCACATTTGCAACAGCAAAACCACAGTGCAGGGTCGGCTGCGGACAGCCACATTGCAAGACAAAATGTAGTTCATTTGTACTTACAGAGCTTGGAGAGCTGCCAAACCTCGGAATGCTCCAGTCTGCAACATTACTATTCGGTTCATTGCCAAGTCTCTGACAGCACGGAGAATAGAGACCATCGCACAGAAACGCTTTGGCGTTTTGAAAAGGACCCAGTCGCATCAAGCACAATGCTGCCAGTATTCAGTGTACACAATATTTAGAAAAAGCGATCCTGTCAGCTTTTCTATTATTTATAAGCATACAGGCAACTCAGGCGTGTGCGCCGGTGCCCTTCAAGGGGTGGTTCCGGGGGGGGGGGGGGCTTCCCCGGGAAAAATTTCAAAATTGAAGCAAAATCCTGCATTTTGAGCAAAAAAAGGGGGGGGGGGTTCCGGGCACTCAGGAACCCATACGGGGCACCCAGGAACCCATACGGGGCACCCAGGAACCCATACGGGGCACCCAGGAACCCATACGGGGCACGCGCCTGCAACTACTCCCATAGCCTAGTGGCAGAGCATGGCTGGCCACAAGTGAGGGTCCCTGGTTCCAGTCCTGGTGGTTAGAGCAGGACCGGCGCAAGCAGTGTTTGATTGGTCCAGCCATGCAACAGCCATTCATATAAATTATTGTACCTGATAAGGCGGGTACACATGATCCTCTCAGCAGCTAACACACGTTGGCGGCCAAAGGGTTGGTCCGGTCATGGCCGGACCAACCGGACGGGTTCCGCCGCCCCTGTAGAGTCAATTCTTCTTCAGGCTTTTCCCATTTCAACTCCCTCAACCTTTTGAATATACACTACGGAGAGAGGGAAAACATTAGTTACAACTTCCACCTTCACGCTCTTGGTGATCAGCAATTTGTTATTATTATTTTTTTTTATTTTACAAAAAACCACACACCATTTGATGGCACAAAGCAGCAAGGCAGCCATGAGACATATGGAATGGCAGGAGTGGGGGAGAGGCAGGGGCAGCTTGACCGACCATAGGGTCTCGGCTTCATTGCAACCCAAGCGCTCCACAAAAACAAAAGATTACAGAAAATACGCAGGGGGGGGGGGGGGGTAGATAACTGCGGATTACGGGGAAAAGTATGCACAATAAAAAGTTCCACTTGTGCCTAACACAAACCCACCACTGCACATGTGGCTCGCACGACGATACTTCAAACAATCCGTTTAGCAATACAATCTTCTAATGGCACAGGTGCTCCAGACATTGCTACAGCTGATTTTGTGGTTCGGGCCGTGACAACCTGAAAGGAATGGATGTCCGCTGATGATCCTTGTTGATATTAATCTGTAACATTGCGCAGCCACTTGAAAATAGGACAGATCCTGGATGTCAAGCATTACAAGTGGAAGTACCAGGGTTTGGCTACTTGACATAGCAATCCTGAGTTGCCACCAAAGTCTTCGCCAGTATCTCTTTCGAAAGAAACGTCAGCACCGACGAAATATACACCGTGAATTTATGCTGATTGGGAACCGAACTTTTCATTCCCTTCTCATCATGAGTAAGTCACTTGACTGTGCCGAAAGTTCTTTCGAAATTGGATACGCCTCCAGAAATTAGAGAGAGAGAGAGAGAGATAGATAGAGAGAGAGAGAGAGAGAGAGAGAGAGAGAGAGAGTCACTGTGGATAAGAGTCATACTGTAGCTCAGTTGGTTGGAGCATTGCTCACGAATAGCAAGGTCCCTGGTTCGATTCCCGGTGGTGTGACTGATGATTTTTCTTTCTTTCATATCTGGCTTGCAAGTGTTGAGTTTCGGAGAGAAAAGAGCAGTACGTGGCATGTGGCCTCAAATTTTCTGAAATTCTCCGTGAAGTCCAAAATTTGAAATTGCAATTTGTATTTGCTCGCAGTGGACATAGTTTGATGCGCTCACCATGGTATCAAGCGAATGGCCGAGGGTCCTCTTGATTGATGTGAGTTGCCAGTACGATGCAAGCCAGATGTTGATTGATCGACTCGGAATTACAATCACCGTGGATAAGAGTCATACTGTAGCTCAGTTGGTTAGAGCATTGCTCGCGAATAGCAAGGTCCCTGGTTCGAGTCCCGGTGGTGTGACTGATGATTTTTTCCTTCTTTCATATCTGGCTTGCAAGTGTTGAGTTTCGGAGAGAAAAGAGCAGTACGTGGAATGTGGCCTCTAATTTCCTAACACTTTGAAATTCTCCGTGAAGTCCAAAATTTGAAATTGCTATCTCTTTCTGCTTTATTATCTAGTCGCTGGAACATGAATATGTGGGTGTGCAGTATATATAAGAGTAGCAAAACAAGACACTATTGATAGAATCTCAACATTTGTCAGTTTGCATCCCCATTTTACTATGAACATAAGCAGTGCATTTAATTTCAGATCAGAGGAATGACTCACAGTCGGCCCAAATGGACGAGGTTCTGGAAGGTCCCTCCTTTGATTGTAGCTATAGCGTTATTGGACGCATCGCTGCAGGCAAATAGTGGATACGTATGCATGCATGCACACATGCATAGACACGGGCACAGACACACAACCATACACGCACATTCACACGCACACCCTTAAAATTTAAAATGTCGTCTTACATGTAGGTACAGCATGCAAATAATGACCATGAATGACATGCACCAACCAACCTACATCGTATGCGGCCGTGCACCCTCTAGAATGGGGGTCAGCTACGCCCTTGCTGTACTCTAGCTGCTGTCTATATCCATACCGACTTACACAATTACCCGGGGTCAAACCGGACAGCTCAGAATTGTCACATGCAATGCACCAGGGTAGAAGTTTATACAGAAAATATTTGAGGCTCTTTTCGCTGTAGTTTTGAGTTTCACCTACTGGGCGAATGTCAGGCAGCATACTACATGAGGTCTGACGATCGCCTAGTGTGGAAACTTGAAGTTACAGCAAAAAAAAACCCCAAAACAACCATCTCCTATCTCCTACCTTCTTGCGATACAGACATATACAGCACTAAGATAGAAAATAGACGAGAATCGCCAGCCATCGACTTCCCATAGAAGCCAACTTACAGGAAAATCAGATCAGGAGTTGTCTGGAAGTCACCAAATTGGAGCTGGGTTAATCCCAAATTTGAGACGAGCCTGGGGCAGAAGATTAGCCAATGCACAAAGAGATGAAGTACATATCAGACCGAATCCAAGAACACGCTTCCAATCGATGCGGGAAACCATGGAATCTGACGTATTCTGCTGATGTGCCAATGATACAGCTTGATAAATGATAATGTTGTGTCGAGTTTTTTGTTGTTGCTGCACTACGGGTCCAAATAGTGTGACGTCACTGACCTTGACAGTCACTAATCGCTGTCCTATCGCAAGGATCGGTTTATCTCAGAACAGCCGAGTAAACGATACATCCAACTGTGCATGGTCAATGTCTTTGTGCCTATAGTAGCCACATACCTGTGCCCCTCTGACGAGAAGACACGGAGAGTGAATAGTACGGCAGATTTGGGGTTATACTGAAAATTGGCCAACATTTAGCGCGTCTTGCCTCACATCGGGAATATTTCAAACATGTTGCTGGCGAGGAGCCTGAGGCCAAATCTGCTTCGTCTTGTCTGATTGGATTATGTCTCGAAGAAAACTACGTACTATACATGTACAGGGGCGTCGCACATGGTACGGTCACTACGGTATTGACCGTACCACTATTTGCCCCAAGTACCCTGTAAATCAATAAAATACACTGATCTGGGATCAAAATTTCCAAAATTTTCGCCTCAGCCACCATTCTCCCGCGAGTCAATTGTACTTCAGATGGCTGACCGTACCACACTAAAATGCCTCCCGACACCCCTGATGTATATCCGAAGTGTTACTGGGAAGGGAAATGCAGCGCTCTCGGGAAAAATAATAGTTTATATCCCATAGTATGTCATACTTGGTTCACCAACATCAAAGACAGAACCCATCAATCATTCTCTCTCTCTCTGTCTCTCTCTCTCTCTCTGTCTCTCTCTGTCTCTCTGTCTCTGTCTGTCTGTCTGTCTGTCTGTCTGTCTGTCTGTCTGTCTGTCTGTCTGTCTGCCTGTCTCTCTCTCTCTCTCTCTTTCTCTCTCTCTCTCTCTCTCTCTCTCTCTCTCTCTCTCTCTCTCTCTCTCTCTCTCTCTCTCTCTCTCTCTCTCTCTCTCTCTCTCTCTCTCTCTCTCTCTCTCTCTCTCTCTCTCTCTCTCTCTTCTCTCTGAGGTGCGTTGAAATTTATTCTCTTTATCTTATTATTTCTTTTCTATAATTTCCCCATATGAGTTCCTATCAGTTGCTGTGAACACCTTGAGTGGAGAGCGCTTGCTCGCGCGTTGAACCGGGTTCTTAAAGGGGAAGTTAAGGCAAAAATTAAAATTTCACCAGTTGTAGTCTTCGAGGTGCTGAGTCGAATGGTCGTGGTCCGAGGAAGCTGAGACGCTCCCTTCCTACTTGAATCCCAATCGAACTCGCGCACTTCCACCAAAACTGGGTGACTGCGCCCTACTAGATGGGGATTTGTATGCAAAATGTCACTAAAAGCGCCATTTCGTTCTTATAAAAGCACGGATGACCGCGATTGGCCCATATGTTGTAGTCTTTTGGACGCTGAGTCGACTGGTTTTGGTCCGAAAAGGCTGCGATGCGGCGTTCCTCCTTTATTCCCAATCGAACATGGTTGAACAAGCGGTCACGTGCTCCTGCGTACACCAGTCACCGTGCCTGCAGGGTACAACTTACTAGCCTGTTTCACCTTTTTGGGTGCAGTCCTGTCACTCGAGTTGAACTCGAGTTGAACCTTGGTGTGAAAGTTGTCACCTGCTGGCGTGGTGACCAGGTGATTTGGGCACCCAGGACCACGTGACCGCTTCTTCAACCATGTTAGATTGGGAATAAAGGAGGAACGCTGCATCGCAGCCTTTTCGGACCAAAACCAGCGACTCAGCGTCCAAAAGACTACAACATATGGGCCAATCGCGGTCATCCGTGTTTTTATAAGAACGAAATGGCGCTTTTAGTGACATTTTGCATACAAATCCCCATCTAGTAGGGCGCAGTCACCCAGTTTCGGTGGAAGTGCGCGAGTTCGATTGGGATTGAAGTAGGAAGGGAGCGTCTCAGCTTCCTCGGACCAAGACCATTCGACTCAGCACCCCGAAGACTACAACTGGTGAAATTTTGATTTTTGCCTTAACTTCCCCTTTAATCCACCATACCCAGTTCGCAAGGCTGGGCGGGGTTGTGAGCAGGCTTTCATTTCATCTTTTCTTATTATTTCTGCTTTTCATCTCACTACAAAAATTCTGCGCTTTTTCTCCATCTGCGCATAAAATCTAGACTGACAACCTGCTTGTTAAATCATGCACCTGCTTTCAGGCGTAAAAACCCTGCTGTAGAGGTCTCAGTCCTCATTTGTTAGACTTACAGTCGTCCCTCTCTAATCCGGCACTTGTTTATCCGGAACCCTTGCCAACCGGCGCACTTTCTGACGAAACCGATTTTTTTCGTTCAATTCCTACATCTTAATCCAGCACTTGAATTCCGCCTCCGGCAGTGACTTTTTGAAACGAATGGCTCAAACTGCACGTAGTTTGATTTCATAATCCGGCAGTCGTAAATCGCGTACCGTACAGGTGCACTCCTTGCCAGGCCAGGCTAGGCCAGTCTGGTCAGTGCCGCGCGCGCGGGGCCACTTCAGAGTTCAGTTCAGTTGACAACTGTCCTCGACCTCGCACGGGAGAGTTCACTTCGGTTGGTTGTTAGGACTTTTCCGAACCCCAACTCAATGTATACAAGGAGAAAGACCAAGGAACTACAAGTTACGCTATACTGTCCACTAACACCACCAGTTACTAAACAATCAGCTCATGCGATAACATTGCACGACACTGACCGACGGTACTCTGACGTTCTACAACTAACTACAACGTTCGACCTGCATGATGTCGACTGCTTGCGTGGCCTTCTCAAGAGGGTCAATGTTGTCCAGGAGACAACGGCTAAGCAGTCAACAATACTTTCTTATTTTAGCAAGGAGTAGTGTCCTGCCAATTTTCAGGTGTGTGTGCGTATGTGTGCAAGAGTACATCATGACTCATGTGAACATGTTCTCTGTTTTACTTTATCACTTTATCACTGTGTATATTCCTGGAGAACAGTTGAGAATATAAAGCTGTGCACCAAATACGGTCGACACGGAAAAACCCTGCGTTTTGACGTGTGATACATGCATGCAATTGGGTAGGGCCGGGTCAGAGGGCAGGATTTCATAATCCAGCACCCTCGTTAATCCAGCAGAAAACGCCGTAGCAAAAGGTGCCGGATGGATTAGAGAGGGACGACTGCACCTGTCTTTATAAATGTAACTTTCTCTCTCTCTCTCTCTCTCTCTCTCTCTCTCTCTCTCTCTCTCTCTCTCTCTCTCTCTCTCTCTCTCTCCCTCTCTCTCTCGTTGCTGTTGAATGTGATAGATGCAATGGATATGCAGTTTTGTTTACTCAATGCTGCTAGTTTTTTCCTCCCTTTTTCTTTTGGGCATGGTGAAATCATTGGCCCTGTAGGCCACCCCCCCCCCCCCCCCCGCACCACCCCTCAGAAGCTGGCTCCAGGCCCGCCACTGAAACGCTGCACTTTTAAACCCCCAAATCTGTGTGTGATTCAGCCGCCATAAACGATTCCTCGCATCTATTGACTTCACCTCAATAGCAGGGGACGTGTTCGTCACCAGTGCACCACTGGCTTCAAACACGCTTCAACACAAAACTAATAATTATTATTTTTTTGCTTGCCGACCAATAATTATTTCTTTCAACAGAAGATTATCGTTTTGAGGGGCGATACATTCTAGTCTCTCAACGGGCGCTTTCGATTACACGCATTTCGGTCAATTCTAGAATTAGTTATTGTTGACACAAAAAGTGACAAATTCCGTCGTCAGAATTGATTTTATCCAATTCCGTCGAAACCGTCAATTCTGAAGAGAGGGCGGAATTTCTCTAATTCTGGCGCCAGAATTGCACAGACGGTGTGTTACCGGTCTGGTCATGACTCAGGCGCGCGAAGAGCCTCCCTGGCCGGCGTGTGTGCGATGCTGGGTCCACGTGCGCGCGAGGGTGTACGTGATCTCTTTTTACGATTCACCAATTTTGTTTGTGACATGACATGAATAAAATGCGTTGTGAATTCCAGTCGTTCGTTTACAAGGCCGGAATCCGCTCATTCTGGTCATTCCAGAATTTAAAAAAACCAGTTCCAGAATTGTGTAAACGTGTAATCGAAAGCGCCCAATGGGTCAAATGCATGAGGCCCGATCGCCAGAATCACGAAGTATACAAACCACACAGCTGACTTACAGTGCTTGCACGGTTGTGTTCCCTCCGACCGGAACGGGCAAAGTGAAGTTCGGCCGCTGGCTGAACGCCCCGGTACAGCTCCACGCATACAAAAGCTGCGCGGAGAGCCCGATCGGAAACGTCATATTACCGCAGTGACATAACATCGACGGATCGTCAAGGCAGCGAGAACCTTCGAATCCGCCATACCCTACCCTAGCAGCTGTGAATAGCATGAGCAGCGCCAAAAACCAGCGCGATGAAAGAAACATCGTTGCCTTGGTCAACACCCACTGTCTCTCCTCTACCGCCCTTCACCAGCGTGCAACACCCTGAATGAAAAGGCAACAAACTGTTCCCTCCTTTACTACGACGAACATTTTTTTATTTTTATGATTCGGTCGCGAAGACGGTATGGATCATAACAGGCCCGGAGCCGGAGGCGGAATGACAATGCCGGCCGACAACACGATCCCGCGGCCTGCCACAAAGCACCTGTTCAGCTCTAGCTCTCGAGCCACACGCGACGTGTCACACTCCCAGTCCCAGGCACAGTACAGTCATGTAGATCTACATGTGGTAGAGTCTACCACGGTCTACCATGCATGGTCTACCGCACACCCATCTACTACATGTACCTGTTGATGTGAAATCTGCAGGAGACCTGAATCACCTCCTTGTTTGGAAACTAAGAATGAGCACGTGATTCGCTGTCATTGCGCATGCATGTGACTTGTGAGCTGCGACTACAAAAAAGTATCGACTAGACCAGACGAGTCGTAGATCGTACTACTACTAGCTAGTAAGTACATGTAGTAGCAGTACTACTTAGGGTGCGTTCTTAAATTCTCTAGCTTCTAGGAGAAGAAGAAAAGAGAAGTCGAAGAAACTGGGATTCTTCAAGAACGGGTCTCGAAGAATTCGGAGATATTTTGCAGATATCAAGCAAAATGAAGCGCCAAAGGGGCCGCGATCTTGAGTGCCACGAATATAGTATGCGCTGTGCGTATGTGAAAAGGGAAATGCGTACACTTATGATCAACACGTGGCTTTTAGCCTAGTTCGCATGCGCTGACCCCAAACCGCGGGAATCTCCAAGTTTCAACCACCTCTGAAGCTTGGAGAGCTTCGAGAGCTTTGGAGAGCCTCCTAAAATTCGGAGAGGATATAAGAACAGCTCTCCAACTTTTCGGAGAGTCTCCAACTTTTCCGAGAGGATTTAAGAACGCACCCTAATACTACAGTAAATTACTATAAATAAAGCAAAGGCTCATTCGAATCGTAGATGTCTACGTGTAACACTATTATGAGTATGAGTATGACAAGTCATGTACAATACATTCCACCAAGAAAAAGAGAAATCAAAGAGGTGGCCGGTGGCCCCCTTGTCGACGACAAAACGGCGATATCATTCTGTCCTACTAGATCCTGCATGCTAGCTGGCCGGATAGCATGAGAACGTACATTCCAAGTACCCAATGAGCTTACACTGTTTCAAGAAACAACAATATTAATTTTGAACAAACAAAATACTAGTACATGTATTATTACACAATCATGTACCATTTTTTACATGACAGCGCAGCACTACTACTCCTACGGGTACTAGGCCCCGGCCGGGCCCGGACTACACTGTAGATTTGATTTGGGCTGGGGTGAGAAGCGACAAGGGTAAAGTATCCATCATGCTGTCAGTCATGTGCAGCATGTGACTAAACCGTGAGCAGCATTATTATGACTACATTTACATTGTATTGTACTAGGATGACTTGTAAATAGAGCCTCTTTTATTTACAGGCAAAATACTGTAAGACATGTACATGTATAACGAGGAAGAAAATCTAACGTTTTAACGGATGACATTTCTTCGTTATACTAAGATTCGTTCAGGCTGTAATGCTTCATATATATTGTGCGTGGATATGCTTGAATACTGCAAGATCGTTAACATATCGTCTCGTTAACCTATGAATTTTGGACAATCGTTAAATTTGCGACTCGTTATAATAACATGTCTTACAGTAGACATGATACTTGATAGGCATACGCATGTGCATGTACAATGTTCTACATCATGTCATAATAGCCTTTTACGTGGGCAGAAGTTGGAAAAATAAAGAAAGTATAACAAAAGGAAAGAGAGAAGAACAATTCGGAACAAACGCTACAAAGTTTATTAGGACTGAGTATCAAGAAGAAGACATCCAGGAGCGAACAAAGAATAAACGACTGACATTACAATAACAAGAAGACGCAAACAACTCCCTAGTATTATAGGGGTAAGCGGATTATGCCGGCATAATTTTTGGCATGATCAGGTCCTTTTAAATTTTTTGAGGAGCATAAAAATGGCATCCGAAAAACAAGTGTCGTGTCCGTGTGTTTCTATCTGTATTGTATTCCGTCTGCTCCTACATGTATCTTTGTCAAGTGTTTGCCGTGGCGTCGATGTGTCTCGTCTATGAATAGCGTTGGGAAACATATCACTATTCATGCTTTGCTGGCTGGCTGCTCGCGCCCTTCGCTCCTTCAGCTTGCACGCTACTAGGACATAGTAGCAGTATATAGCTCGATGCTTTGCGTCGATGGGTTGTTGTTGTTGTTCTTGTTGCTTCTCTGTTGCTTGGAACTTGGTCCTAGAGTGTAGCTTTGGTCTTCTTGTGTGGTGAGGGTGAGGAATGGGTATCTGGACTCCTGGTATATTTCCGTAAAGAACCTGGAATCGTAGAATCCTGAGATATGTCTGGCCTACTCCCCGGTCATGACATTTGGCGACCACGCCAGGATGTCCAGTGCCACTAACATTCCGAACCCTCGGCAGCGAGAGGGAGCGCTGCCAATAGCCATCGTCACCACACCGCAGCCCGTCCTGGGTACGACGATAAACTGCACCCTGGCGACCGCGGTTGGTCACCATCACCAACGCGCCCGTCCCGGAGCATGACGTTAAACTGTTGGACGTAGCCAGAGCTGGAGAGGAGGTACATCGAGGAAGTCAAGATGAAGGCAACACGCAAACGGGAGCCGCGGATTTCAAGTGAAGTTAGTTCGGGTCAGTTACCAGTTCCTGGACACGTTTCTGGTCTTGTCACCCGTCTAGTCTTGATTTGTCTTATTATAATAGTTCATAATGATAGTAACACAGAAGCAATCCCTGCAGGCTGACCAATAGCTTGTTCGAACGTAGTTGTAACGGCATAACCTATTTTTCTAACACTGCTGTGGCGGAGAGTCTGTGCAAGACTGGCGCATTATGTGTTTCTTTGGTTCTTGGGTCGGAAGAGGTTGGTTCCTTCCTTTCAAGTTTTCAAGAGTTTTATTATTTTGCTTTCTTTTTCATTGCCGTTACTTTTCTTCTGTTACGAGGACGTAACATGTTCGTAGGCGGGGGATATGTCGTGTCCGTGTGTTTCTATCTGTATTGTATTCCGTCTGCTCCTACATGTATCTTTGTCAAGTGTTTGCCGTGGCGTCGATGTGTCTCGTCTATGAATAGCGTTGGGAAACATATCACTATTCATGCTTTGCTGGCTGGCTGCTCGCGCCCTTCGCTCCTTCAGCTTGCACGCTACTAGGACATAGTAGCAGTATATAGCTCGATGCTTTGCTTCGAGAGGTTGTTGTTGTTCTTGTTGCTTCTCTGTTGCTTGGAACTTGGTCCTGGAGTGAAGCTTTGGTCTTCTTGTGTGGTGAGGGTGAGGAATGGGTATCTGGACTCCTGGTATATTTCCGTAAAGAACCTGGAATCGTAGAATCCTGATAGTATGTCTGGCCCACTCCCCGGTCATGACACAAGCGCAGATGACCAATGAGGCTGTTATAGACACCTGCTATTGAAGGCATAATTGAAGGCATAATTTTTGGAAAAATCAGGTCCCTTTTGAGAAGGAGCATAAAATCGCATCCGAAAAACATGCGCAGATGCCCAATGAGGCTGCCACTACAGGACATCTCCCAAACGTTCAGCGTTTGTTTGTGAATTTGGTATTCCTCTTGCATGTTATTGTCTTGTACTTCCACAAAACTCCCAGTCCACATCATGACAATGGTCTGAGTCCTTTTTTCATGACGATTATCTCAGTTATCTGTTCTTTTGGTCTCTTTGGTGAAGCATATAAAAGCATAAGTGGCTGTTTTCTCGAGCATCCTGCGAGCATCCGCCAGAGCATCATCCGGTCATTTCCCGAGCATAATCGGCTTACCCGGTAAGATACCTCTACTAGGTTACTAGTGTAATGAGGGTCAGAACCAGGCCAACACCCCATGGGTCTACGGTTCAAATGGTCGCAAGACCGGGGCTCTGCCAACCGTGGATGGTTGTAGTAATAGGCGAAAATCACGTCTGAACTAATACTTGAATTTCCATGTTGATGCAGTCGTGTTTCAAATAATTATGATGATCAAACATGTCTGAGTCGTAGAAACGTGGTCACAGTTAGTCGTAGTCTGAATCGCCCATAAGGCATAAGGACGGTCACTGTTTCCGAACGCAGTGGTTCTCCGCCTTGTAACACGCTGTTAACCAAAAAATAAATTAAAAACTTTAGAGTTGAGTACACGTACAGGACTTGCCGCGCGAACTACATGATGTCATGATGTCATGATGTCATGATGTCATGATGTCATGATGTCATGATGTCATGATGGTACATCGAAGAGAAAAAATATCTGCCAAACGTGGTTGTTTCTGCCTCCCGGACCCAAGGAGGGTCCTGGGAGTTGCAACGTGGTCATCTTTCCCGTGTGCATCACTGCATCTGCCTGAATCACCAGTCACGCATGACCTACTTTAGATCGCTGATCATGTCTGACCTGCTGTATGCCTCAAACGCGTACTCTAGCTCACTGCAAAGAAGGTACCTCGACCGTCTACAGGTCCTGCAGAACAGCGGGGCTCGTGCTGTCTTTGGCCGCCCTCCGTAGTCGTCTGCCCGCGACCTGCTGGAGCGCATTGCAGTGTTCCGTGTGGCAGAAGTCTTCAATCAGAAGCTAGCATACCTGGTGTGGCGCTGTCCTTATGCACTGGCAAGTCCAGAGTTGCAAGCCCTGCTAACCCCCGCTGCACCCGGCCCTACTCGGCTCCAATCTGCCATGGGCCTGTGCGTGCCAGTTTCCCGTTCGGTTGCGGGGCGGGGGCGCTTTGCTTGCAAGGGTGCTGTATTATGGAATGCCCTCCCCAGCGACATCCGTGCCATCCATCACGCTCGGCAGTTTCGCACGCAGGTAATCCCCTATACCTGCGCCCTGTAGATGTCGACAAGCGAAATCTGATTTTTTCTGTTCTCTTTCTGTTGTACCCGATCTCCCTCTGATGTACCGCTGACTCTACGTTGAAGATCAAAGTATTTGAATTCTCATTCTCATTATGATTTTCATATTCGCTTT